AACTCCCCCTGGCCACGAGTCACGGAAAGCGAAGCAGCCCTCGTGATTTTGTTGTGGATACTGCCGAGAAGTATCCGCTGGAAATCAGGACAGGCTGCCTTGCTACCTGTGTGCTTTTCGATGAGAATTCTGGCACCAACACCACTCCGAGGGCAATTGGTGTAGAGTTTCTCGAAGGCAAGAGTCTGTATAAGGCCGATCCTCGGTCAAGTTCATCCACCATCGGCATCAAGCATCGCGCCCTCGTTTCTCGGGAGGTCATCCTTGCGGCTGGGGCTTTCGGCACACCACAGATCCTGAAGTTGAGCGGTGTAGGTCCAAAAGACGAGTTGGAGAGGTTTGGGATTCGTGTCATCAAAGATATGCAGGGCGTTGGCACCAATCTCCAGGACCGCTACGAGATTCCCGTCGTCACTAAAATACAAGGTGATTTCCCAATCATAGAAAAGTGCACGTACGGGAAGCCTGGAGACCCGTGCCTTGAAGAGTGGAAACACCGCCGCGGTCCCTACCTATCAAATGGACTCACCATTGGCATGGTGAAGAAGTCCAGTCTGGCCGATGCTGACCCTGATCTCTTTATCTTCGGTGGCCCTGCATTCTTCCGGGGTTACTTTCCTGGGTATTCAGAACTCGCCACTTCGGACAAGAGACACTTCACGTGGGCCGTACTCAAGGCTCACATGCATAACCTAGACGGAACTGTCATGCTCACCTCAGCCGACCCTCGAGACGTGCCAGATATTAATTTCAATTACTTCACTACGACTCCAGACGAGACTCAGGTAGCTGAGCGGGATCTGGGTGCCATTGCTGAAGGCCTCGACTTCGCACGACGCATAATGGACGATGTCCTACCGGTTGTCACTGGACCCCTTGAAGAAGCGTCCCCTGGCCGTCACCTGGCTTCTACGGAGCAGGTGAAAGAGTTCATTAGGAATGAGGCCTGGGGCCATCATGCTTCCTGCAGCTGCCCTATTGGAGCGGATGGAGACCCCAAAGCTGTTCTTGATTCTCGCTTCCGTGTCCGAGGGGTGAGCAACCTGCGCGTTGTTGATGCTTCCGTTTTCCCTCGTATTCCTGGTTTCTTTATCGTCCTTCCCATATATATGGTTAGTGAGAAGGCAACTGATGTTATCCTTGAAAGCATTGGCGAGAGTCGCCATGTCTGAAGCGCCCCAATGCCAGATCGCCAGATCATGATGGCATCGGTCGGTCATTCCTTCCACTTACACATCTTTTGACCTTGCTTTTTCCTTCTGTTTTTCTTTTTCTTTTCTTTTTCTATTCTTTTCTTTTATTTTTATTTTTTTTTAATTTTATCTAGTTCGTGGTACAGACTCGCGAATATTTATCATAGGGTTTGGTGGCCAAAGATGAACACTCTTGGTGGGATCCTCCACAAGCACCATTGGAAACTATCCATGAAGGATCTCCAGGAACCAGAAAAAACCCAGCTGATTTACAATGTATTGGGAATAAATTGTGAAGGAGAGGTTGCATATTGTAAAGGATGCGGTGAAGTGGATCGCTTTATATGGGACAAAGTTGTTGGTGAAGCTGAGACTGCTATATCGCTTGGCTAGTTGCTAGGCAGCTCGATATTAAACCAAACTTGTTAAGTTATTTAACATTTTATCAATATCTCAAAGATTCTTTAATTTATGCTCCCTGAGCTAGTATTATAGCCTTCGCCGGGGAATTCAAAATTGTAGATCCATGGGTAATAGAGGTCTGGTATCTCTTGGGGTACAGAATACCCTGATGAACCGAAGCCATGGAGTAGCGAGGCATCAGAGAAATTCTCCATCATTAAACTATTGCCTTCGACTCCTCCAATTGCTGTTCCTGGCCCATCTTGTGGTGCCATATTTGTTATTTCTGCCTGGGGTGGCTGAGCAGCGTTTTCTTTGGGGGGAGAAGTCCGAGATCTAGCTGCACGGGCTTTTTTAATCAGCCTGTGCAAAGGCTTATATGCATCGCAAAAGAATTCGTCAATATCTGACACGCCACTCGGATTGATCCCGGTTGTCTTTTGAGCAATATTCGAGAGCTTGAGACCCAATTGGAGAGTGGCATCAACCGCATTCCACGCCCTCTCTACTTCTTCGCTCTCTGGCCGAACGCATAAAGCGGAAAGCAGAAACGCAAGTGCATACCATTGAATATATGTCTCGCATAGCCATCTCCATTTCTGAGTCTTCTTTTCTGTGTTCAAGGCTAGCCAATACTCAAGAATCATGATAGAGGAGGTGAATAAGTATTCCTGCGTTTCTTTGGGCAACTCTGTGTAGCCAGCACGACGCAAAGATGGATGATGCGCAACAAGCTGCATTTTTGTGAAGACAATTTGCGCAATAGTATAGATATACCACAGGAAAGGATCTGATAGATCGCAGTGTTTTAAGTAAAGATTTTGGAGTCGCGTTTGGGTTTCGGAAATCTGCTTCATCTTTTCTGCAAGATCTTGCTCTTCATTATTGTGACCCAGGCACCTAGTTGGATTGTACTGGAGTCGCCGAAATAGAGATGTTGCTTCAAATCGAACAATACTGAAACTCATTTCCGTCAGACCAACTCTAGGTTGAGGAGACTCCTTCATTTGCACAGTCATGTCCGAATCGTTGATGTTGAGCGGTATCAAAGTATCAGCGCCACTATGAGGAAGCGTAGCATCGTGGCCAGAATCTTCACAGGCACGAGAATCCAGAACACAAATGCTCCACCACAGCCTTCGCCTCATTTCCACCGTAAATGGAGACAGATTAAAGTGACTGCCGTCGCGGTGGATGCCAGCATTCTGAGCAAGACGAACTGCCAGAGCAGTAAGGCTCCACATGAGTCGGATGCTGCAATGATTTCGCAGACTCATCAGAAATATGACGAAAGCCTGCAATACAATCAATTCGTCGGTTTCGAGGAACTTGGCTCGTGCCAGCGCTTGTTCGGTCGCAAATTTATAAGTATCGGTGAGATCGCTCTTCGGACTGCCAAACGTTTCCCAGCATTCGTCTTCCGAAAGGCTTCCTACGGCAGAAAAGTAGATGGAAAATATGAGCGCTTCCAACCCTTTTGGTATGCAAGTCGGTTGCTGCATGGCGTGAAGAATGATCGGCTCTGTGGTAGGGATATGTAAAACTTTAATCAGGCTGTCGCAATTTGTCTTGAATAGACGCCAACACAGAAGCGCATGCGGCAGTGAGGGATGCAAGTTAGATATGGATTGTTGATGAGCACCGCCCCCAAATATAAAACTTTGATTGATAGTTCCAAAATCCAAAGAATTAGGTGTCTTCCACATTTTGGAATCGTCCGGTATGTCCATTAACAAACTCTTGAGGTCGTCAACCTATTGGATGGAAGATGTATTAGGCCAAGGTCCTCATAAAACTCATTGTAGCATGGTACATACCTCTTCGTCTAGACTTGCCCAGAAACTGCTACTGATATATCTGCTGCGTCCATCTCCAACTGCCAGCCTGCCAAGCTCTGTCCCCAATTCGGCAACCGCATTGTCTTGTGTTCTTCGGCGGCTGGTCGAATCAGATGGATGGATAGCCTCACTCTCTTCTGTAACTGCATTGAAGCAAGCTTCTGTAGTCTCAGGGGACTGGTTTGTTGCTCCTTGGCTGTAATTGTCCCGTAAGATTCCGATTACTCCCTCCAGATGTTGAAGCCTCTCCAGCATACCGTGGGCGGTCTTTGGACGAGTTGAAGGCCGCCTCGGCACAAACAAGCAATTAGTACCATCTTTGCGACAATTGATACAAGGGTACAATCTATCGCATTTCCTCTTCTTTCTCCGACAAGACAGGCATGAGTACGGATTCAATTGTGGGTGCTCAGCATTTGATTCGGTTCCTCGGCCACCGATCCGCGGGGAACCTGGCTTATCGGCTTCAGTGGGTTGGGCAGTCTGTGCGGAACTCATTTTGTGTGCTTCGTGTGTTTTTTTCTCCTCAAGCCGTCTCGAATGGAAGTGCTGGTTTACAGCGAGGTAGTTGCAGGTTGTCGGCCTTTTCGGAGAGCGGAGTCTTGGCAAACACCGCCAGATAGACTTGCCGATGAAGTGTGGAGATGGGCTAACTTGAAAAGAGCTGAATTCGCCATCTGGTGTGAAGACTTTGGCTCCACCTCGCCGACTTGACGGAAGTTCCTTAGGTCATCAGGAATATTGGTTATATAACCATTCAATCTTTATTTGAAAAGTGCCGTTAGTCTTGATTAAAGTTCTCTCGTAATCTGCTCTAGTGCACCAATGGAATCCAATCAGCTGAGTTCGTGGAATGAGTTGCGCGATGATCCCACATAGATCATATATAGATCAAATTACTTGGCTCCTTAGTCAACTGTGAATGATGAACGCATACGTATATCTCGCGGGCTTTTGCCTATTAAAAGACAATGATTTCTCCAACTGATCGTTAGGATTTCTTCGCAAATAAGTCAACTAAACTCTACTGCCCACACGACTCTTTTCTCTTATCTCGGCCCGCATAGGCTCAAATAAGCTCCAACTACACGATTCAAACACTGCTCTGAGCTTTGGAGTGTATCTTATTAAGATCAATTCCAGGTTATACACCATGAGTGAAAGTGCTTACCGAGGTCGACTGACGCGAGACAACGCAGTCTTGCTCATTGTGGACCATCAAGTGGGCCTTTACACTGGAGTTCGCGACATTGATACTCTCGAACTTAAGCACAACATACTGGGCTTGACAAAAGCCGCTGTAGCTCTCAAAGTTCCTGTGGTTGTAACAACAACGACGGAGAGCATGTGGGGTCCCTTGATCCCCGAACTACAAAAAGCATTGCCCGGCATTGAACGAATCGAACGCACGACGGTCAATGCGTGGGATGATCAGCGTGTCGTCGCCGCTGTGAAAGCTACGGGGCGGAAGAACTTGATTGTAACCGGAATTTCGACCGACGTATGCTTGGCTTTCCCAGCAATGTCTGCTATTGCAGACAACTATACGACTTATGCTGTTGTGGATGCCTCCGGAAGCTTTACGAAGCGACAATCGGAGATGGGCGTTCTCCGTATGACTCAAGCCGGGGTCATTCCTGTCTGTTATTCCAACGTCGCAGTTGAGATTTTGGCAGATAATGCGGCTTCTGAATCCGCCGAAGTTTATGGCGCCCTGGGTATGCCATTTGCTGGACTCGTGTATGGTTTACAGCAGTACTTTTCGCACTAATAGAACAGAACTGCGTCTGAGAGTTAATAGGGCGAACTACTAGTGTATCTTACATAAATTACGCCTGAGACTGAAACTCTATATAGCAATTCATACTATTCATTGATTGTCACGAGATGCTTAAGATTATACTGCAATGCTTTTATATTAGCGACCATCGCCCTTTCCCTAAGACTTTCACTACAATTCGCGCGCAAATGGCTCTAGGCTCCTGTAATAGGCCCGTCAAATTCCAGAAGGCAAATAGCTTCTCTCAGCAAGTGCATAACTTAATGAGCGGCAATACAGCTTTCGAAACCTAGTCGTAAAATAGCAAGAATCACCTAATAGACATTTTATAGGTTAATCGTAGGGAAAGGCCAAATAGAGCAGCTTCAAGTAAGGCAATTATAAAGCCTCAGGATGAGCTCTCCTGTCACCATTATAAAGATAGCCAAAGTATGACAGTCTCAATAAGAACCAGTTTCCACTTCTCTCGCTTGTCTCAGCTAATTAATCTACAATAAAGGAATAGTCGAGACCCAACTTGCTCTGCCGCGTAGTAACATGACTCCAGCTATCCCATGAATGACAAGCTGACCCGATGAATTATTGTCTCGAAGACTAATAAAGAGCAAACGCTGCGCCATTCATGATGCTTTAAACCCAGATAGTTTTCACTTCTTAAGGTTTTAATAGTTCATAAGGAAATAGCTGACAGATTTAAACAACTCGAGCTACTGTTATCTAGTGGTGAGCTAATTAAAATTGAGCTCACCCCAGCATCTGAAGCGGTTGCTTACTGAAACAAGGCTTGTACGGCGGTGGTAGCTGTATGCCACCTACTGTCCATTCCCTATTCATAATGGTTCCGATTGGGAATCTGTCTACTCTAACTATCGCAATTGTACAATTCTGGTCGCGCTATATGCTTGTTACTATGGAGGAAGCCAGGATGGCCTGAATTCTTGGGAAACTGATCATCGTACATTTCATATTTAGAGAAACAGCCACCTAGGATATCGCGAGAAGGGTATCTGGATTCGATCATAGAAGCTAGACTTTGGCCGAGATAGGCTGTGGAAGGACCGTTAGAAGATTCAGCAATGGAAACGATGAAATAAGGATCAGATAGTGCTAAGCTCTCCTTTGAACATCTAAAGCTCCTCGTATAAGGATTGTTAGATCTCTGTTAGACTAAACTCAATCGATTATACAAGCATCATGTATATAACTGCCACTGTGTCAATATTTCATAGTTTTTCTTACTCTTTATGTCAGGAAACAGATTTATCAGAGCCATTTCAAATCTCAGTATAGTTCTTCATACATAACCGCGTCTATATGAGGCGCGCCGCATGCTTGAACATTCCGTACAATCTGTCAAGAAATCCATTTGCAATACTTTAGCTTATCCATTTAGAAGAATGGATGACAATTAAACTATCAGAGATTGGGTATTGTGCGATCTCGGTGGAAGGCCAGACTGGGGGCTAATCCCGCGCAGAACTTGCCCGCGCTTGACCCCACAGATGTCCTAGTCAAAATCCGCGCCGCTGCTTTGAACTTTCGTGATCTTGCGAGTAGGTGATACATATTCAAACCTAACACATTCACCCTGAAGCTTACTGACGAGCCATTTCGTCGTCAAAGGGTCGTATATACATGTCCCGGATGATGGCGCTGTTCCCGGTGGAGACGGTGCTGGCGAGGTCATCGCAATAGGGAAACATGTCGTGCGTTTTTGCCCAGGCGACAATTTTTTATCTATACCTGGCAGACTGGATAGTTTGGCGGCACGCACTCTGGCCATGGAGCTGAAATGGCTGATGGGGGGTGCAAGGCCCCTACGAGTTAGACATAGTTGTGGTGCAAGGCGCGTGCGGTGTCAGTGTAGCTGCTCTACAACTTGCTGTTGCCGCAGGCGCCACTGTCATTGCCACGGCATCATCTCCTAAGAAAGGGGCATTTCTAGGCATTTTTCACAAGCCTAGGACCTCGACATGTCATTAACCATAGTGAATGGGGTGTTACTGCCAAGAAGCTCTCTCCGGGTGGGCTTGGTTGCACGAAGGTTATCGAGATAGGCGGCCGTCAGAGTACTTGCAAGCAGGGTCTTGAGTCGCTGGCATTAGACGGCGAGATTGAAGTCATTGGATTTTTGATTCATCTTGAAGAGACGGGGCAGAATGGCGATCAGCCACTTCAGGGGGGCTCCAAGGTGGAAACCGGCAACAGTTTGGCAAAGTCGTCCGCATCATTAAATCGCGAGACATCAAGCCAACAATTGATCCACGCATATTTGAGTTAATTTGACCTGAAATTGACTTACCAATACTTATGGAATTGGAAACAGGTTGGGAAAGTCGTCGTTAGCATCCCTGCGTAAGACTGCGGCGTTGTTAGCAGCTGTTCTGTCAGGAACACAGACGTTCTTAGTTGACAGACTACATAGCCAAATAGTAACACCTGAGAACTAGAGATAAGTTTACTTTGCTGCTTACCTCGCAGAAGAGACCTAATAATAGCTATAAGCAAGCAAAATACACGTACAAATTAAACCTAGGATTCAATTCTGCCGTACATGGTTTCTTCTATATGTTGAGGGTTTGGCGCATTGCGACCGCTAGACGTAAACGTAAGCAGCGCTAAATGAAATCTATGCTTGACCCTTCAATCAGAAGCTGCACAATTCGACATTGATCCTCTTTTATGATAATATACGCTGAGTAGGAAAATATGACCATTACTTATTTTTTTTTCCCTTATTTGTCTTGGCTAATGCGTTCTATATTTTCCATGTCTGAGCCCTTGCCTCTGTGAGTATGCGACCAGTATGTTATGGAAATGCTGCCTTTTAGGTCAACTCCCAACACATTTTTACACTGAGTTTCATTGAATGTCTCTTTCTCTGCTGAACACGGAGACCGCACATCTTCTTCGGTGTTCCAATTGAAAGGGTATACCATACTGTCGGGCAATACAATTATCGTGTTCGCTGCGTCACCACAAGATTCATATTGTTTTACATTTTTACGCAGAGCAATAGGACCAGTCAACTGCTCTGCCGAGGGGTAATCGTACCACCAGCTGTGTAGAATGCGCCTGCTCTTTTGTATCTCTGCTTGCGCAGAGCTCATAGGGAATAGGAAGAAAGGATGTCCAGCTGAGGCGGCCATCCATGCATTGGGTATGCTGTGATCGAAAGTTGGATCAGACCCCATGCGACCAAACAGCGCAACTCGTGCCATGGAAGCTTCATCGCCAAAAGTTTTGCTGTGTTGATCGGGCAAAGAAATGTTCTGGGATGCAAGACCACTGAGTGTAGGGCGCAGACATTCGGTGTCCAAATCGGCGTAAACGCTACCCCTCTCGTCAGAATAAGCTTCACATTTAGAGTTACTTATAGGCTGAACACGAGCTCAACTCACCCCCCAAAAAGATACATATAAAGATTCCGTGCCAAATCTGCTCTGTAGATATTCCCGGGGAGACTTAGAAAAGTATCCTCGAGCCACGGGAAGTATTGCTTGACAAGCTGGAGGTTATCTTCATCGGTCCATAGAACCCATTCCCAATCAGGGTGCTGCCTGCGACACGTATTGCTCCATTTTTTAAACTTAGCAGGTAATTCTGTCGATTTCCAGCTTTGGTGAAGCAGCTTCGGAATCCCCCCCTGTAAAGACTTTGGCGAGCGACAAAGAAGTTCTGCTGGCGACAAGGCTGATGCTAACTTTGTATCAGAGGAGTCTGCCTGCGGGCGTGAAGTCGATAAAAGCGGGCAGTTGTTGGAGGCATGGGAGGACGGTATGTGAGGTGGCGTAGCAGAGAGCCGGCAAGTTAATGGGCTAGTACCAAGGCCGGTTCCAAAGTATGGGATAAACTGTATGAAAATGATGCAAAACAAGAGTGTAATTGCTAGTATATAAAGCCGACGCAATCGCTGAAAAACCAGCATACTTACAGTCTCTCTGCCAAATGTGGGCTATTTGAGAAAGAAAGCCAGCTTTCTTCTTACGTTAACCCTACTTTTTCTACCTATTCTTTGATACTACTTAACTTATGCAATAATAAGGGGCTTGATATTCATTTGCCTCATTGGTCTTAGCCACATTTGAGATTATTTCAATTTGATTAGTATTTTTAATCATTATTCTGCATACAAAGCTTGAACATGTTAACCTTCTTTATCTCGACATTGAAAAGATTACCATTGCTACAAGTACGTCCATTATATTATTTCAATTTCTCAATAATATATCTTAAGCTTGTTTGACTCCGCGAACTCCGAGATGCACTTACTCTCAACACTGTTATTGGAGAAGCTGCAACTTGTATCCTACACATTACGAGATAATCCAGCAGCTTCAATGGCTGTGCACACAGGTGGGGTCAAGCTGCCTAAGGCTTTAGATCTCTATATTGTTATCCAAAATTGACTGTGCATACAAAATGGCAGACCTGTGTCGCATTTTAAGTATGCCCATGAATTGGTAATATAACACACTCGCGAACGATAAAGATGTTTGTGCAACTATTAATGTTCATAATTAAAAGAAAAGTACAATGGTGTAGGTCTATTTGCCATTTTGACTCTAATCCACGATATCTCTTAAGCCTGCGTTCACAGTTATGTAAGCCGTACCACGTATCAAGTGCCTGGGGCTAATGAAAGGGCTGTCCATTTAGTGGGAGGCATTACTTCGCATAGCAGTTTTCTAAGCGCTCTTTCTGCCCTCTAGAAGCCGAGGCAATGCAAAGGCCACCGATATATCAATTGACATACAAAAGCGGCTTGAACATACCTCAGCCAAGTTTCACATATATGGAGAAAGATAAATAGCACTCCTAAAAAAGGCTTTCTGTTCTAGCCAAATCGTATAGTAGGACTACTCTGCTTGGCTGCTGTACCACTTTCGTTGCAACAATAACCACCTACTAATGGCAGCGCAGCGAGCTTATTAGATCTCGATCAATTAATCTTTTAGTTGATACCGCCAGCTTGGTGGCAAAGGTTCCGGGACAAATATCCAGGCATTTGCACTAGTGCTATATGATTGTAACAATTCTGGTAAGCTACGGGGGGCAAAAGAGCAGAGCAGTTCTTGTAGATATAATTGAGCAAAGGTACGAAGGAGATTTGCGTAGCCGCAATTGGAGAAAATCGCACTTGCAGCTTTGCTCTTATAAATGGGCTGGAAAACTAACGCTAAATAAAGCTTAAAGATACTTCTTTAGCATTTGGTTAGGACAGAATCTTTTGCCGCCTTTATAACATAAGAAGAACCTCCTGTTTAGTGTTTTACTATGCCTTTCGTACAATACCACAATGGTTCTTTTACCACATTATGACGCCCCATAAAAGCTATGTATTCGTCCTTAATGCTACATCTTAACAAGAATCATAGATTACCGCTTAACGCTTTGATGACATTGTATTGCACTCCAAATAGGACAAAGCCCGACTTCCTAGCTATACTTGATATAAATTTCATTATAGAAGAAGTGGCTTCCAAGCGAAGGAAAAAAGGAATGCGCTAAAAGCACCACCTGTCTGCCTGCATGCTTTCCAAGGCGGCCTCAATCAAGCATGGTGACTTCGATCAGCGCAGCAGCTTCGCTCACTATTATGAGCGCTTTGAGCGGGCATCAAGATTTTAATTATCGTATCTCATTCGATTACTCAGAAAACATTAAGCTATCAGGAAGATAGACCAGGTTAGAGATCCCCTGGTTTGCTCTCCGTCTTGCGGAGCCGCAATAGCCTCAGTCTTAGTGCTAGGCAATAACAGCCCTTTCCTCTTAGTTCTAGAACTAGAGCCAGCGAATGTTCCTCCAACTTATAAAAACATAAAATAAGAGGCGGAAACCGCCAAAAGCAGTGTTGCCCCGAGATTCGGTACAGAATAAGTACCGGCGATACCCGGGTGATCGCCATTTCCACTGTCATTGCCTGTTTTATTTGATGCGTCGGGATCTCGGCTGCCACTGGTGACATTGTTGGGGCGCAAGCACCGCAACGCTGCGCCGGTGACATTTATCGTGTCGGATACATGGCTCCACGTGAAGAGTACAGGCCAAATATTTCTAATCGCCGCATCATATTCTGTTTCGTTATCGCTCGATGTCGGTTCCAAGCCCATTGTGAAAAATCGGCCGCCCGTAAGCAATTCCTTGGTAAATTCTTGAACGCGTTAGCTCTTCGCTCCTCTCCTCTGTAAGATAGTGCGATTAACCTACCGAACGAGGTCGAATCCATCTGAGAGGCTCCGTCCCCAGACGACGATGGATCAAGCCACTCTTCGCAAGAGTTTGGCACAATAATCGAATTACAATCACTTGAGCCGTTCTTGACCGAATCTCGCAAATCTTTCTGGCACTGTTGGGATAAGAAGTCGCAGTTTCCGCCTTTGCCAGCATCATCCTGGTTGTCCGCTGTCGCGTTAGATCTGAGACCAAACATGACGTGGCCGCACATTGTCGAGTCGCTCGTAAGATTGGCAGCCTCTTTTTTGTCAATGTTGCTGAAACCCATAGAGACCAACTGGGTAAACTGCTTTTTTTCAGCGGCGCTGAGGTTTTTATCACTAGATCCATTAAGCGGGATATCAGCTTGAAGTGAGATTTCGACGGCCCAGAATTTCCCTTCGAATGACAAGGGCTGTTTTGGATTAGAAGTGTTGAGTGCTGGAACACTGAAAGAACCAGTGGCATTGGCTTGCGAAGAAGGTCTGAACGAGCTATCTGGAAGGCCGAATGGCGCCTTTTCGCCAATGGTAAAGGATTCCTCTGCGTCAACATTGCCACTGACTAGGGATGCCAAGAAGGCGACGTAGGCTACTCGGCGCAAGGAAGCCATTGTTATTGAGTATGGGTGTAAAATGTAAAATAAAGCTGTGATGTTACGATAGCAGCAATTGTTCTCAACGGTATCTTTTATAAGTGCAAAACGCGCGTTGGAAAATTCCCAGCTATATGATAGAGTACACTTACATAAAGACACCGATACTGGTCTCATTTTATAAATAGTATCTCTATCATTCTCCAAGGCTAAGCCACTTATGCAGCGCCACGTGAGCCTTGGAAAGATGATGAAAGAAAAGTAGGCGACGACAGAAAGCACCGAAAATAGACGAGGGATATCTTGTAGTTGAACATCAATGCAGGGCCAACGCTGTTAGTGCTTTTTATTATCCTAAATAAAGATTAGTACTCGCTAGAATCCCCTGAGGATTAGCGATCGCCGTATAGAAACTATTGGGGGGCTGACGCCGGTGATTCGTAGCACTTACAAAGCAACAGTTGAGATAGTTCAGAAGGAATTAAAGCAGCCCCTATTCCTTGGTATATTACTCATCCTACGACATAGCGGAAACATCACGGAGTAAATAGGGCCCTTTGTGAGCTCTGACCGTCGCTAATATGACGCTATATCCGGTTCACAAGGACAAGAATTTACAGAATATATGAATCGGCCGGCTTGTATGCGCATCTGTTCAACAACAAAGGCATATGTGAGGGGAGAATCATGAACTCTGGTAGCATACTGAGAGTGGTAAGCCATATCTAGTGCAATAGCTAGTAGCGATATAAAAGTAGGTAGTCGATATAGCAGATCGAGTGTCAGGAGATAGTAAATGTAACGGTTAATCGGTAAATGATGTTGCCACTGACATAGACTAACTTCAAGCGCGTGATCTCACATAAAAAGATAAGACTGCCTCATTCCAAGCATAAGAAAGGAGCGTGCAATTAAAGTATAGTTTTGCAAACATAAAGAGCATACTTACGTACAATAGTAGAAACAAAAGTATGAATGAGGCTAGAATTAACCACCAGACGCAGAGTAAAAGACAGTTTCTTCGCTACATCTTGACTCATATTAGTTTTAAACCCCTCAAGGATACGTGTGTTGGCTGTATATGAGGTGATGATCGGATTAATTGAAGAATACTTTAACAATGTTAAGATAATGACACGGTCTAGGTGACTACAATGTTGCGCTGTAACTAAAGAGTGGCCCAGTCACTAAGGTGTTGCTCCGTGACCAGTGTTGCTACGTAATCAAGTCCGGCTTTGGTCGGTCTAGTAAAAGATTAGTTCGATCAATACAGATGAGGACACAGCTCTAACTGCGAAATCACACCCTACAACAGTTCTCTCGCTGTTCAGAAGATATGTGATAATTGATGTCGTCGCGAGAAAGTGATATCGTGTCCATCGCAAATATGAGAAAAAAGAAAGGATGAAAGTATTCGAATAATGGCGATTCAGATTTTGATGGCCTTTATAGTACCTGAACTATCTGTAGGAGCAACAGTGGAACACTTCCTCTTATATGTATATTCCGTGAGCTTAAGTAAACGAAGAGACATCTGCCTCAATTTAATGTAAAATTATTTACTACAATTTGTAGGAAAGGTCACCGCTCGCCGGTTGAGTATACGATTGATTTGACTATTGCTTCCAATGTCCTGAGAATGTAAGCAATTTGTCGAAACTAAGCCTGACAAGACAGAGAGGAGTAAGTAAGAGAACAGTCCTTCAAGTCTAGCGGCGCAGAATACTCTTGGTTTTATTTCCATTCAATGTTGTGGATGCTGAAAGGGGCCGTTTGGTAGTTAATTATCACTAGGTCTCATAAATTGCGAATGAAAAGGAGGCTGTGCTAAGTCGAGAGGAATCAGACCGAAAAATTTTTGCTGACCTGAGGATCTAGAGTCGCACTACAACAAATCGTCTAACTCTAAAAGAATCATCGAGAGGTATTCAGTAATAGTGACCACAAGGATGAGGCTTTGGACACTGCATTATTGGAACGGTATGATGCTGTGCGAGGCAGGTATGAGAAAATCGCTATAGAATACTATCTGACGTTATTAAGCACTCGAGATAAGTTTGAAACCTTATAGAAGTATTCGAAGTGCGAAAGTCTTGTCCATACCATTCAAGGTTTGAGCTAGTGGAAGCTATCTCCTTTTGAGCCTCGAGATTAGGAATCACGACCCTAATACCTTTTCGACGTGATCGTCAGCTTACTTTTGATCTCCATTACCCACGAAGCCTTCTTACGTTGCGCCCGCAGAAATTGCTAGATTAATTTCTTTTCCACGTGAGTGGCAAGCTGTTAATGCCAACAGACGCCAGTTATCAACTCTGCTGACAGCGAAATACGACAATGTGATTGATGCATTACTTTTCTTGGTGAATTATCTGTCTAATCAAATAAAGAATAAAACAATGGTGCAACTGCTTAAACTATTCGAGGCCGCTGATTTATGGGGCATATGCTTGCTGGCGGCGGCTATATATTTTGTCTCACTTATTCTCTATCGCCTCTATGTGCATCCTTTGTCCGACGTTCCCGGTCCCAAGCTTGCCGCAATCACTAGCTGGTATGAAACTTATTACGATCTTTTCAAGACACCTGGCGGGCAGTACTGGAACAAGCTCGACGAACTCCATAACACCTACGGCCCTATCATCCGTATTAATCCAAATGAGGTTCAAATTCACGATCCAGAGTTCTATACTCAGATTTATGCTGGGGGGCCGAATAAACGAAATCGGTACGCACGCAGCGTCTCGGGTAATGGCTCACCTGGATCCATGGCTTCGGCTGTTTCTCACGATCTACATCGGCTCCGCCGAAGCTCATTGAATCCATTCTTTTCAAAAGCCGCCGTGCTAAGACTCGAAGAAAGAATCCAAAGTAGAGTTAGGATCCTCTGTGAACGTTTCTCTGGCTTTCTAGAAAGAAAGGAAATAGTTGACGTGAGCGTGGCAATGACTTCGCTAACCTTGGATATTATCACAGAATATTGTGAGTTTATTCAGTGCAAATTATTACTTCGATTACCATCTGATAATTAGGAAAAGCATTCGGAGAATCTTGGAATCTTATGGATAGAGATGACTTGAGTTACGACTTCATCAAGGTGATGAGAGGCGGCTTTGAGACACTCCAGATTCGGAAGCTTTTTAACTCAGTCATTAACCTGATCCCACCCAGTATTCTAGCTTGGTCCAGCCCAGACATGAAAGTCTTTTTCGAATTCAAAGATGTATAACTCCATTTCCAACGGTGAAATCGCCAATGCTGATTATTCATGCAGAGATGTTTTGAAACATGTCGAATGATCAAAATCTCTCATAGCGATACGAAAGTGGATTCGGAAACTAGACAAACGCGAATTAATCTTTTCACAGAGGCACTGGACAGGCTTCCAAAGGAAGAGACTGAGACGCAAAGACTTGCAGACGAAGCTCTAGTCCTTATCACAGCGGGCTCTGAGACAACTAGCAGGGCATTAGCAACGATCATCTACCATGTACTAGAAAATCCAGACATATGCACTAAATTGCAGCAAGAACTCGACATAGCGATACCAGATGCTACCATGGAAGTATCTTACTCAACTCTTGAGGCTCTACCTTACTTGGTAAGTTTCTACATCAACTCTGTTCTCTCAATTATAAATAATGACTGACTTCCTACAAGACGGCGACAATCAGAGAATCATTGCGCATTAGTGCGCTTGTGCCAAACCGCTCTCTACTGACAGCAGATCAGCCATTGCAATATAAGCAATGGAGCCTAAACCCAGGAGTGAGTATTGAAGAACCCGATCTAATTCATGAAGGTTATGCGTGACGGCCATAGGCTTACCCGAGCGCATAAGACCGCTTTTTGCATGAGCACTTCCAAGTATCTTCTCGATGCCTCCATCTATCATAGTCCTACTGTATTTGATCCCGAACGCTGGCTTGGTGACCCACAGAGTACACAGAAACTCCTTCACCATTTTGCGCCGTTTTCCAAGGGACACCGAGGATGTATTGGAATGAAGTAAGCTTTATGCATGCATATTATGTCGATATCGCTGATAACTTTGACTAGTCTTGCGTATGCCGAGCTATATCTTGTTTCTGCTCATCTAATCAGACGCTTTGACATGCGCTTGTGCGATGTAATCAGAGAGAGAGATGTGGACACCGTACGAGACGCTTTTATTGGATTGCCCAGTAAGGAATCCAAAGGTGTAAGGATCGAAATAACTCAAACACGGAAATAAGAACGACATGATGCCCGTAGAGCATGCAGTAAAATATTCTTTCTGAGAGCTTCTTATATTAGACAAAACTTGGCATGATTTGGTAGGAAGTTATTACAGCGTCCAACTTATTCAAGTAGTCTAATTCATAATCCACCGCAAGGTCATCCTGCACCCATATATGCTGGAGAATACTTTGTAATTCACGCAAGCTTCTCAAACTCGAGGTCGCCATTGCCCTTTCGATCTGTCTCAGAATTCTTCTTCTTTGTTCATCCGTCCGAGCCTCACATCCAATAATAAGAAGCGGGAAGGTCGGATTAAAGCTTCCTAAGTCATCGAGAAGTATGTGCGCTTTGTCAATCATTGCATCAATTTGTGGTGTTGACCCTGAAAAATTTCGTGATGCTCTTCGAAGATAAATTAGAGCGGCTAGTTTAAAAAGCTCTATCGTAGCCACCCAGGCTGTGCTCGAGCCCGGCATAGTATCCGATGTCGCCAACGGAACAATATTGGTTATCGTATTTTCGAGGCAACGCAATGATCTTTCATAGTCTTCGTTGTGGTAAGATGAGTCCGTCGGTTTCCGAATCGTCTCGAACATAATATGCAAATATCGAAGAATCTCATGTGAGCAGTACGATACGTCGTTAACCTATCGACTATTAGATCAATGATGTTGAAAATATGAAACATCATAACTCTTCAGACCAACCTTTCGTAATTGGCAAGTACCTCGGTCCACCGGCATAGAATTCTTTGTTCTGTTATCAGATTCTTTGTGCATATACCAGTGTCGGATGCTAAACCGGGCCATGACCATATGATACTCTACCCAGCCCAAAAGTCCGGAAAACTCTCGTTGAAAACACTGGCTTCCGACGGATGCGTTGTCGATTAATTGTTTAGCTTCACTTAAGTGACCTAAAATGCAAGATGTATATTAGAAATGGCGTTGAAGAACCTAATCACCTATTTCAGGGCAAGGCAGCACAGCAACGAATATTGTAGCGAAATACGCTTTGAGCCAAGAAAGTAGGCAAAGAGAAATCATGTATCACTTACAGAACCACACAGATACCGAGTTTGGCATTCCGAGCATCTTGAGCGCTGGTAAGCGTTTGTTCACAAACGATATAGACACAAACTCGAACATACCTCAAGATGACAGAGTATCATACAAGCTGCAATATGCTGAACTATCATGGGATCTTCAATGGAGGGGATGCAAGATGTGATCAGGATACGGAGAGCGCGAGCTTTGAGCCGGTAAACATCCGCTTTCAGACCATTACGGTGGAACGACGAGAGAGCCAGTGCTGATTGTAGTACAGCCATTGAAGCTGGTGAACTATCTGAAAGAGCTAAACGTATTAAAAGACTTAGGAAGTCGGTCTTATTGGGCTCGAAAATAGCCAATGTGAAAGGCGCCGTATATATAACTACAACTATGAGCTTGGCCAATTTCTGCGATACTGGTATTATACTTACAGTGGTCAAGAAGCTCTCTTTCCCCATAAGATAGTTTGATCGGGAGCCATGATAGTGTCGCCGGTGGATCAATTACCTGGATGGAAAAACCCTCATGGCTACTGAGTCCTATTTCCGGATATATTAGCTAGGTGATAAGCCAATTCCGTAAAAAAGCTGACCTTGATTCATTCGTAAGTAATGGTGAAGCTGAATATCCCATGTTGTCGTATTTACAAAGTCCATTTGGGAAACACTTTTGGCAGTCTCGAATCCATTCTGAATAGAATGAGTCAAGCTGCGCTTCGTATTGGCAGTCGCTGGCCACGACAGTCGCAATCCATACTGACACAGCCTATTAGACTTAGCGCACCGAGAACATTGTGGGCGCGCGCGGTTGCAAACGGCTCTGGAATCTGTGACACTTGAGTAAATGAGTAGCGTAGCGACTCACACAGCGCAGAGGAAACTACCTTTACAAGCCCAGCACTCATTCGAAAGCATTGTGAACTACTTCCTTTACTGTTATGTCCGGAGTTTTCCTGGAATTGATCAAAGAGTTGCCATGTTTCCTCTTTTGTAATGCGCGTTGTAAGGTGGAGAAGTATGGGATTCAAATACATTTCTAATTACTAATACTCACTTGCCTTTCCGTTTTGAGAAGATTGGCAACTTTTTTGTATCTTTGCATTTAAGGTGGACCCTCGGTTCAGGCGCATCATGTATTAGCATCATCACAGATTTGAAATCAGTAAAGACGGGCAAATGAGACCATGGTCGATATATAAATACAGCACGGTTGCTGTACATTCGAGTCTATTTTTTTAAAATCATCGAACAATCTCTATCAAATTTAAAACATTTTGAACCCGTCACAATGTCTTCTTGGGTGATTACCGGAGTCTCGCGTGGCCCTGGTGTAAGCTCTTATGCCATATATACAAGAGAGTGTCATTAATACTTTATTGTTTAGTTTGAGTTCCTCCGCCAACTCTCTGAGAATCCAAGCAATACTGTCTTTGGCCTTGTCCGTGACAAAGCAGCCGTCGAAGCCAAGGTTGCCGATGAAATTGGCCGGAAGAATATTTACATCATTCAGGCCGACACCACGGATCCGGTGGCGCTGGAGGTAAGCTAATCAAGGATTACTGGAATTTGAAGTCGAAACTAATACCAAGACTTTATAGAAAGCAGCTCAGCATGTTTCTGAAAAAACCAATGGCACGCTGGACTATGTCATAGCCAATGCCGCACTTCAGTCCAAGACTGCGTTAGTTGGTTTTGATACCCTGTAAGTTCTAGACAGGGCAAGAAGTATGTTTGAGATGTCACATTCAAGACTAACTATTCAACAGGAGCCGCGATCCGAAGGCTCTTGAACAGGATGTGATCGACCATTTCCGAATCAATACTATCGGTGCCATCCATCTTTTCAATATTTTCATGCCCCTGATTCTGAAAGGCCAGGCAAAGAAAGTCATTGCTATCTCCACGGGCATGTCGGACACTGAGATGACTCTCAAGGCTGATATTTACCAAGCAACTTCCTATGCGATGAGCAAAGCAGCTCTCAATATGGCTGTAGCCAAGTTCAGCGCTCTGTACCGCGAGCAAGGCGTTCTTTGCATGGCCATTTGCCCTGGTGCAGTGGACACTGGCAGTCTTGATATTAGTAAGTAGCTGTCTTAACAATTGAAGTAGATAATGTTTGCTGATACCGCGATAGAAACTGAGGAGGAAGGGAAATTGGCTATGGCCATGTTTGACAAGTTCAAGCAGTATTCACCTACCTTCCAAGGGCCTATGAGTCCAGAGGACAGTGCCAGATCGGTTTTGGCGCTTGTGAATAAGGCTACTGTTGATGGTGGTTACGCAGGCGTCTTCCTTTCCCATACAGAGTCAAAGCCGTACCTTTAAGACTGAGAAAGAAGGTGGCGTCGGTTCTTTGCAAAATCTGCACAAGCCTTCAATGTACCAGCTCAATATTTCCTGTTGGCTCTAAAGCTATCTCTTGAATGCGTCTGATACTGGAATAGTTTATACTATGGCATCTGCAAGTAACTAAGGACTTGGTAAAAGAAAAAGCATTGAATAGATACCGCCCAAAAGCAATTCTTGGCAGGCATGAACGGTTGGCAATATATGAGGCGGTGCATGAAGGGCAGTAGCCAGTTTGCATTGACATAGTTCCCTTATATATCAAGAGACACAATAGAGTAAGCGGTCAACGTTTTGTTTCATGAAATGGTTGATTCCTACGCGACAGTGCGGCCTTTGAACACTACTGGGTGGAATTATATTGCCTACCTCTTTTCATGGCGGCGTAGCAAATTGTATAAAACAATAAGCTCTGCCATCATGCTATTACACACTGGATTTCTTCAAGTTCCAACTTCATCTTGTTCCGCAAGTATACTCCAGTGACCGGCGTCTAGCTCCATTGCAGGACGGTAGGGCGTTAAACCAAGAGATTCCACATCTCTGACTCCCTGTGCTCGGCGGACAACACGGTTTATACCCAAAACGAATATGAACGGCTTTAACCACGATTTGAATCCGTTCATAGCCTCGTATCCATTCACTACATCTGTGAAGAGGTGTTATGGCTTGTGACAAACATATAGGCCACATGATTCTTATGAGCCGGTAAATAGAGCTTTGGTGCACAATGACTGATGGAGAATTAGATGCGGACAGCCAAATTTACTCGATGCCGAAGGATGAAATATTAAATTGTAGAGATATAAACGTTTCCGTAATAGAAGTCAACTATGATTTTGTGAAAATTATCGTCTGTTATCCGTGAGTCGGCGTGCCAAATGTAGGCCCAGCGACTCCCTCTTTCGACTCGTATATCCGCTGCAAGAAACAGCTCGTCGTTGGAGGTCCTGTGAGACTCGTCCAGAACGCATAAAAGCTGACACCAGCGCCGGAATTAGGGCCGCAAATGTAGATAGCTCTTGCTCCCTCATTAGAAGCAAGATTAATGTATGTCCCGTCCGACTCTCGACTGATTACAAACTGCAGTGGTCGGCAGGTTGAGCATGCCTGGACGTTGGCTAGTTTGTCGAAAGCGAGGGTTTCGCTATTCACACCGTTGTGGACGAAGGCGACCCAAGTCTGGTCTTCTGTTCCCGTGGCGGACGAGGCAGCTACTCGAGATTGCATGATAGTCAGGCAGCCCTCTGGAGTGAGACCCATACGAGGAGCTGTGGTGTTGGCTCCTGCAATTGTGGCAGCCTGAATCTTATTGGTAGGGCTGAAATCTCGGTTCACGAGAAAATTGCCCGAGAAAAAGTTGTCCGCCGCTGGGCGCACGTTCCGGATGTAAAAGTTTCCAGTTGCAGAGGCAGTGGGGGTGGTTGTGACTGTGGATGTTACCACTGATACTTGAGTGGTAGTCGCTGGAACAACGGTCGTGCTGTCAACCGTCGTAGTCTCCACCACTTCGGCAAGAGTGGTGGTTTGATAAGAAGTAAGAATCTGTGTAACTTCAGGCGCCGTTGTTGCTGCTTTATCCGTTTCCGTGACCGTTACTGCTGGTGCTGTCGCCGTGGCGTAAATAGTTGAGATCGGGATCGTCAGACAAGCACAGCCACTGGATATTTTACTCGGGTCGTATAACTGAGTAATTCGCTGCGAAAGAGGCGTTGAGAGAGCACGTCCCTGCACTACCGGGCCTGCTGTCACGGTGATGAACTGCGTCGTAAGTGACGTGTCGGTCACAGTGCTCGTTTCGGTGTGTACGTTTGTGACCGTGGTAGTCCGCGTGGGAATCACCGTCTCGACCAGCTCTGTGTAGATTGTGGCAGTTGGAGACACATCGGTGAAGATCTTAGAGTATGCGGTGGTCGTTGGTGTCACAGTCGTGGCTGTGATAGTAGAAGCTGGCAATTGGAGATACGTGCTACAAAAGGGCAGCACTTCCGGCAGGTTGGACGGCGAGCGCAGCAGTTGGAGGAAGTCGTCTGGGTAGCACTTTGGGCGACAGCCACGGGCGGGAGTTGCCTGCGCCAGAGGAGCTGCTAGCAAAGCTGCCAGGGACAATGATAATGTGCTCATCTGAGGCCACATTTTCACGAGTGATGTAAATATTTACAAAAATGTCAAGGTTGAATGTGTGTCGATGGCGAAGACTTGCTTATCCGTATCGTGAGAAAGATTTTATGGCTACGAGAGCGGGCTGCAAGTATTGCCCTAATGCACTTTTCATTAACAAAGTGGTTCAGCTTTGGCTTCCCAATCTACGTTTAGGCCATCTTGATTAAACTACTAACTTGGCGATGCGCTAACAATTCTTTCAGCCAATGAAGCCTTGATGTTTAAGCTTAAGATAGCTCTATTTGTTCAGCTGAGCTGGGCGGAGCGGAGAATATTGGTTTTACTGTGGATCTAATTTGGCAGTCGGCGAAGTCACTAGTCCAGGGGTACGCGTGATGGCATCCGTAGATCGAAGCCTACGTGTTTCCAATCAGCCAATAAATTAATTACAGCGCTAACCCTTTCATGAGCTAGATAGTCAAAAATTGTTTACACTTTAATGTCCAGGTAGGATGGAAAAGAGGTTTCAAAATTTAGCCATGATCAGCTGAATGTCTGGCATGTGAAGAGCTGTCTGTATCGCCCACGCGTAAAATCACAGGTGCACAATTTGTGTAAACAGATAGCTCGCTCCGTAGTCAAAATAGTAAATTCGACTGAACTTCTCACACAACTTCTTTGAGTTTGCCAGTTTTTATATCATAAACATAGCCCTTGACGTTGTCTCTAAGCTCTTGTCGAATAAATTTCTGTTCTTTCAGAAGGCGCAAATCCTCACGGACGCTCTCTTCCAACCTGGAAGCCCATGTACGTCAATATACTGAAGAATAAAAGGTGTTGCGCACTTGGAGACGGCGATTGCATTGAACATACCTATCGCTAGATCCAAAAGTATCCCAAGACAGTGAATCGACCTTGCCATCGAGATTCGGATATTTAAGTCTTAATTTTTGCCGAAGGTTGTTGTCTGTATGATACGTGAAACCGCAGTCTAATGTGATGTTAGAGATGTTGCAAGTCTTTTCATTTCTTCTGCAGTTTGGCATCTAATAATTACCTGTATGGTGAATGACAATAATATTCTGCAACGCTCCCTCTTGAGTCGCTTCCATAAAGATTAGATCACTTAGATTCGGCTTAACACGTCCACCGCAGTTTCTAATAACAAATGCCTCTGTTCGTGGAACTCGAGTTAGTGAATACATTAATAAATACAATTTATACATTCGCCTACCTTCTGGAGATATCTGGAGGAATTCTTGAATTGGCACACGGAGGTCAATGCAGCAAACTTGCACATAGCGTTTTAGTCCTCAAAATGGCGCGATTCACGGATTTCTGGATAACATACAAATGATAATCGGAGAGGGCTTGACATCTCGGAGATCAGGCCTGGGAACATGTGCTGTCTCCGAGTACTCTCTGGGCTTGGTTAGTATATGCTTTCCATATAGCTTCAGGTGTCTGTGGGTGGTTTATTACCGGTTTCGTTCCAGCAATTGATCCCAAGTAGTCATTTTGAAACATATGGTATTAAGAAGTACAAAAATGTTATCGTCTTTGTTAGTATCATAAGCCAGATAAGCTATATTTAAAATGGCGATCATGAGCGACAAGCAACTGACTTAGAGTTATCTTGAACATACAAATACATATACTGGCTATGCTTTGTTACCCCAGAGCCTGTTCTTTGTCGTTCATAGTGTTTCCCAACCCGTATGTGGAATCATTGGAGTTTATCATTTTACTGTGCCATCATCAGATTCAGGCATATTATCTTTGTGTTGCTTCTTGATTTGTAATTTGCCATTAACTTTGCGTAGAAAATGCAAGACCTCCAATCCAGCCGGCCGACATCATCGAGTTGGAGGTTAGCTTTCAGCCTACTCCAACAGTTATGTGGGTCAACGCCCAATTGTCTCCAAGCCCACTTGAAGTAGCTGGCTTAGGATGGGGCGCCTCCTCCATGGAGGAGATCACCGGCTAATCCAACTTTGAACAACCTCGGAGCTCCTATCATGTTATGAAAAGGATAAGATTATAGATTATTCATGTCTTGACTGTGCGCGAGTGGTTTAGCACCTTCACACCATAGGAACCCTTCCTCACCCTGCTCTTGCGCTTGTGTAACCTATACCACAACCATAAATTGGCGCGGGGTCAACTGTGCTTTCTGAAAATATTCACTCATTGACAATCTTACCAAGCCATGGGGAAAAAACGCGTTTTGGTGAGCTGGGGTGTTGACGTTGACGCTGTTGCAGGATGGCTGGGCTCCTACGGAGGAGAGGACTCAACAAACGACATCAGCAGAGGCAAGACCAATTTTGTGTGGCCACTCTGATTGAGTAACAACGGTGCTAAGACTTTCTATGCAGGGATATTTGCTGCCACTGTTGGAACACAGCGCATGCTAAAGATGTTCGATAAATACAATATCAAAGCAACCTGGTTCATTCCGGGTCATACTCTTGAATCATTTCCAACGGAGATGGCGGCAGTGCGAGATGCTGGTCATGAGATTGGGCTGCACGGTTACTCACATGAGAACCCAGCGGACATGACGTTGGAACAACAGCGAACTGTTCTCGATAAAACCTATAGGCTGCTTACTGACTTCTGTGGCAAACCACCAAAAGGTAGTGTCGCGCCTTGGTGGGAAGCAAGCGCCGAGGGAGCACAGCTACTGCTGGATTATGGAATCGAGTATGACCATAGTCTGAGCCATCATGACTGCCAGGCGTATTATCTTCGAACTGGAGATTCTTGGACCAAGATTGACTATAGCAAACATGCAAATGAATGGATGAAACCCTTGGTCAATGGCAAGGAAACTGGGCTGGTAGAGATTCCTGCAAACTGGTACATCGATGATCTTCCGCCGATGATGTTTATCAAAGCCGCGCCAAACAGCCATGGATATGTAAACCCGCGAGACGTCGAAGATATTTGGAGAGATACTTTTGACTATTGCTACAGAGAGTATGACGAGTTTATATTTCCCATCACTTGCCATCCCGACGTCTCCGGTCGGCCACAGGTTATCTTGATGCACGAACGGTGAGTAACTCAAACACATTTATCCCGTCAATGTTTACTTACGTATTGATGAAACTATATAGCCTTATAGAGCATTTCAAAAAGCATGAGGGCGTGGAATTTGTGACCATGGGTTACATTTCTGACGATTTCAAGAAGAGAAATGCTCTGGCGGCCGGCGTTGTAACGCCGGCCCCAGCGGGCTCGATTTTGGGACAAAAGCCATCTTGTTAATACAAGACGGGACATTATTATGGCTTGTATTTAGATACGCCATCACTGACTTTAAACCTGTATTTTCAGAGTTGGTAGAAAAGAGAATCCTTCTTCTATTGCTATTCCTAGTCGTGCTCTCTCATTGTTGCGTTCTTTTCGCTACGGTGGGATACTTGCGCGAGATAGAGTTCATCATGATTTGCGATTGCTAGACTAGTTTGACAGTAAATGATAAATAACTTTTGTGCTTATGCGACGGTTCGAATAGAGAAAGGCGTCCTATCTTTTTATTAGCTTCTATTCTTGTTTTGTTTCATTTCCGCCATACCTTCAACTAGCATGTAAGCTACTGTGGTCCACTCTATTTTGAAACTACCATCGGTGTGCAAGATGCAGTCTGCAAGAACATCTGATATGAGTCAACATGAGACTGCATTCGATGTAGGACATCCCGGATGGACATGATTAGTGATTTCACGGTCTTCAAGTAGCGTCTAAGTGCTCCAACATCTCCATCCTCTCCACATTTCCAATGGTCTTAGAGTAGTACTATTCACCGGCACTCAGGACATTGACTAGACGATGGGAATTTCAACGGAAATAATTTAACAGAGGATAAGCGCTTCGATATACAGCATTCAAAGCATGGAGGTTAGCTCATAGATCTTGAAGCTGATCGACCCACATTACCTCAGGTTTGGACATCGTGGTTTAACATTAATGTTCATTCCCTTCTTAAATGTAGCTACGACAGATGATAAGAGTCCCAGCTTTCACACCCACTATGCGAAGTTTTATCTAGACTTTCATACACCAGAGTGGACTTTTCTCATATTAGATACTCAGCATACATTTGGATGATATATCCGCATCTGCTATTAGCTTATAATTCTTTCAACATCGCACCAAGCTTTCTCAGTGTAAGCGTATCTCAATTGTACTACGATTTACCACAGTCATGGTCAAGGCACCAGAGACGAGCTACGAGGTCGACCGTATCGAAACGGCGCCTGGATACGAAGAAGAGCGCTTTGAATCCCTCAAAGAAGCTGATGACAGCAACTTTGAGGTTTTCAGGAGGGGAGAAGGTACCGTCGACTTTCGCACAGTGGGTTGGATTCATGCGTCAGTAATTTTCTTAAAATGTACGAAAACCATTTTCCATTCTTTATCAATAATCCATTTGGAAGAATTATACTAAGGAACACCTCCAGACACATTTGCGACCGGAGTTCTTTCTATTCCATCTTGTATGTTTGTCTTGGGGTCGTTCCCTGGGGCAATCAATGTCGTCGCTTGGACAATACTTAATGCCTATTGCGCCATTATTTAAGGCAATTTTCGGAACTCCCATCCACGCTGTCACTCAATCGCGGACATGGCTCAGCAGTTGGTGGGCCTGTGTTGCGAGAAGTTGTGAGCGTTTTGTTCTTACTGGCGTACTTCATTTGTGCAGCATCAGGAATACTGGGTGTCTCTGAAGGCCTCAATGCACTCTCTGGACATGCAGTCTGTACCCAGTGGTTTACCTTCGTTGCTACTGTGATTGTAGCAGCACTTGCGAGCATAAGGAAATTTGAGAAGATAGCCTGGCTCGCCTGGTTGGGATTTGGTTCCGCCTTTGTTGCTGTCTTAGTAGTTGTGTAAGTTGAAAACTTTGATTGTAACCGACTATTTCAAGTTCAACTAAAACGAACAATGTTCTGCAGCTTCGGTGCCACCACACTTGATCGTCCAGCTGCTGCTCCACAAACCGGTGATTTCGATTTGGGTTTTCATGCAATTGGCTCCCCTACTTTTGTAACCGGCGTTACAGCAGCAGCGACTATCTTCTGCTCTAGTGCCGCCACGTCAGCTTTCCTCCCTGTTATCTCAGAGATGCGAAAGCCCCAAGATTACCGAAAGGATGTCTATCTCTCCATGAGCATTCTCACTTCTTCTTACCTTGCTTTTGCGCTCGTCATGTATCGGTGGTGTGGGAAGTGAGTCGCCTCTCCATCACCTGGTAGTGCCGGACTTGTCATCAAAAAAGTGGCTTATGGCGTGGAAATTGTTGGACTATGCGTCAGTGCCTGTCTATATATTCATATTGGCTCCAAGTATCTCTTTGTGCGCGCACTAAGGAACTCTCCCCATTTACAACTTAACAGCGTCGTCCATTGGGCCACCTGGCTTTCGATCACTGCCGGTGTCTCGGCCGTTAGCTTCGTCGTTGCATCAGGGATCCCCATATTCAACTACATTCTTGCCCTTGCGGGAAGCCTATGCTTTGCACCTTTAGCCATCTCTTTACCGGCGTATCTATGGCTACATGATCATTCTAGTTGGAGAACCGGGGGGGTTCTGAAGATGGCCGTCTGGACATGGAACTCTCTACTCGTTCTTGTCGGCGCATTCATGACCGTTGGAGCTACTTACGGTGTCATCCAAGAAATAATTAATGCGTACGCTGATGGAACTATTGGCTCTGCTTTTTCATGTGCCGATAACAGTAACTCTTCGTGAGATACTGTATCATTCATCTTGTTTAGCTAGGCAAAACTATATTTCTCCGTCCTCACTTGCCCCCAACGAGTGATATTGCAATAAGAGATGAACGAGTCAGCCGTGTCTTTGATAGGCTGTCGAACAAAAATTATTAACAAAAAACAAAGATGTCACAAAATCCGCAAGTACTGAACCAATATATGCTTGCGGCAAAATGTCATTCTATAAAGTCATTCGCTACATATGTACTTTTCCGCCAAATCCTAGAAAGATCCTCCAGTTATCTATATATGTTCTATTTGTACTATCAAACAACCAAGTGAGAGCATCATAGAGTCAGGATCGTATCACTCTGGCGTAATGCCCAAAGCAGCGCTTTCCCCACCGAGAGATTTGCCGGAAACAAAACCTGAAGTGAACGGATAATCAATGTAGCCTTGAGGAAAAAGGGGAGTGTAGAAGCTCGCACGGTCGTATTTGTTCAGTGGCAGTCCCTCTTTTATTCGGTATGGCAGATCTGGGTTCGCTAGAAAATGACGACCAAAAACAACGGCAACTTCATAATCTCGGTAATCTCCATTGACAGCCTTGAGTGCGTTTTCTGGAGTATAGCCACCAGCCACAAAAGTAGGTGAAGTATTTTGCCATATGTCCAATAGGAACTTGATGCTATCCGTGCATTCGATATCCACATTATTATTAACACGCGACTCAATAATATGCAGATACGCCAATCGATGTCGTTTCAACTGCTCGGAAAGAAAAGAGAACTGCGGAATTGGATCTATCATTCTCATTCCTTGGAAGAGGCTGAAAGGACTGATTCGAAATCCGACCTTGTCTGCACCAATCGCATCCACAACTGCGGATGTAACTTCAAGTGCAAATCTTGCTCTATTTTCAATGCTGCCACCCCAGATATCGTGCCTCTTGTTGCAATTGTCTTGGAGGAACTGATCAATAAGATATCCATTCGCACCATGAATCTCAACGCCATCAAACCCAGCCTGAATTGCATTCTTTGCCGCTTGCTTGAAGTCAGCAATGCAAGATATTATTTGCTCATGTGTCATCTCGTGTGGAACAGCGCAATCCTTTTCCTCATTCATTGGGGTGGCACTTGAACTTAAGAGTTTGAGCTCTCCCCCTCCCGACGAATTCAAAACTGCTGCGCGGCCAGGAGCGATGAGTTGGCAGAAGATGGTGCATTTTATTCCATGGACAGCATCAGTGATTCTTTTCCAACCCTCCATTTGAGCATCCGTCCATAGCCCAGGAGCATTTGGGAATCCACTGTGAAGTCCGGATATCAGCGTTGCTTCCGCTATGATTAAAGTGCCGGGAACCGAAGCGCGCTGCGAATAATATTCTACTGCCAATGGTAGCTGGACATGATCATCATCCGCACGAAAACGTGTGAGAGGTGCCATCACGATTCGATGGTCGAGGAGCGAGTTTCCAACTCTCAAGGGCTTGAAAAGCTTTGATTCGGTCATGATTATGTGTATAAGCGAGATAAAATGAAATTACATGATTTTAAAACCTCAGAAGAAATCCGTCAGACTACTATGTAATGTTATAGCACTTTATATATCTCTATACCTCGGAGTTCGCAAAACCCATTCATCATATCGTTCAAAGTGTTAGAGTATAGAATTTCATGACGCTGATTTCAAATCAAAAACGAACTGATTCAAGAAGTTTCTTTTGTTTCTTAGCAGTGCTTTATCTTGCACTAAATTTGGAGAGACTGAACATAGTAATCCACCTGCACCATGGAGTTGTGGGGTCGCGCCTCCAACTTTTGGAGACTCAGGTAGCGCCGCGGATTGTGGGAGACTTTACAGGGAGCATCAGCTCTATGATGGAACTCATAAACGCAGCCTCAGCGCGACACAGGAATATTGATGGATACGCCTACTGAAATTCCGCTAACTAATCTTATATTACAACCCTTCCCCCGATATCTGTATCCTCAGTGGTCAACGGCTCATTGTCGACTATTGTAACTCCCCGACCTGTCATTTCGTTTATTATTAGCGTCTTCAATCCCTACCTAGGTGTCATTGGTCGATATATCCCAGCACAGAGCTAATATGTCGGTCCTCTTCACAGCCGTCTCTCAGTAAGTTGAACTTCTCTTCCAAGATTTATGTCCTCTATTCGTAATTTACTTACTCTGGCACTAGAGGCAATCCAGTGCAGAGACAAGATGTGGAGAAGGTCTTGAATACACTGGGAGTCTCCCTTGATCCAGAAGAAGAGAGCGATTTCCACACTCTGCTTGCAGCTGTTCATGACTGCGCAGAGGAGATCCAGCGGCTACCAGACTATCAACCTACTCCAGATGTAGTCCGTTATCCGAGGGAAAATATCCATCGTCCAACTAAAGAAGAACAATTTTCGGGACAAGCCTGGGCATATAGATTTCTTATAAGAGGTACTGCTGGTGATGGTCTTCTAAGCGGCAAAACCGTCTGCCTCAAGGACGTCATCGCAGTAGCCAATGTGCCTCAGCTATACGGAACCGATATCTTCCCCGCTTGGACTCCAACAACGGATGCGACTGTTGTAACGAGAGTGCTTGATGCTGGCGCGAATGTGATTGGAACAACTACTTGCGAAAATATGTGCCATTCTACATCTTCATTTACTAGTGCTCAGGGGATAGTTCATAATCCTTTTGCCGACGGATATTCCGCTGGAGGGAGCACATCTGGGGGAGCGGCCGTTGTCGGTGGTGGCCTTGCAGATATTGCTATTGGCACTGATCAAGGTGGTATTATCCGAATTCCTTCGGCCTTTTGTGGATGTAAGTACGCATAAGCCACCGATCTCTGTTTGATCAAACGTCTAAAATCGTGTCGCAGGTGTTGGCTTAAAGCCGACTCATGGATTAGTACCGTACACAGGTATTAGCAGTGGCGACGCAATCAATGATCATGCTGGCCCAATTGCTAAGAGTGTGCTCGATGTAGCGCTCTGTCTTGACGCAATAAGCGGCTACGATGGAATAGACGATCGATGCTTGGGTGCGCCGGCACACGGACTGACGACTTTTGCTGCATCCCTGCAAGCTCAACACGGATTACTAGATGGCTTCAGGATTGGTATCCTCACGGAAGGGTTCAGCCACCCAATGGTAGAGAATAGAGTCAGAGAAGTGGTACTTGCGGCAGCCCACAAGTTTAAGAGTCTCGGTGCGACAGTTGATGAGGTATCAATACCGGATCACTTGCACGGCCCAGCACTTTGGACAATTCAGCACCGCATTGCTGGATCTCAGAATCTTCTTGGACGTCAGCATGGTAGGAGAGGCTTGTATTTGACAGAGTTGGAGCAACATCGGCTTCCCTGGACTACGGAGAGCTTTCGAAGGGGATTTGCGGCCACGAAAAACGTCGTCATCAACGGACAGTATCTTGTCGACCGCTTTCCAGGTCTTTACGGTAAAGCGGTCAATCTGGGACGCCAACTCCGGGATTCCTACCAAGAAGCATTTGAGCGATATGATGTGCTTGTCATGCCCACGGCACCAATTGTGGCGCCTAAGCACGGAAAGAAGTGCTCGCCGATAGAGGCTCTCAAGCCAAGTATGGGTATCACCATAAATACTGCTGTGTTCAATGTTACTGGTCACCCAGCTATGAGTATTCCTGTTGGCTTGGCTCCTTCTAAAGAAAAGCCCCATTTACACCTCCCCGTTGGTATGCAGATTGTTGGTGGACTGTGGAAGGAAGACAAAGTCCTTCGCGCTGGATATTCGTGGGAGAAGGCATTTGATTGGTCGCAAGAGTTTCTAGAATAGATTCCCTCTGTAGACATGCTGAGGAGGCCGCGGCAAACTCTGTACCGTAGACCTCAACGATCTCCATATGGCCCCACAGGCCTTGATAGAGCCACGTAGAAACTCTTTAATTAACACCTTAACCTCCATCAACGACAAACACATGGTCATGCTTGAAAGTTGCCTGCTTGATGCAAGGACGAAGATTGCATCTGTGGCTTCGTCCGGCTGTCCCATTAGCTGCATAGGCGCCACGTCGGTCGCCCGTTTTGGCTGTTGCTCAACTTCTTCTCTGGGCAGTCGCTGGGGCTTATGTCCCTTCAGGCCTAAACTTTCAAATTTGAATCCATTTTGCCGAATAACCAATAGTTCCAAAACAAGTTATCACTGTGAAGAATATAGAAACACAATATGCCTTTAGAGTAATCGACCGACTAAATCGTTAGCTGTGATTAATGAGGTGAGCGGTTAGGTGCGAGAGTTGGAGGAGTCTAGTAATTGGAGACGGAGAAAGATTTACGTGCATCATGGCGTCCCAAAGCGCCAAGCTGATTTATGGTGGCATAGGTATTTACAATCGCTCCCCTGCCAGGTGGCCGAAGTTAAATAGTGCCTAACATACGGTTCCCGCCTACGACATAACTATCGCGGATCTTGCTTGAGCATCCGCTTCAGCTCTGCCTGCAAGTTTAGCCAGCAATTGCTCTAACAAGTCTACAATACCCGTCACTTTATAAAGAGCCCATTGCGTAGTACTTCTGAGCCTGTAAGCCGCCGTACCTTGGTACACGTAGGCGGTACAAGCATCATACAGTGCATGTGGTCCTCTCCAATTTTTGTTTACTGATACCTCCAGTAGCCGCCTGAGGCTCCTATAGTATGAGCCTGAGGCGCATTTGCCTCCACTGTGTATTGCCTATAGGCATGCTTTTACAGGTTTCGCATTCTTGTAGTTGGAGTCATGAACCCCCCTCTCCATGCTTCTCCTGTATTCTCCACAAGTCTTCCACAATGACACCTCCAGCCTCCAGTCACAACCCCATCGAGAGTCAGCAAGTCCAAGGCCACCGTCCACCTGCTGCAAGGAAAAATCCCTGTGTTTATTGTCCACGGAGTTTCAAGCGCGCCGAGCACCTACAGCGCCATATTCGCATTCGTAAGTAATCTTTACTCGTAAGATGCAGCTTTCCAGGCTACGTTGTGTACTTACATAGCTGAATACAACTTTAGACACCAAGGATAAGCCGTATATCTGTCACTGTGGAACAGCTTTTGCACGCCGTGACCTGCTCACTCGGCATGAGAGGCTTTCTCACGACCACAATAGCCCTGGCCGAAGAGTCCAAGCATCGACCGATCTTCGAGCCACGAAGAGTGATACTGTTGCACAATCACATGCAGACGCATTAAACGCAGTAGACATTTCGCTATCCGACTGGACGGCACCTGTCTCCGGAAAGGGCACTGGGAGCCAATGGGTTGATCATGAAAACAACAGTGGCTCAATTTATCAGATTCTATCCAACGATGCACTAGGCACGTTATCGCAGGTCGAGGGGCCTGTGCATCTCGTGACGGAGACAGCGACCGATCAACAATTTGGGCAACATATGCCACAAAACAATGAAGATGGTTTTCTAAGTCCAGGTACGAATCTCTTTACAGTCAGATTCCATTGAAGCTAATCATCTCACAAGAAGCGACACTTAATTTCCTGAATGATGATGGAAGTCATTTTCAGGAATTCGCCAGATTTCTTGATGGAATAGGACTTCCGGCAGAGTGGACACCTCCCGACATTAGGCATGAACTCGATGCGAGTGAGGCTGAAGCTGAAGGCCATGACAAGAGAGAGTCGAATGACGCATACTCGACGAATGGCGAATCAGGCCCAAGTTCCCCTTTCGGTTCATGGCCACCTTCAGTACCACAAGGCGACCAGCCTTTGAGTTCTGTATCAGACAAAGGTTAATCCCCCGTCAGCCTCAACGCAGCGTCAAATTAGGCTCTTCTCTATATGCTGTTTGCTTGATAAACAATCTGTTTCTCAAGGCTGCGACTAATCTTATCGCGTTTACAGACCCCCATGATTCCACTTTCCAGACATTCTCACTGCGAGTAAACTCCGATATTCGAGCACACTTCAATGCCAACCTAGAAAATTATCACAACGTTATTCCAGATTTTGTTTTACCATCGAGGCATACTCTCACCAGATATGTCGCTGCTTTCTTCGGAGGGTTCCATTCACACCTTCAGTTTCTTCATGCTCCGACATTTCGACTCGACAGTCGCCCCATTGAACTTATCCTTGCAATCTGCGCTACAGGTGCGCAGTACTGTTTTGAGCATCGGAACGCAAAACTTCTTTTTCGCGCTGCGAAAGCCATTGTAATGGAGTCTCTGTCAAAAGAAGCAGATGCACTGCACCAAAGGGCAGAACCAGTCTCACTGCTTAAGAGTTTGAGCAGTCAACTGCTTCAGCAGCCTTCTAGTTCGCCCTCTTACACTATGCTGCCTCCAAACTCGGAGCATCCAAATTCCAGATCATACGATTCGATGGACACAATCCGTTGCTTATTGATTCTCATGGGCTATGCTACTTGGGAAGATTCAGAGCTTCTTCGTCAAGCGTTGAATCTTCAGAGCATCCTTGTGCATTCTCTTAGAGAGGTAGGACTAAGAGAAACCCAGGAGATCAGTTCAAACTCCACAGATTTATCGTGGATTGAATGGTCGGAACAAGAGTCAGTCAGAAGAACAAAACTCGTGTCATTCACCTTTATTCATGTCCACAGCATCGCATACAATGTTTACCCAGCACTTCGAAGTAATGAGATTTATCTTCGCTTGCCCTGCTCAACAAAAGAGTGGAACGCTCAATCTGCTGCTCAGTGGCAAGCTGCAAGACGCAATATAAAGGCAGAGCAGCTTTATTTCCAAGATGCCTTATCTCGTCTTCTCACAATTTCGGAAGGCAGTTCCCACATCAATCCCGTACCAGCGCCGCTTGGAAACTACATACTGCTTCACGGTCTTCTTCAAAGGATGCACCTAATACGAGAACTTTCTCTATCTACACTGGATTACTCTACGGCTTTACCAGATGAGGAGCTGAACAAGATTGAGTACGTATAGACTGTGACAATTTCTTTGTATCACGGACTTGCAGCTCACACTACACAGACGGGCGCTCCGATCTTGGACTCTGGTGTGGAAGCAAGCTCCAGAATCCAGCCTCGATCCCTCAAATGAGAATGGGCCAATCCCGTTCACATCAAGCGCCCTCCTTGGTCTTGCGTATATTCGCGCATGCGTGAATCTAGGCCCACATCGAGCACTCGAAACACGGAATCCGTCGCTCATTGCCGCTAGAATTGCAAAAGCCCCATCTCCATCACGGAGTCGTTTCTTGATCCCCGCCCTTATTTACTCTACACATGCGCTGAGCATCCCCGTCCGGCTTGGAATTGATAGCGTTGCACGTAGTCAAGCATTTTTTTGGAGTGTCCGTCACTCTCTCTCCAGTCTGGAATGTGCTGTCTTTTTGAGTAAATGGTTGTGCTCTTTATTTCCACCAAAGAATTCACAATCATTGACAGGTAAGATTTTCTCACTCATCTAATACAATGTCTTAACTAAGATCTGTATCGCAAAGAAAACGAAAAACGTATCCTCAACTGGGTTGATGCTATTGTACAAGAAGCAATATTATACTTGGACTTTGAAGAGGTAGATGCCTCGATAAGAGTTGATGTCTCACGACCGCATACGTTGGGCCTAGCAGTCCTGAGGCTTTGGGCGCGCTTGTTTAAGCACAATGTCCAATGGCCATTTATCAACATGATTGGTGAAGCATTGGAAGACTACACAGACACCTTACAGCAAGGAAAGTATTTTTAAAATCTTGACTTTTCTCAAAGAAAAGCATAAAATAATGAGGATTTGTTGCATTTATGTGGCTCAAAACGATACGCTATCCAGATAAGGGACACTCTAGGTAGGGTAGCCAACCAAGTCACAAAAGCATTATAAAGGAAATAAAATAGGTTGTATTTTAATAACAATAAGCTCACGGGAGCATTGTGAATACGAAGCTAATGAACATTGGGCGAAGACTATTCTGCTGACATTGCTGTGTGAATAATTGTTTCTTGATCAGGACCTTACTGGTTGACTCGGCATACTCTACCCTCCACCTCTTGGAAGCGCTCATTGCCAGCACATAACGGACACCAGAAAATGTCATTTGGATCAACATCTCTTTTAACCTGTACCAGGCGCTCATAATTATTGCCCCAGTATAATCTCTTCCAATCTGGGTCAAGCACGCTTGCCTGCGACGTATAAGATATTGGCAAAGAGATAAAGGTTGACACGAGTTGCGTTGAGACGCGAAGAGAAGCTTACCTCGTTGATATAAGCCCCAGTCTCGGGACTGAGGGCTTGTAAGTGGGCGATCATTTCCTCTAGATCAGACTTCACTTCATTATAAGCCGTTTGGTTGCGCGCGGGCCAGCTTTTCGCTGCGACTATAACGTCTGTAGAATACAACTTCAAGAATGCAGAGTCTCAATGGTGTCAATCTTACTAAGGTGAAGGATTGAAGTCTTCCAACCCGGCTGCACAGAAGTGGCCGTCCTGTCAGCATTGGCGAGCCCAATGCCACCAACTAGGGTACCAATGATCAGTACATTTCTCTAACAAGCGCAGTTGTAGTGTTCGGTAATAAGCCGCTGTCTTTGGCCAGATATGCAGCATTGATCAAACGCGATGTGACCAGCTCATCTGTTCCAGCGCCAGTATTGTCTTTATGCACCATGTAATAATCCATCCAACTGGCCGATATCAATGTAGAAACAGAAACGTTGAACTCGGTAAAGTGGTTCAGGATATACTTCTCAACAGGTTTGAGAATATCACGCACTGAAGTCTGATTTTAGTTCCCATGAGATCCATCCCCAGAGAGAATGCGGCGACAGGGTCCTTCGCGAAGGTTGTTTGGCTAGGACCGCCGAAAAGAGCCCCAGACATGTTATGAGAGGCGAAATACGGAAATTGAGAGAGAATATATGCAACTAGTGCGGCTGTTTGGCAATGAGACTGACGCTAGCAAAGCTCGGAGAAGGAAAAGTTCTGACCGTCGCAGATATCAGAACCCCAAAGGTATTCCCACCACCCTATTGATAATGATTCCAGTATCCGCGACCTTGAACATATTTGCAAGTGGAAGAAATGGGTACCTACGCCGCGTATTGCCCAAAACAGGTCTTGATTCTGACAGAAAATTGCTACTACGGTGTTTCCATTTGAAAGGACTACCTCAACCTCAAGGATTTGGTCGACCGCTAATCCAAGCCACGGAGTCAAGGCGCCGTATCCTCCACCGGTGAGATATCCACCAAGCGAGACAGTCACGCAGGAGCCACCTACAATCACGAGATATGATCAGCAAAGAGCGCTGTAAACCTCCATCATTTGACTGCCAGCACCTTCTGTGACTGCTCTGTATTGTATGCATTGTTGACATCCCTGAGGAACGACTGAGTCGTGTAGTTTCATCTCTTTGAGATGGTGTGTGTTGATGGATAAGGAGTGTGGAGCATTGGATCGCCCGAGAAGATCGTGTCCGGTTGAATGAACTACTAAGCGGAGGTCATGTTTATCGGCTATGAGGAAGCGTGTTAGCGTCCAAGCCTCAGAAGAAACGGAATAGGATGTGGAACCAAAGAGTACACCAGCTTGGACATCGGTAATCGATGTGGCATTGATGACATAGGCAGGGTAGCCCGCAGCTGAGCAAGGAAAGTCGGCGTAAGGTAGACACGTATCATCAGACCAATTGTTGATGCCCGTTGACACCAAGTCGTTGGTTTGGAAGTTCCAATTGGTCCAGTTTCCTCGCACTATTTCACACACGTTTTCGTCGAACAGGGCGTAGGGCTGGTCTTGATGGCATATTGCTCCAACCGGATGTTGTCTGATTCAAGCTGCCCCACGCCTCCTGCGATGGCCACCCCTTGTCGCCAGGTATCGGTTTGCATGACGGGGTGAAGGATGACACGGCGAGATAAAAGAAAGGGGATGCGTAGAGAGCCAAGCGAGCAGACGCAAAAAATGACCACATACTGAGCTGTATGCAGTCTGGCGGAAGCTTCGCCAGATTGTATGACGAGGTGATATATAAAGAAGGGATATCAAGTAATAGACTATGTGCCCTCTATATATATATGTCCCATAGACTGTAATCAGGCGCATATGATAGGACCCGATGAGATCCCTTGCCAGCAGAACCCTTGAACTAATCTTGCTCGATAACGCTTCCACGCTCGAGGGTCCGCTCCGCACCCGTCGTCTGTTGAAGACGGCGCCGCTCAAGATTCCGGTCCTGGCTACCCCAGTCCCACCCCCGGGATCTACTTGTGCTGTCAACATGGTCTATATGGCCTACGAAGTAAAGACTTAAATCACGTACCAAGTGTGGCGCTCATTGGACTCCCGCCATGTTGACCTACAGGTTTGTGGCGCAGGGCTCCATCTCGGCCTTCCGTTCCCAAGCCGTTCCCGCGTCCCGCGCTCGTAGATGTTTGAACACCTGACTACTGGTCAATGAGCGACTACGGCAATTCAAAAAATCTGATCCGAGCAGGCAGCTGCAGTCTCAAGTCTAGCTGATTGATCGTCTCGGTACATTGTTATCTCGGTAGTGCTACCTATGAATCAACCATCAACAACGAGGGGCGTCGGCCGAGGTGGATACGGTCGCGCCTGTATGACCTGTTTCAAAGCAAAGACTAGATGCATGAGACCGGAAGCTGGGGCAGCTTGTGTGAAGTATGTGTGTGCTTTCGAATGTACTGAGCTTATTACACTTATTCCTCGTCAGAGGGCCAAACTTTCACCAAAGAACATACATGAATAGTCCCAACCTGATGCATAGCACGTTGACACATTTCGGCTCCACAGATGCAGCCGACTTGCAAAGGAGTGCATAGCTGCGCCGGCCGGCCGCAGAACAAATCTCGGCCAAAGCTCGACACAGGCTGGCTGTTCAAAAACAGCAAAGATCGAGCAAAAGCTCGACAGCTTAGTCGCTATGCTGCAGTCTCGGGCTCTTTTAGCACTTGCCCAGAAGGAGAGCCTTTTTATTTATGGATCTATTACTGGCGGTGAAACCAACCAAAAGCTTACCACTAACATGGAAGATGCGCTCTCCTGCGCTCCAGCTACAAACAACCTATTCTCATCACCCACTTCTCTTCATGCACCAACGAGAGATCCAGAGTCTGTTTGCATATCACAAAATGAGCGTGATGCCACAAGCCTCTCGGAACAGGACGCCGAGGATGCTCTCGACTTCTTCCGCAGCCGTATCTTGCCAGCGTTTCCCTTCATGCACATTTCAGCCTCATTAACCGCGCAGGCTGTCTGCAAGACATACCCGAGCTTGTGGCTTTGCATCATTTCCATCACTAGGAAGTCATTGGCAAAAAAAAGGGTCCTGGGCGACATGATCAGGAAAAGTCTCGCTCAGGGAATCCTGGTGGATGAGAAAAGGAATCTCGATCTTCTGTTGGCATGTATTTCGTACATGGGATGGTCGGTTTCTCTGGTTCCACTCGAGCCTTGATCTGTGGATGAATGTAGCTGAGAATTCACAGGGTACACCATCACATGAAAGAGGAACCTCGTCTGACGACCTGGGTGCGACTCGCAACGACTATTATACTTGACTTGCAGCTGAATCAGTCACCTCCTGCTGACGAAGCACGCGAAGCTCAGGCAAATAGTAGCGCTGAAAAGCGGAGGGCTGTTTTGGGAAGATACCTGATTAGCTCAGTGTCCGTTGATTGCCTGTTTCGACCCCTTAACAGACTATTGATCCCTCACTAACCGTTGATATCAGAGTCTGCAACTTTCAGACTTCCAAGATACTTTTTTCGTGGACACCATACATGGAAGACTGTCTGCAAGATTTAGCGCATGCTCCTCAATGGATCGGTGACAAGATATTGGTCTCGCAGATAAAATTTCTTTTCATAGGGTCATTGATCAGATACCATGTTCTCTACGTAAGAAATCGGAACCTGGGGTTGTTATTCCGTTCGCAATGGCGTTGTGTGGCCACCTGCAAGAAGTTCATACAAATTTGCCTCAGGATCTCAAACAAAACAGTATGTAGGATGAACAAAATGACCCTTCTTTTTTTGTTTTGTGCTACCTTTCGCTTACTCTTAACTCTAGATATACTTTTACTATATTTATACAGTGTAAAGCTGTTGGTGGATGAGATAGAGTTCAACAGTTACGTGCCAGATGCGGGCAACATCAACATCAATGCAAGTGCTTCGCCAAGAACGCAAATGCAACGGCTGCAGTGTCTTCATAGATGCCTCGGCTCAGTTTATGCGTGGTGCAGTACATTCTTTAGCATGCCCAGCGACAGCTACTTCGAGTTGCCTTTCGCTGTAGTCTTTTATCAACTAAGTCGGATTCTAAAGATGCTTCTCAACCTGACGTTCTTATGTGAACCCGGCCGGGATTGCAACGAAGTGCGCGCAAAGGTCGATCTTTTTGATGCGATTGATAAATGTCGGTCTGGCCTTGATAGGGTTCAAAATTTGCTGGATGGTGACGATGGGGTCGAGGGACTATCGGTCAAGAAGGTACATGTATCCAGGGCACTACGACTCAACAAATCGACCGTTCAGGCGGAGTTTCTTTCCCGACAACGAAGAGCTTCAGGATGTGCGGGAGCTGATGAAGGGCAGTACAGTCTGCCAGAAATCTTTTATGGCAATGTAGGGAACCCTCTAAATATCTTTCTTGACGACCAGTGGACATCAGAAGCTTGGGAAAATATTGAAGTGGGAGAAGGATGGGTAATAGCGAGCGGATGATAACAAAGGGTTACATCTAAGAGTTTACACTCTAGTATGTCTGCCTAATCTAACTTAATAGAGAAAAGAGAAAAACTTCACGGTGCTACAACATAATGACACATCAAAATTGTTAAAATAATATGTGGATTCAATTAAATAAGCTTTTAGGCTTTACTTGTTGGGTAACGTGTAGCAAGGTCTCCAAAAGTTCCATCTGATAAGATTAAGTAACTCCGCATCTTATCAGATCCGGTGACTTTTCTCGCGATTCGGACCTCCGCAACATTGCCGAGTCGTGTCTCCCGCCCGAGTTCCGGGGTTCTGCCCCTTGTTGCCTTCGGCGCATGAATGCATGAGTCACAATTCAGGATTATAGGCTCGGCTCGACGCGGATTTCGCGAAAGTTTTTCAACCAGGTTGCTCTATTGTAAACATGCTCCCAGGGGGTTTTAATGTGACTCTGCGCGCTAGGAAGGGTAATTGACGGTCTGTCGGGTCGTCGCTGCTGGAATGCACCAGCCAAAGGGAGAGAAGAAACGAGCCCAAGAAGGGAGGGGCTTCGAAGCCTTAAAAGAGAGCCTTTCCCCTATTTTTCAACCATCTAATTATGGTTCAGAGGCCTTTAGTCGCAACGATGACTTCCCCAGGAGAAAAAGGCCCAACGGACGTCGAAACCGGTGTTCAACCCACGGATGGCCAACAAAATGTAATGGAGTCTCGATTGCCGGATCATGAGGTGAGTTGACCTAATTAACATTACTATTGTTGATAACTTACGTTTGTAGGTCACCTGGGATGGCCCCGACGATCCAGAGAATCCCTACAACTGGGCCCTATCTCGAAAGATCTCTGTTGCCCTCGTCTGCTCAACGAGTCAACTCGTCACAACCATGTCAGCTAGTATGGTTGCGCCAGCCATGGATCAAATCCTGATAGATCTTCACATGAGCACATCTGCTGGCCAAATTGCCTTTGGTGTTTTCTTCCTCGGGTTGGGCTTCACACCTTTCCTGGTCGCACCCCTCGCCGAAATGTACGGGCGGAAACCGATATGGTTGATTGGAAACCTTTGGTATATCATTTGGAATTCTCTTTGCTCCGTCGGCTTCTCTGCGGCTTTAATGATCATAGGGAGATTTATGTGCGCAGCTGGAGCTTGCGTTGGAGTTACCGTATGTATACAAACTCGGCTGGGCAGACATAACTAGCTAACTAGCATATAGCTAACCGGGCCAGTCCTCGCTGACATGTTCCCTGCCAAAGACCGTGGCAAATCTTTGGCACTTGCTGGACTGCTTCCCTACCTTGGACCTGCGCTTGGCCCGATCATCGGTGGTTTGGCTGCCGAGCGTCTGTGGTGGCCGTGGCTTTTCTGGATCCTCTCTGCTTTTGATGCTCTCGCTCTTGTGCTCGGATTCTTCATCATACGAGAATCCTACGCACCAGTACTGCTGCGGCGCAAAGCCGAAGCCATCGCAGAGCAAGCCGCTCAGGATGGGGCACCGACGAAGTCCGTGGCTGCTCGTTTGAGCATTTTTTATCGAGATTTATCGACTCGCATAGGGCCAGCTATGAAGCGCCCAATCCGCCTCCTAACTCACCGACCAATCATCCAACTTATCGCTCTCGCAATGGCTGTAGACTTTGGCGTCTATACCCTAGTCTTGTCGACGTTCGCTTCGCTTTGGATCGATCAATACCATCAGAATGAGACCGACGCCAGTCTGCACTACATCGCCATTGCCCTTGGTGCATTTGCTTGCGCTCAAGCAGGCGGCCGTTTAATGGACTATATGTGGAACAAAATGAAATTGGCGAGACCAGATCGCGAGCCCACGCCTGAATGGCGGGTTCCATATATCATTGTAGGGCTAATACCATGCGTTGCAGGAACGTTCTGGTATGCGTGGTCAGCAGAAGAGCGCGTGCACTGGGCTGTCGTTGATGTAGGTGTTTTCTTCTTCACAGCAGGCAATTTTATGTTTTCACAAGGTTTGTTGGCCTACAACGTTGACGAGTTCACGAGCACGAGGGCAGCTAGTGCCAGTGCCGCCACTCGTCTGGGGACATATGTACTGGGTTTTGTGTTTCCTATCTTTGCGCCAGAACTGTACGAGAACCTGGGCTATGGCTGGGGAAACAGTCTTCTTGGTTTCTTGTACGGCGCCATGGGTATCGGGATTATTGCAGTTTTATGGATCTGGGGCGAGAAGATTAGAGCCATTGGAAGAACAGCAGAGGAGGAGAAAGAAAGGGTTATATAAAAGTAAATAGCTCGGGTATTTTCCACATTAATACATTTAGTCTCCAAGGTAATTGTCAACTAAGAATTCTTCACACAATCGCTATTTCGTCTACGTAGCTACAGCTACGACTTCGCCAATACTCTTCTCAGTTGTTTTACGTCTAGCTTGTCAATCTCTTACCCACCTTTCGCTGCTTACCTTATGTATGACAAAAATCATCGTCTACGTTGCGTAAGTGCTTTCTGTTTTGCTTAATTGTAAGAGAGTCTTTTTGGCGCTTGATCTACAGCATCATTACCCAGCATGGTGCGTGTGGGTAGGATCTGTCGGAGCTGCACCTCTTATTTCTTACGTCTCAGATCGTATACCTTCAAGTTAGACCATTCTCAGTCAGGTACGTAGCTCATAGTAGGCGCGTCTAGCTATAGTATTGTACTGACTCATCATTTGCTTATAAAAATGCAACAATTACCGTACAACGAATAAGATGAATCGTGACTGTGACGGCGCTGTGCTTATCAGTATAGTAACGGGAAATTGATGCCAACGAGCTCCTACTAGTACTTGAATCAAATAGACCTACGATTCTCCACATGTAAATGATTAGAGTCATTCTTCTTATACACAATATCAAGTAAGTCACTTGAAGTAAAAATCGCTAAATTATAGAATATATTATTCTCATTTCATTCAGTAAACTATCTACGCTGTTAATGCTGGCCATGTACTAAAATGACCATCTACCCTGAATACGTCGGAATTAATCGCCAGGCGCTGTACTACCACCTACTAGTACCTTTATTCGGAATTATCGAATAGCAAAAACACGAACCGAGGTATTAGTCATCATACAATTGGTCCGCAGCGGAGGCGGAACTGCGCTCCATTATCCCACAGAGGTTGGCTGTCGCTCCTTGATTGTACAGTAAATCTTGGGGGATAGTATAGCATCGGTGTTATACTTTTGACATTAGCATAATTACCCTCACAACTTAGGAAAATGCTAGCCTCGCCATTGAACTAATAGGTCTTTTGGCTATGAGACTATTGCATAAGGTACTTACTATTCAATTACATGTACTGAGGTTTGTTTACCAAGGTACCTAGCTACTACTGCAATCAAAGAGACTCTCGTAAGTACCTACTTGTTTGTTCCACTTTTGGTACCCAACTTTGCCAACTTTTCGCTTTCGGCTTCCAAAATAAAATAAGCTAGCGTTACAGCAAGGGTGAAAAGTGGAGGAAAAAGCAGTAACAGAGAAGCCCAAATATTGTCATATGATGAACTTGTTACAGCCAAGGTATGCTGTATTAGAAATCAAACCATCCCACTGTTTAATTAGGTCTCTGAATGCTCAAAGCATACTGAGTCCTAAGAGTATTGCTGCGGCTCTATTTATACTATCTCCCATTCCTATTCACGACGTAACACACTTGCTAAGCTGTTGCACACAAATTCAGTCATGGAAGGGCCGAAACTATTCATGTGAGCAGCGCCGGCGCCCGTCCCATCTCCTATGTCACTCGTTGACCTCAGAACAGCACTGGAGCCACGGGCTACATTGGCGGAAGCGTATTGAACAAAATTATTGAAACTCACCCCGAATTTCAGATAACGGCGCTTATGAGAAAGGCTACCAGCGACTTCATTTCCCAATATCCCAACGTCAATATTGTCCAGGGTACCTTCGATGACTTCGAAGTCATAGAAAATGCGGCCCAAGATGCCGAAATTGTCATCCGTAAGCCACTCACTCCATCAATCTGTGTCTCGCTCGCTGATTTAGCATCTAGATACCGGCGATATTGACCATCCCGGCTGCGCAAAAGCAATCCTGTCTGGGCTGGCCAAGAAAACGTCCAAAAGCTTCCTCATTCATTTAACAGGCACGGCTTGCATCTCAGATATGAATGAGCAGACTTGGGAAGGTAAAGTCAATCCGCGCATCTGGGATGACGTTCAGGACATAGATGAGATCTACAATCTCCCTGAAACCGTGTGGCATCACGCCATTGATCAGTGGATCGCGGATGCCAGCAACGACAGAGTCAAGACGGTTGCTATTTGCCCTCCAGATCTGTATGGCCAAAGTACCACGGTCGGTGGCAGGACGACATACTTGGTGCCGGAATATGTGGCTGCAATTATTAAGTACAAGGAGGCGTTCTACCTAGGCGAGGGACAAAACATTCGAGCCGTCACGCACATCGATGACCTTACGGAGTTTTTCGTTCTCGTTCTGGAAAAGCATTTGGAGGGAGGTAAAGATCTACAGTATGGTAGAGAGGTATGTAAAGCACAGCCGTCCTTATCCTCATTATATCACCGACTCTTGGCCCAACTCACACACACAGGGGTTCTACTTTGCGACCGCGGACGAGGTGGCTTGGAAGCCGACCGCAGAAGCCATAAACAAGATCGGCCAGGAGCAGGGTTGGCTGCCTGCTGACACCCGAACAGTGTCTTGGACAAAAGAACAGCTGGCTGCGGTACTTCCTGACCGGTCTGCGCTGACATTGTATATCTGGGGCTCTAACAGCAGAGCCAAGGCGACAAGAGCAAAGAAGCTAGGATGGAAGCCGCATGGGCCTAGTTTCTGGGAGACTCTGCCCCAGGATTGCCAGGTAGCTGCAAACAAGCAGCCGTTTTCTGCCTTGGGAATAGTATAAAGTCAGAGCTACTTTCCGAGCTCTATCTCGCTCGTCTGTTGTAAATAAGCAATATTAGCAAGAATATTTACAATTATATTGAACTTGATATTAGAAATCTTGAATTTGCTTTGGTGTCGTGATGTGACAAGTATTTGTGATATTCTAGTCGATACTTCAAATAAAGTCATCTTGACTTCTGTTAAATGAAGCCCTCAATCCTAATACAAGCCACAAACCTCTTTTGATCATAAAACTACTACTTCTTCGCCAAAAAAATGCTCTTCTCTCATTGTATATACCTGCATCATCCTACATTTGTGGTGGATATGAATGCGAGTCGATGTCAATGGGGAGAAGCGATGGAAACCCAATGTCCCAGATTCCGTCAAAATTTGCAAGATCGGGGTCTAAACTATTAATTTCTTGACAGTCTTCGCTTAGTGTGCTTGATTGGGCCATTTGATGTTGCTGAATCTGGTTGTTACAACGATCAAGACTGATTCCTTGAGTTTCTGTGGAGTTAGCATCGAATCCAGGCAGGGGAAAAGAGTATCGCGAACTCACTTGCTGCTGGAGGGCGTTGCTGTATTGATTGAGCTGGAGATGTAGGTAGCAAAGATGGCGTAAGACTTGAGAACGAGTCTGATGGCCTAGAAGCGGGACTCGTTTGACCGCCAAATTCTTCGCGCCACGCCCAGAGCCCATCATGAAGTACACTGGCTCCAAGACGACTTTGCACTTTCAAGTTTGGCTCTTGCCCGCGGCGAATCGTTCGAGAGTGATGAATGATCCAAAGCTGTGCCAAAATCTTGCCTCCACGTCCTCTTAAATCGTTATCTTCCAGAATGGCTCTCCTTAAGAGACTCAGGACAATATTAAATGATCGTTTTCCCTCCTCAATGTCCACATATCGGGCGTAGCTCGAATTGATAATTTTCATAACCAGCATCCCAGCTGTGTTTAGTATCTGATAATAGATGTTCGGTACGTATTTTATGAAATCGTTCTTCGCATCTTCATTTGCAATCTTCGAGATGAAGTTTAAGGCAGCCGAATATGCCCTGAGGAGGCCCTGTTTTCGCATTTCCGTGGCCGATGACTCGAAAAAATAATACGATCTTAGCTGCATAGAGACCATAGCAAGTGCAATATGATGGGCTTCTATAAAATGTTAGTCTTGTCCGTTTGAGAATAACAAGATGGTCGCTATACCGCCCGCTTCCTTCCCAATCCACCTTTCCAGGTCTTCCAAGTCGCATTCGAGAAGTCTCATCAATCCATCGCTCTCTCTCTGTACGGGGTGCCCAGTTGGGGAACATGTGCGTTTTGACATGGCTTCATCGACCCGTGCTAGGAATCTTTGGATGAGCAGGTGGTATCTCAAATTGTCGGGTACCGTATAATTATTCCCAGGCTCGCAAGCACGGTCGATCGTCCAATCGTTTGAAGACAAAGACGGCTGGCCCGCAGAAGTCGTAACACTACTCGAGTTCAGAGATAATATTTTGGCAGAGCAAAGCAAGTTCTGAGTTACCTTTGTGCGGCGATGTAGCAGCCTGCCCATAGTTTCACAGCTGCATGAAATTCTTCTGGTGCAAGTTGCGTCTTCACTCGCTGAAAGTCCTGCATTGTTTCTGGTCGGTGAAGCCCATTTTGCATTGCTGCACTCCTTGCAACAGAAATAATTAAGAGTGATGGGTCTTTCCACATTGTATCGACTGGAAACGGCCACATTGATACCAATAGTAGAGCTTGAATGGTGTATGCTGGAAGAGGAGGCTGAGAGGCACTACTCCATAATAGCCGTGTCATGTATGGACATAGACTTCCGAGTAGTGTGACGTCGTCATCATATCTTCTCGCAGCGACACTGATGATAGCCCAAAAGAGGACAGGTGACTGCTTGTGATACATGTCGGGGGCAGTCGATGAATCTAAGATTTCTAGAAAATGATGATAGTGGTCGAAAAATCTGACACCGTTAATGATGCACTCTTTCCCAAGTTAGGCTCATGGAACAAACTCTTGAAAGAGATAATCAATCTGAGCTCCAGTAAGCTTTATATCATCAAGAGACTGTGAGCTACTTGTTGTTGTATAAGTGGAACGCTGTGCGTCCGACAGTTGTTGAGGATTGGCGTCGGCAGCTCCCCAAGCCCTGGCGCTCTCTGATGGGAAGTCAATGGCTTCATCATGCTGGTTTCTGTAATCAGTAATCTCTCGCTGTGAATTGAGCATAATAGACGTAGGAGTTAATAATGCTTGTAGACTTTGGCGATGAGTAGTTGTGTCCAATGGGCGCAATGGACCTAGCGATTGGTTTCCGGCGTTCCATCCCGCTACTACCGAACGCAGTTGCTGAAGTTCTTCTGCAATCTCATTTATCTTCCTAAACATGTATGAGGCCCCCAAACAACGGTTTATAGAAGCCTCTCGTCAGAACTTACAATTTCTTGTTTACTCTCTTGAAGGCAGTGTCAATTTGACAACTGAGAGATAGTCGAGAGCAGCGAATGCAAGGCCCTAAGCCATCTTTGAGGCCATCACATCGCAACTATACGTAACGTACGAAGATTGTGATTGTCAGAATTCATGGTCTTATATCAATGCGGTGGCATCGCAGTCTGTTTTCGTCACAAGGGCTAGGGTTGAGATGCTTACTTTCGCCTGTCGACATTCTTTACAGGCTATTCTCTTTCTCTTCTGAGGATGACGATGGTTGTTACTTCCGTTCACTTTCTCAACCATACCCATTTTAGTTATCGTGTCTGCCGGGCTCATACCCGGGTTCCGATCGTGGGAACTCAAGATTCTAGGATACTGGTTGATGGGGTTACGGATCCCTTCGCTTCCACGCGCGCCGCCTGCGCTCCGACGATCCGTTGCATCCATTGCAAGAAGAGGTGAGAAAGACGAAGATGGGGTGATGGCTTCAGCGACAACGGCAGATCGTGGTAGGCGCGGACACTCCTCTTTACAGCGTGTATGGGAAAGAAAGGCGATTACGGCATCTATATCAGTCTCCGGTGCCGAAACGGAGGGATAAGTGGAACAAGGAGAGATTCAGATCCACATAAGCGCACTTGGTGGCGAGTCTTCTCAGCTTCCCCAGCTTCTTTGTCGGGGCTACCGGGCTACTTCGTGGGGTTTAGGCGCGCTAACTTGGTTACCGTCTTCCAGAATTGGGCCGCCTAGAATGAATGTAGTTATAAACTGCATTTGTCGCAAAGCTCTTTGTTATGGACAGCTTCGATCTGTTAAAATCCCCTGTTCCCCTCCTTTCCGTAAATGGAATGAGCAGCTATTTAGTGTACAATAGGTTGCATAGCCTTCATTCCAACTCTTTGCATTTGTTGGAAATGACCGTCATTACTGCCAAGTCGCCTTGCAAACCACAGTGCTTGCCTCTTCCCAAAGTTTTGCTTTCAACTAGGCAGGTGTAGTTTCAATAGCATGTATAGCATTGCAAGCTAGCTTGTGACTATTCGCTTGGTTCGCTTTACCAACTCCCTCTTTAATAAGCTCGTAAGCATTGAAATGGCTGGAGCTTTCTCTGTAGCTCCTCTCTCAAATCTCGTTGCCTGCTTGTATCACAATCATGAGATATGTGTAGCATGTGTAGCAGGCTAGGTCATTATTTCTACGTCAATCGACTCGTATCAACCTGCCTAGTAGGTATAGGTAGCACAAAACACATGATAGTGTTCCGCCTGCCCTGGCTACATGCGTATCTGATGTTTGATGATATCAGCCATCTTGGTATTAAGAAGCGTAGGTGCGTGTGAAAGCTAGCGACTATTTTACACTTTTCACCTTTTTATAGCCATTAAGTAAGGTTTCAATTCCTTATGTTTCGTTTCCTGAGCCCCAGTATTTGCCAAATGTTGTGTCACTTATTTGCCTATCTAAGTTTAAACCTATTGCATGATATATTGCAAGACAAGTGGTGCTAATCGAACATTAATAATGAAACTGTATGACTTATTATTCATCTCTAGTAGTAGCACGGTAGCGTCACAAAACCAGAACAAAGTAGTTTCACATTTTCTCTCCCTCTGTTTAATTGTCCCTTTGCTATTTATGTTTTTTTTAAAATACCATTCGTTCTGTTAGAGGATGGAATAGAGGCTACAGAGTACATCTGAACGCGATATGGCGGTCGCATAATTGTTCCAAAGTTTTGTTCATATTTGGATGTGTCTCACCCCTTTCAAGAAACTCTTGCTCAACCTTATCCCTCCTCTTGTTTTCAGTCGCATGTACAAGTACGCACAAGAAGCCATGAGTATGCTAATGCACATTAATCCGATACCGATTGAATGCCCTTTGATAAAGCGTGGTGCATTTGTGTAGACATGGAGTCCCATAATGGCGACTGAATTGCTGCAAATTTCTGCAACTGACCATGTCGTGGCACGTTTGGTGAATCCAGCTGTGTTGATCCCAATCCAAGTCACAATAAGTACAACGGTAGGATAGGCGCCTCCGACGACAAGGCAAGTGGCGACCATTCGGGCAGAAACAGATGTGAGGGTAACGAGAAGTACATAACCGATTAGAGTTATAGAAAAAAGACAAATTATTGGGATGAACTTCACGTTCAGCCGGTCGCTAATGGTGCAAATAGTGATGAGGCTGACGAAGGCGCATGCATAAAGAATGACTGAAAATAGCTGTGCATTGACTGTAATACAGTTAGTACTGATAGAGGATATTATAGAGTGGCTGGCTTACTAGGAGAGAGGCCGAAAGTTTGTATAAAGGTTGGGAGAAAGATTCCAACCGAAGATATGGCGAGAGTGTTGCCGACATTGAGAATGGCAAAGAAATACGTCTTCGGGTCTTGGAATGATCTCCGGATCTGTGAAACCTCGACTTTGGCATGAAGGGTATTGTACGCTTTTCCGGTCAACAACCTTTTGCAAAATTTCCTAAGTGTGAGAGCAACTTACATCGTGCTCTTTCCTTTGCCAAGGTAATCTCTTCAGAGCTAAAGAGCCAGTGTTTGGTAGACTTGATCTGGTCTGGAAAAGGTGGAAGAAGAAGCCAAAAGATGATTCCAACGCCGACAGCCGGAGCCCCTTCAATGATAAAGAGCCATTGCCAGTTTCTGCGTCCTGCAACACCGTCTAGATTGATCTCAACCACGTACGCCATTAGACCGCTGAATGCGCCGCACAGTGTTGCAGCTGAATAATAAGCGGCTAGGCTACTGTCAGTAAATCTTGACTAGGCAGCTGACGGTGTACATATATGCAAATGCCGAAAGGCAATTCAGACTCACCAGCACGTGTGTCTACTTTATTTCGTTGGTACTAGTACGGAGTATAAGTCCCAAAGGCCTGTACCGAACATTGGAAGGGAAGCAACCATTGACGATTCGAATTGCCAGAACACTGCCGTAATTCTTTGCGGCAGAAAGACAAAGTACTAGGACTCCAAATATCACAATCAAACTGCCAATCATTCTTTGAGGTTGGATATAACGCATTAGAATGTTTGCAGGAAACATGAAGAGGAGATACCCAACAACTATGTGATATTAGTCCATGACACTTGGAGACTGGTGATGGCTTCCACGATTCACGCCTGCACTTACAGAACAATGGCGGAGTATTGGAGAATTGAGAATCTGACATATTGATACTCTTTTGCCAGCCCATCAGACGAGCGTTTCCTATATTGTTCCTGTTCTATGGTTTCATTAGTTGTGTGTTGTCCAAACGCAAGGGAGTTAGACTTACAAGATATGAAACACAAGATAGGCCAAAGCAGCCAGAGGTACAATGCACAGGTCGGCTTTGCGCAGCAATATTTTCTCTATCTTCAACTTGCCCATTCTAAGTAGATGTTGGGTGTTGTATGCATCTTCGTCAAAATTCTTCTCGTTGTCCGGCCTCCTATTATTCTCGATCATCTCGACAATTGAAGCCGCCAGGGTATCTTCAGTCTTGCCTGTGATCATTGTCAAGCAAATCTTATCATAGGCTTTGTAACAATATTATCTTGATAAAGTGTGGTGTGCTTGAAAATTGTAAATTGAGTCCTCAATGCAGAAATGCCTTTGTCTTTTCAAGTGATTTGTAGCAAGGGGCTTACACCGTTCTTATTCAGTATTGGATACCGGCGGCTGATTCCGAATAGCGCTCCCCGCACCCCACGTCTCCACGATGCGACAGATGGGTTAGCAGGGTGCTGGAGAATTTCTAGCGGCCCGACATCAATAGCACCGGGCCGTAGCGGCATTGTTTATGATAGGCCAGGCTGACATGAAAAAGGAAAAGCCAGTGGCAATGGCCAACCTGTCTCAATCATCATCGGGCCGCGGTCGGGGCTTGTTTCTGTATACCATTATCTAGCTATGATAATAATTACTCTCAATGACCTTGCCTCTTTAAGACGATAGGTAAAACGATGCGTATATCTAGCCAGATTGTCCGTTGTCTCATTTACAAATTGCATCTGGCAAGGACGTTCATTAGACAATTCATATTCATCTAATATCTCAAACGCATACCAACATGGCACACGCCGATCAGCATGGTATTCCCTGCGCCTTTATCAGAGGTGGTACCTCCAAGGCGCTGTTTTTTCACGAGCGAAATCTTCCACCTCCGGGTCCTTTACGGGACACCGTCTTAAAAAGACTGATGGGTAGCCCTGATGTTCAGCAGGTCGACGGCATGGGTGGCCGCTCGACGCATACCTCCAAAATCGCGATTGTGCGCCCCTCCGACCGTCAGGGTGTTGATGTTGATTTCACATTTGCTCAAGTCTCTGTGGATCAAGACATGATCTCCTATAAGGGCAATTGTGGCAACATCTCGTCAGCGGTGGGCCCGTTCGCAATAGATGAGGGACTGCTGGGTAAAAGCGCGAACACTACATACAGTGCCAACGATGACACTGCAGTAACTGAAGTGAGAATTTATAACACTAATACACAACGTATTCTGCACGCGCATGTGCCAATGGACAAGAAATCAGGTTTCAGCATCACGGTTGGCAATGCAACAATTGCAGGAGTGCCAGGCACCAGCGCTTCCATTTGGATGGACTACAAAGATGTAAGTGCTTAAATGCTGAAAGCTCTAGTATTGGAAATTATTCAAGAGAATGAAGACTAAACGTTTCATGAGGCAGTTGGTGGAAGTCGCTTGAAAGGGATTGTTCCAACTGGACGCACGATAGACACGTTGAATGTTCAAGGGAAGAAAGTAGATTGCACGATATGCGACGTAGCGAATATCTCCGTCTTCGTGCGAGCAACAGACGTTGGACTCACAGGGTCAGAATCAGCCAAAGACATCAATACACATGCCACAGCCATAGCACTTTGCAAAGAACTTCGGGGCAAAGCAGCACAGCTCATTGGAATGTGCGCGGATTGGGAGTTGGTTGATGAACAGTCACCCGGCTTGCCCTTCGTCATCCTGGTCGCCCCTCCAACACACGATGCTGCTGATTTGGCGGTCCGTGTGATATTTATGAATCGATGTCATGATTCCATTGCGGGAACAGCAGCTGTCGGTGTTGCTGCTTGCAGTCGCATTCCGAACAGTGTTTTGTCGGAAATTCTCAGAGAAGGCACCAGCGAACGCAACGCTGTGCAAATCGGGCATCCGGAGGGGATTATGCCAATCTCCATCAGAACCAAGGCCGCGGATCAAGCATCCGATCTAATCGAATTCGACATGTTGGCCTTTGAACGAACGTCAAGGAGGATCATGAGCGGAAGTGTATTCATTCCAAAACAGATCTGGAATGGAGATGGGCGGACCAGAAAAGAAATGCTTCCCCAGAAAACGCACCTCCTAATGACAGGCGATATCAATCTTCTGAATGTCGACGATTCCACTGAGCCGTTTAGAAGGGTGGTGGACTCCTTAAGCGCGGCTGACATCGTCATCTCAAATCTCGAATGTGTCCTGGGCATGCCAGAGCAAGCATACTCGATTCAGCACGAAGGCCTTTTTGCCAATCCCATTGTCGGTGCCGAGGCTCTCCATATTGGAAAAATCGCGGCCGTGGGTCTGGCAAACAATATCAACTACGGCGCACGCAATATCCTAGGCTCGATTGCGACACTCGACAAGGCAGGAATTCCTCACACAGGAGCGGGCGCCAACATTGAGGCAGCTCGTAAACCGGTGATTGTCGAGCGCGGGGGCCGCAAGTATGGCTTTCTTCAGCGCACTTCGGTATATTGGCCTAGAGACCACGCTGCGGACGCGACTGGAGCAGGAGTGGCGCCTCTTCCTGGCCACACTGCGTATGAGGCTCACATGTACCGATATCACTCAAAAATCCCGCCCGTCAATCGCCCAGAAATACCGCCGCTTGTTACTACTTGGGCAGATCCCCAATATCTGGCCATGTTCACAGATGACATCAAATCCTTACGGCCGCAAGTTGATGTACTTATTGCTAGCTGTCATTGGGGTCTCGGAAAAGAAGTTTTGACCTACATGGAGCAGATTGCAAAAGCGGCGATTGATGCTGGTGCCGATGTCGTAATGGGCCATGGACCGCATCATCCTCTTCCCATCAGCTTCTATAACCAAAAGCCTATTTTCTACGGCCTTGGCAGTTTTTCCTTCCATATGGGGCATCTAGGGTTGGCGCATGGAGACTGGGTTGGGTTACTTGGAAGCCTGGAATTTCACGAAGAAAACTCGGCTGGAGGCGCAAAAGTATCGTTCCGATTTGTCAGGCATAATAAGGACAATGAGACATACTTGTCTCACCCGGAAGACGAAAAGGATACTGTCGCAATGTTAACAGCAACGTCTCAGAAGTATGGAGCAACTCTTTGGGCAGATGGCGATTCAATCTATGCAAAACCTTCTTAGAGAGAAACACATAACAAGACGCCGTAACATATCATGATACTGGAAAAGCTACAAATGTCAATCACAGTGATCAAGATGTTAGTTTATAGCGCTTGTTTATTAATCCCAACTCATCTTACAGTATTAGCTCATTATTAACATGTCATTGATTCAGTGGACATGATAAATACGCAAGCGAGTTATAGAAAATAAGGGCTATGGAATGAAAGTACACTTATTTGCAGGTTGTACAAACAGCTCCTTAACTGAGTCTATTGCCTAGCGCCGGGGATTTCTTTGCAGCCCGTTTGGCACGCTTAGATTGGAAAGCAGTGGAGGTAATTCGGGATCCTTAAACTCATGAGTAAAAATCTTTGCACGCTAACTGGGTCGAACGACGGGTTAACGGATTTTCCTGGAGAATTTAGCTCCTTCGCTGACTCCGTGTCTTGCATCTACCCTCATATTTTACGTACAGAGGAAGCTCTCAAACAGGGGATATGAAAAATCTGCCGAAACCACAAGTTATGCCTTTTCTCTCATATGCTTCTCTTGCACTTGACTGTATCACAACAAAGTAAAACAAGGTTCGCAATGATAAAAACTTGCCGCCAACAAACAATCTATTTACTGCTCAATAAAGAACGCTTCCATGGGTAATTTAGTATACTTGTGAGCAAAGGTGTAGCATGATGTTGAACCAAAATATCTCCTCCAACTAGAGGAAGAGGAACCGACCCACACAAGCCACGGTCACTGACTACCGTGTGCCGTGTGCCGGCTCCCGAAAATTTCCGCCACTTCCAGGGCTGTCATCCCCGATTCGGTCAGGGAGTGGAAAATATACACCGCACATGGCATATAAATGACAGTGATAGACTGGAGGTATTTTCTTTCGGTCGCATGCCGAGCACGGCAATAACGGCAATCTCGGCACTTTGGTGAAAACTTCATTGACCTCCCCACAACATTGTTACCATGGGGTATGGGGATTCCCCAGATAGATAACTTTGGACATCATGGATGGATAGGTATCTAAGAAGAGTCGCAAGGCGTGGAGGGAACGACTAAGCTATTAAAAAAATATATCAAGTGACTTATATTTCTTCAACAGAAGTTGCGGACAGGACATGTTCTGCGTGTATATTCTGAAGAACCTATCAACGCTAGGTATTATTGCCAATGGCGTATTACCGTGACGACCTAAACAACAAGAACAACATGTGGAGCCACATACGGAGCATATATGGAGAAATTGTGCTGAGGAAAGATGGGGCTGTGTGAAAAAAATAAAACAAAACGCTGGAGATATCCGCAATTTATTTTGCGCTCATTTTCTTTTCTCGTATTCTAAAGAGAACAAAGCACTGCGTTTGCTGTAGTTGTGTCGTGTTCTCATCATGGGTCGCTTTCTTGGTCTCAGAGGCTCGAAGCTGAGCATGGCCACAATCATATTGGTTGTTGGTCCAGCGTATTTTACCTTTGGTTATAATTTGGCTGTCGCTGGTGGGCTTCTCACTTTGGAGTCGTTTGTCAAGCAGTTTCCCCAAATGGACACCATTAATACGACTGGAGCTCAGAATAAACTGAACTCAAATATTCAAGGTGCGTTGAGTTCTTTCCCATCTTTCACCTTTCGATCTTAGTATCTGACTCCTTGTTTCTAGGCGCCGTATCTGCTCTATTCACTGTTGGTGGTTTCTTGGGTGCCCTCTCTACCATTCCTCTAGGAGATCTACTCGGTCGTCGTCGCATTATTTTTCTTGGCTCGGCCTTTGTTGTAATCGGTGCTGTTTTGATGTCATCTTCGTACTCTTGCACAATTAATTGTAGCGAGATTGGTACAAGGTTGCGGCACTGGTGCCATCACTGCCACTGTTCCTGTATGGCAATCGGAACTTTCAGGATCAGCCCACAGAGGATCTCACGTTGTCACAGAGGGACTTTTCATTGCCGCGGGTATTGCCGCCTCTCAGTGGATTGATCTTGGCTTCTTCTTTATTGGCTCATCTTCTGTATCATGGAGAGTGCCTCTTATCATCCAAGTTCCTTTGCCAATCTTGGTCATGATCTTTGTCTTCTATATGCCAGAGTCCCCCCGATGGCTTTTGCTGAAGAACCATCATAAGGAGGCACGTGAGATTCTGAGCATCCTTCGAGATGAAGATGAACATTCGGCGGCAATCCAAAGAGAAATTGCAGAGGTCGAAACATCACTTGAAATGATTGGGAGCGTCTCGCGATGGGACGTGTTTAAGATGGGTGAAAAGAGGAACTTTCATCGTCTCATGCTGGGAATCGGAGGGCAATCGTTCTCTCAACTTTGCGGAGTCAACTCGATTACCTTTTATGCAACAATAATCTTTCAACAACGCTTGAAGCTGGATGCTATCAAAGCAAGACTACTTGGTGGTGGTATGACGACCATTCAGATTGTTGGAGCCCTGGCGGCTGTCCTGACAATTGACCGCCTCGGCCGTCGATCCCTGATGCTTATGAGCTCTGCCGGCATGTGCATCACAATGGCTATCATCACGGGAACTACTTCAACCACCAACAACCAAACGGCACTGATCGTAGCCGTTGTCTGTTTCTTCATCTACAACATGTCTTACACCTTCGGATTTTTGGGTTTGACATTTCTTTACTCCACTGAGGTTGCTCCTCCTCATCTCCGCGCCAAGATTAGCGGATTTTCCAACTGCATGACCTGGCTGATGAACTTCGTCGTTGTTGAAGTTACACCTACTGGTTTCGACAATATTCAGTATCAGTACTACATAATATGGGCAGTCATTAACTGCTTCATATTCACGACTGTTTTTTTCCTGTATCCGGAAACAAATGGCCGAACATTAGAAGAGATGGATGAAGTTTTCATGCTGTCAAACAATATTTTTGAGAGCCGCAAGATTGCCACGAATCTCTCCAAGAGAGAAGCCTCCGACCATGAGTCAATGACCGAAAAGGTCACTGCTCAGCAAGTCGATGAATTAAAGTAGAGAAAGATTTTTGTTATTGTAAAACAATTACAAGCCATGATAAACATATCTCGGCCTATGTACCAACGCAACTTCATTTGTGTTATAGCTGAAGTATGCCTGCCTAATTTTTGGAACTACTAAAGCTTTTGAATTATGTGATTTTGACAACTACCTTGCCAATATGACCTCCTTTAGCAAGGTAGAGTAAAGCCTCCTTAGCCTCTAGAAACTCAAAAGTCCGATCAATCACAGGGTGAACCACTGTCTCCTGGTACAGCTGCAGCACCTCTTCAAACCTGTCTTTTGGCCCACAAACGATGCCTTTCAGAGTAACGTTTCGCGACAACGCGAGTACGATTGTGTTCATCTGGGAACTGGTTTGCTTGCCAGATACGTAACCCACACAGCTAATCTGGCCGCCAAAGGCGATACACTTAAATGACTTAGCTAAGGTATCGACACCACCGCATTCGAGGACGACATCAGCTCCTTTACCCTTTGTCATTTCGATCACTTTTTCGTGCCAATCCGGATTCTTCTTATAATTGATTGTATGAGTTTCACCTAGCTGTTGTGCCCTGTTTAACTTTCCGTCTGATGAAGATGTTACAATCGCTAATGATCATTAGCAGAGTACCACATATGCCAAGAAGAATTTCTGAACTGGTCAGTTGAAGCGCATGCGCCATTTGCAATGCTGAGATAAACAGGCCGCTGGTTTCTTGAATCAGGACAACATTCTCTCTATCTTTCAAGGGAGAGCCTAGGGGCTGAAATGTATTCAGGGCCATCCAAGCGGTAACTGCTGCGGCTGGCAAGGGCGAGGCCTCTTCATCAGTCAGATAATGCGGAAATTTCACAAGGCCTGTGCTCGGGAACCCCGATATTGCGTGAGACTGCCGGGTAATGGTGCTCCCAAGAGAGATTCAAAGTCTTGCTCTTTTATTTGACCCGTGAGGTGACTTTGCTTGAGATAGCCATGACGCGGTCGCCTTCCTGGTACGCAGTGTTCCGTAACACCTTGATAACAGTCCCACAAATGTCTGAACAGGGGACGATGGGTTCATCTTTGCGATCAGCGCTAGGATGGAATCCAAAGGTACCGGAACATACGGAGCAACGGCAATCGGCATTTAGCCATGAAATAGAGACAAGGTCCAGCGACAAACCTTCTGTATCTCGATAACTGAGACTGGCACAGTTGATTTTGACTAAGACATTGCCATCATTGAGATCGCTTGGATCAGGGGCATCCACAAGCTGTAGTTTCTCCAGGCCATCTTGGCGGGTAATCCATTGTTTTATTGTAAATAAAATTAAACAAAACTACATGTTAAACTAACTACTACCTTCGACGATTGACAAGATGATGGGCCTTATGTACAGATAATATAGCTACCAGGACATTTCACCGTGGTAACGTTATGAATTGGTGAAGACGCGGAGTCGCGGACTCATTTTCTTGCTCGAAAACAAGTACAATTCTGAACAGACATAGTCAGCACAATTTTGGTTCGGAAAAAACAGTACTCGTTAGAAGAAGTTGTTCTTTCTTGGCAAAATGCGATGATTTGTAAGTATAGACTTCATACACGGCTTACAAAGCCTTCAGCGATAACTCATTCAAACCACGATTGTCGCTTCTTTGTTTAGACTGATACAAAGTATACCTCGCTACTCACACGTTGTACACTTAGAATGCGGCGCATTCCCGCACAGATAAATACTAGACTTATAAATCGTGGGCTATCAGGCAGACGATTTTTAACCCTAGCTTCACTTTCACGACGTAAACTCAACTTAAAGCTCTCCGTTAACGAATTAGTTCGATAACATCGCGTGATCATGAAGGAGGCAATAGTTATTGAATTCGAAGATGATTCTTCGCAATGCAAATTCACGAATCCCAAATCCCCAAACCAAAATCTACACAGGTGTTGATCAAAGTGATGGTGTCGGGTTCGAATCCGAAAGACTGGTAAAGCTCACGCCAGAGAGAATAAACAATCCCTTGAGCAACTTACATTGACGCAAACATGTAATAGGAAAGGGCCAACTCCTATCCCCGCACAGAACAACACGAATACAGGCGACGATATCGCTGGAATCATTGAGGCTGTCGATTCATCGGTTGTCGAGTTTGGGCCTGGTGATCGTATTGCAAGCTTACACAAGCTCAAGACCCTTCATGGATCCTATGCTGAGTATGCATTAGGGGAGGAATATAGCACGATCATGCTGCCTGAGAACGTGAACTTTGAAGAAGGGGCAACGATCCCACTGGCAGCGATGACTGCCGCAATCGGGCTGTTCAATAGTCTTGCTTTGCCGGAACCTTGGTGCCAACATGAGACATTGAGAGAGCAGGTGAAAGGTGGTGCTGTGGTTTACGGCGCCGCCAGTGCCGTCGGATCTTTTGCCATTAAACTCTTGCGAAAAGCCGATATCCACCCAATTATAGCTGTTGTCGGGGGAGGGATATCATATGTCGAAGGCCTTATTGAACGAAACAAGGGCGATGTGATTATTGACTATCGTGAATGAGATGACGCTATAATCAGGGGGACCAAGCAGGGCATCAGGGATGGGGAGTCGTTGAGATACGCCTTTGACGCTGTGAGCCAAGCTACTAGCTACTTGAACATTTCAAGAGCTCTTGAGCCAGATGGGGCCCTGACTACGGATATACCAGGTAAACTTTCCGTTTTTAGCTTCGTTTATAGGGCATTCTGACAAACAATGTGAAGGACACGACTATTCGGGGCTTCCAGCTAGTATTCGTCTCGTTCAGACCAATGTGACCACGGCTCATACAATTCATAAGGACGTTGCTACAAGTTGGTTCAGGCTGTTCTTTCACGGCTTGAAAGACGAGTGGCTCAAGGGCCACCCGTAGGAAGTTGTTCCAGGAGGCCTTGAAGGATTACAACACGGGCTTGAAAGTCTGAGAGATGGCAAAGCAAGTGGAATCAAGTATGTATATAGGATCGGTATGTGTTCGGATTAGTAGAGAGTGCTAGCTGAATATACTGCTCTTATAATACTGCATTTCACCGAAAATGTTGTTGAACTTTGGAATTCTGAATTAAAAATTTACAGTGTTTCCTTGCATACTATATTTCAGCAAGCATATCATTATAAGGGTATCATACATCAAAATATAATAAAATTCTTCTAATATTGTTATTATCTTTCTACTATTGAACATACCTTTCAAAAGTTATAAAGATGCTGCCAAGCTCCCAAAGACTGCAATTCTTCAGTATAACTAGAAATTGAATTACGCAGCCACTCAGCAAGTCGATCAAGCATCAGAGTAAAATCAGAACTCTCTTTACAACCTATTATAAGTCAACTGTTATTTATATTTTTTTTCTATGCAGTAATTGGTTCTATTTTTGGTCAAGCCCTACTGCCTCTCTGGAACACTTATTTGATCGCACTGCCGTTATACAAGATGTGGATCGTGGCACAAGAAAATATTATAATTGTTAGCACTTCGACATCGCGCAGTGCTGCCTCGACTAGTGTATGAAGCTCATAGAAGAAGAGCCACTTTTCGAGTCTGTAGATGACAATAATCATGAATTTATCAAACAACTTTGCCAATGCAGTGACCAGACTTTTGGGGCAACATCCGTTCGGCTCAAGTCACTTCAAGGGAGGTTACCTTGTAAGAGGCCGATATTGATCCGTGATCGCTCAAAATATTTGATCAGAGCAACACTACGAAGGGCATGAGCGGGATGATGATGCGCTTTATGACGATTATGATAGCCACTTCTTGGCAGCTCTGGTAATAGACAGCGAGACGGATTAGCGGAGTAGTATCCCTGAGAACGCTTCTTGTTCTTGTTTGCACTGCTTTCTAAAGTTCACCTAATAAAGTCATTTCAACACTAGAAAACCTTTGCATCTTTGTTGAACTATCGATTCCTCTTCAGCTATCAATGTTCTTCGACCATTGATCCTTTTTAGCTAGAGATTGTTCTTCAGCTCTCCACTGCTCTTCAGCTCTCCACCGCTCTTCAGCTATCAGCTGCTCCCCATTTATCGACAAACGATCGGCTTCTAACTGCTCTACGGCTTTCGCTTCTTTTTTGTTTTCCGCCTGCTGTTAGGTGATCAATTTTACAGCCTGATAAAGTAAGAGCTTAGTGAGAGCAGCGCGTTTGATAACTTTGTAATAATTACTATGTAGCCCTGTCGCGTACTTGGGTTAGTATCTGGTAACCTCTTTATGGCAGTGCCAATATGCTTGCTTTTCACAAAGCGCGTCGCTTCAGCTTCTCTTGGTCCACAAAACTGCTTGAGACGTTCTTTGCGCTGTGTTTTATTGCGTTTTCAAAACGTCGTCCAGTTCGGCCGACGTTGCCAAACTATAAGCGCGCTCAATTTTTCTACTCTGCCGTACTGTATGAGAGCGAATGGGTTCAAAGCTGTTATCGCTTACCTGGCTGCATCCGGCCGTTTCCTGTGACCTGATGATAACTTTGTTTAGCTGAAGTCAGCTATGGCCTAGCCTGTGCTACATAGGCCTGGGCACTTGATTATTGGTGTCAACTCCACTGTCGCTGGAATATTTGCATGTGGCGGCGCAATGGGTTACAGCTAGAATCGTGGAAGCTATTGATCAGCTTGGCCCGTTAAAAACATAGCTAAAATGGTCCAGAGAGCCGGACATGGGTATAAAGACTGTGATGGAGTACGCTTGTTACTCTTGTACTTACATAGTTTCAAATTAGAATATATTTTCCTGCAATTTGCGAGATATTTCTCCTCCTCCTAAAAGCAAGATAGGGCCATCACAATTCAGCAGCCTGGCTGACTCTGTGTCTTCTTCGCTAAATCCTGCCTGCAAACAGTGCCATTTTGACAAGTACGAATCAGAAGATGACCATGCACCTTAACCGCACATCAGAATGGGGCAATAAGCTTGCTGAGCTTGTCGTCCAGGAAGCTGCGGCTCACCCTCCGGCAGAAAATGCAGTTCATGCCCGACTAACGGACATTGACGGCACTGGGATCGCCACCCTAGTGAGCAAGCTTACAGAGGCCCCTAAGGCGTACGGCGGCTTCGCCCTGGTTTTTAAGCACGACAAAGAGCACAAGGACTTTGAGTGGCTCCAGTTCATCACTCGGCAGCTCGTGGTTGAAGATGCTGCCATAACCGGGAAGCTAGTTATGAAGACAAATACGACTTCTTATCAATTGATAAACTCAGCGGCGGAGATCACAGACTACGACTTCGTGTCCGGCTCAGAGCCACCCAATTGGAATACCTGCTGGAAGGTGGACTCTAAGATTCTGCCGGACCCCAAGCCCTTTTTTCGCGAGGCATACGAATACGCCATCTCGGATAGTCATAAGTTGACCGCCATTATGGACGCTCCGGGTGTCATGGCCGGAAAAAAGCCGACAAAGAGAGATAAGTCTTCGTATGAAGATGTCCCGGATGGCTTGGTGGTGATGAAAGATGAGCTAGGTGCCCACGAGGGAATCTCCCGCGCTTACTTCTCGGACTATCTCGTGAAGAAGGTGGGCGGTAAATATAAGATTTACGCTCGCTTTGACTTCAGCTTGACCTGGCAAGCAAGGGATACAGACAAGAGCAATTATGCGCTGCGTTCTCTTAGAACAACTAAAACCTCTTCGCTGCTTGATTGCCACATGGCCGCTCTCAAGCATAAGACGTTGCCGGGCTCAACAAGCCAGCCGTCCAAGGAACCCTGGAAGGGCTTTCGTGGCCTCATTGTCTCGTGAGCCAAATCCTGGATGCACTGGATTATTTTGCGTTCATATGATCATGTCTATCTACTATATTCACATGCAGAAGATCCAGAAAATCGACATACCTTCCGTGGTTGACTCGTGTATATTTTTGATACAAACTGAACCAGAGGTTACAACTGGTAAGCGGAGAGTGATTGAAGAATGAGGGTATTTAAATAGTAATAATATTACTACTACGGGGCGTATGTTACTTGTGATCTTGAGCTTCGACAGTAAAATAAACCCTAGGGCTGTCCGAGCACAGTCTTTATATGCTCCAATTGGTAATATTTAAAGAAAATCGGACATAAACTTTACGCGTTAAATAAAGCAATATAGGTATAAGATAATACTGGTATTCTCTGTTCATGTTAAATACGTACTGCAATTTGATTGGAAATGGTTTGCTAGCCGTTCGCGCTGCCCAGTGGCTTGCTCCCTGGTTTATGTGTGGTGGGTCGGTGGATTCATCTTAGTGTTCCAACCGTCAACTTCCCCTTTGGGAAATATTCTCTGTTTCACTGCAGAATTAAGCAACATCACATTCTCATTGAGCGAAGTAATCCTCTAAAGAAATTCTGCATTGGGAAAGAATATTCATCTAAGTACCCGATTTGACAACTCATGGCTTTATTATTATGGCACATCGTGACTAGAAAGATAACTCTACTCAGGTAGATTTGGTACTAAGAACTCGGCGGGGTATTGCGCGCACCTTCCACAGGTCCGCCCTGGTCTAGGGAAGTATAAAGCACTCCAGACACTCAGTGAGTAATTGTCATTTCTCACCACATTGTCACGGTAATCTTCATACAGGTACAGATGGCTGTAGACGAGTTCGATTGCACTCTTAACCCCAAGGCTGACGAGATCGTTGCATCTCTCATTCGCAACGGCGGTTGTGTTCTTCGAAAGCTCATTACAGACAGTCACATCCTCAGTACAATCGAAAATGACATCCGTCCGCATATTCAGGCCGACAAGCCCTGGGAAGGAGTTGATTTCTTCCCTCCGGAAACCCGTCGTGTTACGGGTTTGATAAGCAAATCTCAAACTTTTACCAACGCCATCCCTGCCAATTCTCTCTACCGTAGTGTTTGCTTGCGGCTCCTTTCCTCGACTTACCGGTCCTGGTATGGCTACCAGCTAAACACTACAGTCTCTGAGCCTCAACTAAGCAACACGATTGTCTTCTCTATCGGCCCTGGTGCCAAGCGTCAGGAACTGCACCGTGACGACTCAATTCATCATAACATGCTGCCGGAATTGCAAAACCATCATGACTACCGCATTGGAAGAGATACCAGTGTAGGTCTCTTTGTAGCTGGCAAGAAGACAACGCGCGCAAACGGTGCCACGCGTTTTGTTCCGGGGTCGCATCTTTGGGGCGAGGACAGGTGTCCGGATGAGGAGCTATCCTGCTATGCCGAGTTAGAACCTGGTGACGCTTTTATCATGCTTGCTTCTTGTTACCACGGCGGAAGTGCGAATACGACTGTGGATGAAGAAAGGCTCGTATACAGCTGCTTCATGACGAAGGGTTTTCTTCGACAGGTTTGTTTGATACAACCACAGTATTGTGCGACTCTTGCTAACGTCTTATAAAGGAGGAAAACCAGTACTTGGCAAATTCCTATGAGCATATCAAAGGGTACCCTCAAGAGGTGCAGAGGCTCGTTGGATACTCGGTGAGCAAGCCCTTCTTGGGTTGGGTCAATCTTGATGATCCTCTCAAGATTTTGTACGGCGATGACTTTGCGGGCGATGGGATGCGGTGATGTCTGTCCAATACTGTCGTTCATGAGAAAGAAGTGAGAAGCAGACAAGGACAGATCTTTGCTGCAGATTAATACAAGCCTCGTCCATCCTCATCCAAATTGCGCGTATTTCTCATATGAACATTTATTGTATGTAAGTAGGTATCTAGGACTAAAAAAAGAGTACCTGCACAAAGTTAAACTGCCAGCAAAGGCTTGCCATCTCTTTCCCAGCTTTTCGCCATTTCCAGCCAATTCTCCGACTTATCCTTCCACAACTCCTCTAAAAAAGATATGACAACATTGTAGTTTCTGAAGCCAGTTTTGCTGACAATATCGCTGTACCACTTGAGTATCGAACGCTGTTTCTGCTCGCAATCGTGGCATTCAGTTCCAGCAATGAAAACCGGCCATGTCAAGTGCTGAATCAGCGCATCATTGGAGGAACAATTTTGTAATTTCTCAAATAGTTGCAGCGTGGTATGAGATATCTCAGCATCCTGAGACGTGAATTTGTATGCACCACGATATGCATACAGTAGTCCTGCTAGATGATGAACGTCAACAAGGTGAATGAAGGTCAAGCGAGTGAATTCGTCATCGAAAACGGCCGATGTCGCTGCCTTCATCAGAGTGAGACCCCGCGCCTTATCAAATTCGGTCCGTAGCATCGCTGGACAAGGGATGTCCTGCGGCGTCTTGTTTGATATCCAAATTGTTTGCTGGTGAATGAGTCTCATAAACTCCGACAGCAGTGCTTCCGGGTCACCTGGTTTCGGCAGTACCACATCATCAATGCCAAGGTACAAGCATGTCGTGGTGGAGGCTAGGACGTCGTGAATCCCAAACTGAGCGCGCAGAAATCTGAACAGCTCGCTTGTTTCAGCGCGGGAGTCCGAATAGTTATTGATGAGGAGGCGTGCACCGAGGCGATGCGAGCACCATGTTGCAGAAGTGTCTCCAATGCACTCATAGTTGGATAGGATGAGCATAGACGTCAAGATCCACTCTACCGTCTCCAGATCCAGAACGTTCCGTGGTTCTTTACTACCCAAGCACTCTGTGACTCTGGACAGTTCGTGCGCAATGCTTGAAACGATGACATCGCAGGCCTTGGGCACGAATGTACGAAGCAAAGGCTCGGTAGCCGCCATATGCTCAGCAGAAACTGCGAGAATTGCAAAAAGAATGATAGGTGATGATTTTGCTTTGGGCACAACAAGCCGTCTGTAAGGATTCTGAGGTGAGTCTACCCAAATCATGTTCCCAGCAATTTTTTCCGAGTAGTAAGAGACCAGGTGTTCAATTTCTCTGGCGTTAGGGGCCCCGGGGATGATTTTGGCTATTGTGACTGCGATCTCGGCCCATGGCTTGGACAATCCCGCAGGTACGTTGACTTGAGATAAATCCTTGGGGTATTTCATCCCTTTGAAACGGCCTCGAATAGCTACTGCATTCACCCATCGAAGATTACGCCCGTAGCCAGGGCATTCAATATTTCGTTTCATACATTTGAGACAAGATGGCCTCGCACGGTCACAACGAATCCTTCGTCGAGCACAGCTTTTGCAGTCTGTCGTGCCGCGCTCGACCACCGACGTTATGGTGGATTCCCTGCTGGCCATGGTTATTTCGCCATTCGTGGAAATCTTTGATCCATGGTATAGTACTGTTGTAATACCTTTTTCAGATCTTTTTGGCATGAGGTCCTCGAAAGTGAAGAATGTAAGGTTGAGTCATGGCATGGCATTGAGTAAACAGAAAGTTTAGCGTGTCTAGGCCTTGCCTAATACAGTGTGTAACTTGTTGGCTAAAAAATTCAAGTAAGAGTAAGTATTTATTTGGGGAACTGTTATCAGGCCCCCCTTTCTTATTAAAAGGCTCCCTCGATAATAAATTTATGTAAAAGCAAGTTGTATTTAGTACTCTCTGCCTACTACTTACACTACCTATTATTGTATATATATATAATACTAACTTTAACTATTAACCCTAATCTATCCGCTAACATTAACCTAACCACTATCCTTAACTATCCTTAACTAACCCTAACCGCTTACCTCAAACAGTTAGTGCTATAGATAATAAACACTCTTTTAGTTATTAGGTACTTTGAAGTACCTAAGACTACTTAAGTGGATTACAAAGCTAAGAATAACAGGGAAATCCACTTTCAAGGAGGCCTTTTAATAACAAAGGGGAGCCTGATAACAGTTCCCTTATTTAAATCTAGCTAACCCCTCTTTTTAAGTACTCCTTGACTTTTATTTATTTCTTTTTATTGCTTTGTTCCTTTACTACAGTATGCCTGTTATTACCCGATCGGCTGCCCGGGCCAGTAAAATGGATGCTAAGACAACTATAACAAACCACACTTCAAAGCAACAGAATAACTTGCAGGCTAACAACAGCACCACCACAAAGCCAAAAAGCAAAGATCCATTTCCAATGGAACAACCACGCAGATTAGTAGAATGGATATCGCTCAAAGATCCGCCCAGTGGTGTCATCCCAAATGGAGATAACCTTTTTGCCATCCTCCAAGACATATGCAAACTCCAAGCATGCATATTTATCGCCCGAGGCCGTCCACGTGAACTAAGCGGAATCGAGTGGTTAATAATCGGTAAGCAGCATTTAACCCTTTGATATAAGAAATGCCATACCCTCTTCTAAATATCCAATAACTAATCAGTTGCTAGAGTGGAGAAGCAGCAGACACAGGGAAGAGTTTCTTACCTCAGAGCTTTTCCTCAAATTGAATGAAGCCCTTTCACATCGCTCATGGAGCCAAGAGTTTGCCTGGCCGAGGGGTGGGAAGATCATATCCGCAAATCCTATTTTCCCTCCACAGAGGCTTTATGAGGTCTTGACAATCTATTTCCCTGCAGACTTAGATCAGGAAGCTATCTCCTCTATTGAAGCGTTTAGAGGGCTACCCTACTGGCATTTTGAGGATGATGAAGGCCCAGCTGAAAATCCCTGGGCGGCTTTCAAGTCTCAGCTTCGTGCATGGATAGAGGGGACTTGTGAGTACCAGGGACAAACTGCAAGGAGATTGGCTTTTTTCATTGCGTTCACTGATGAGGCAGGAGAACGACTCTATAAAGAAAAGGCAATAAATAAAGTACCCGGAAGGCCGACGGGGGACGTCATGGTGAACTTCTTTAACGAGCTGGAAGATCTTGGGATGATCGGGTACGAGTCGCTACATGTTAAATTCTTGGAGGTCGTTCACTATGCACCAGAGGACTATGTACCACAACCTCCCCGACCTATATCTCCTGAAACAATGAAGCGTTTGGATGAAGATCGTCGGCGAGCCTACGAGGACGACGACTCAGATGGATCATTATAGAAGGAGAGTAATGGCAGAGCAGTTTGAACAGTGTGGCGCCAATGGCTATTCAAAGAGCTGTGGAACAATAGGCGGGATCTTGAACTAGTCCATTTTCAGCCAATTTTGATGATAGAGATTATCTGGACCTTTCAAAGTCATCCGGGAAAGGTATCACATAATACAAGGTAGTAGTAGAATCCCTGAGGGAGAAGCAAAGAGAAACACGAGGAAGACACAAACGGAAAAATATGCCAGAGTTTGTGTTTTAAGATATATGGATAGATATATGTAGCAGGGCCAAAGTCGACGGATATGTCTTTAAATTTAGTACATTAAGTATACCTTAGTCCTTTACTTTCACTACTCTTCGTGCATTTGCCACCATATATTCTCTTTGAACTAGATTATCCTGCCGAGCAACTAGAACAGAAAGGAGCAGGGCTATATAATCTTGTTGTGATTACATTTCAGTTTTTGTTTTTATTTTGCTACTAAAGACCAACTTGTTTTCCAATTTCAGTTTTCATTTGCCTAATAACATAGGTAATTCATGTTCGTTTCATTTTGACTTAGGAACCAAAGGAACAACTAATGCTCTATAAAGCCAAAATTAGTTTCAATACTAAGAAACTTATTGAAAGTTACTAATCTAATGGAGTCACAACTCTGCCAGGGAGCAATATCCGTCGGTTCAATATTCGCATCAGGGGTATATCAGTACTGGTTTGATTGTCCGATCGCTTAGCTGCAGTTGATACACTGGTGCTCTGAGCGCAGATCTCTCGCGACCAGTCACATTGATCAAGATACATAGCAATAGCAAACCACTGATAGCTATCGGCATTCTTGACAGCTTTTTCATTTGATTCTCTTGCAAGTTGAGCCACATTTGCAGGAAAGTAAGCAGTTTGCCCATTATTGAGCTTTGCATCTGTGACAACTTTAACCATAGTTATGAGTGTTAGTTACAGGTCAAAAATCGAACAGATAGCAAAAGGTAAACTAACCACGTTTCGTGACCAAGTGTGCTAGCTCATGCAGAAAAGTTCCGGGTGTTGAAAGAGCTTTGTATAGTCCCGCCCCGTCTGCAATTATTTTTGCTTTAGAGCGCCAAGGACTAAGAGTAAGCTTTGCTTTATCTCGAAAGCTATATGGACACATGGTAATTGCGTAGATGTCCTCTGGTTTGTCTACGGTTGTGAAACCTAACGTTGCTGAGGTGTCAGTGAGAGCACAACCCGGGGTGGTGCCCATGTTTGTTTTGAACAAAGGAGACCACCAGTTCCATTCAACAGCACCACCTTGATAATGATTGCAATGTCAGCGCTGCTCCAGCTAGCGATTTGGCTTAAGATGGTTTTTATCAATCAAACTTACCTGTTTTCTTCAAGATTGTTTCGCCAGTCATTTGTCCATTAGGGCTATAGACCATCTCAGTTTTCCATCGCCAGCTATCGTCGCAAAAGAAATGCACCTGAGGAATTGGATCATCCTCGTTATGTGCTGAGAAAGCAATGATTTGCTCGAAAACAACTAGTAGAAGACAGGTTAATCCTGGAGTCTGCTTCCACTTGACAATCGAAAAAGTAAGAGACAGGCAGTATGCCCTATACTCTTAATGTAAAACAAAAATATCAACTAACATTTGACATAAGTGAATTGTGCCGAGTTAACGGCTGACACTGTGGTAGGTGTCGACGAATCGGGGTGTATTCCAAAGAATGTCTCCACAGTTGCGCGCACCGTCGCACTAGTAGCATAGCTGTTCAACGAGTCCAAGGCCACCTGAGCCATGTCAATTGCCTCAGTATAGATGGCACTCAGATCTGCACTCGTGCCATAGCAGGTTCCACCGTAGGTACCTCTTCCAGATCGTGTGATGGGGCCTTGGCCCATTTCGACTTGAAAGCGACTACCAATGTCCAAAGCACAAGATTGACCAAAAGAGAGGAGAATTCCAATCCAGTTTAGCAGCCATTGTGCGGAACTTTGCAAGCAATACTTCATGGTACAAGAAGCTTTTTGTATAGACTTGAGCAAGAACCATCAAGATAACGTGGCAAAAGAGGGATAAGAATAAAGGTAAGAATTTCAATGAAACGCTTCATACATACTAAATGAGCGAAACGAGAAGTAAGTGGTCTTGGAACCCAAATAAGAACGAGTGGAAAAGAGTGGAAAGATATGGCATACCCAGTGAAAGTTGGAATAACAGGTTATATATTATACAGCCAGGGATCAGAATTGCAGCGAATACCTATTCCCTCAGCCGAAAGGAAAGAAAAACAAGCTAGCCTTATAGCCCGCTGACAAAAACTGGAAATTGAGAGCAATGATATGATTTTACATAAAAACTAAAGGTAAAAGTTTGTTTTTATAATGCAGTACGATATCAAGGGTTTAATACTCGCGTACAAGCAAACACTACAACCCCGGCTTATCTTGATGATACTTCTTTTCACAAAGTACATATAGCAAAATATAAGTGAGACACGTCGTGTTTCTTCATCTCGGTGTCACAGCTTATAACACCTGTAGTCTGGAGCTAGCATGAGACTAATAGCCCTGGTATGCTGAAAAGTGCCGAGAGCGTGTGTTTGACTTCAAAGAATCGGCAAACTCATGGAACTAATTGGTAAAAAGACAACAAATTAATTGTATAACAACCTAGGTAAACTCTTGGAATAGCCTTAATCTCCGAAAAGCAATAGTCTGGGCAACCCCTGGACGCGAAGATGGATATCACTTTGGCGAAGATAACAAATATTTGTCTACTAACTTAAACGAACAGTGGAGAGCGAGAGAGAGGGTTTATGTAGCATTGGTAGTATTTTAGCGCGAAAGAGTAGAATTTCCTCAGGGGACGCGCAAATAAAAGATCATTTCTAAAATTCGGCGATAAAGAAAATTACAATTCAAGAAGACTTAGGCTATTTAAAACTGTAACATATCCGTGCTTTAGGCTTGGTCTATCTCGATATGTAGATCCGGAAAAGCTAATTAAGCCTGTAAAAGATTGTTGATCTTCCGCCGCGGAAACGGGAACGGGAGGAAACGAGCGGAAACGAGCGGAAACTAGGGATGCCAATGTGACCAAATCCCCCCCAGCTATTTATTTCTACACCACGGAGCACTGTTCCATATCCATACTAGTTCTCCCACTTCTGCGAGTCAGAGCTTTTTTCTTAATGGAGAAACGCTAGCTTTTCTTTAGTCTTAGCGCCCTGCAATGGCTCCTTTCGCTTACACGAAGCTTAGCGAGATATCTAAACATTTGTTCTCAGGAAAACAACACAGTCATAGCAACTGACTACCGGCGTAGATAATGTCAAAGATGGATCCGAGGTATAAAGACTCGATGGCGTCGAGTAATCTTAATCTTTTACTCCCGTACACTCTTTTGTATCATTTTTTGTGACATTCCTGCTCTCATATTATAAGGTGTCTCCGCAGAGCACCTTGTCAAGAGCCATGCGGCACCTTCGTCTTTCTTTTGCATTGCCTTTTCTTTCCCTCTTGACGCTCGTTTTATCTGATGATATCTCTTGCGACTCGAAAAATCCGTGTTCAGAAGGATGCTGTTCTAAATTGTCAAATGTTTGTGGCTACGGCCCAGATTATTGTTCACCTACCAACTGCATCGCTGCAGCTAGTACAAATGGGACTTGCTCCCAATTGGCTGACTGCGATCCTGGTGTCTACCCAGGCTGGGGAGACAAATGGGGTATGAGCTGTCCCAGGTTGAACGATGTTCTGTAATGCTATCGAAATTTCTAACATTCCTAATGATCTAATTCAGGTTCCCAATATGCCAAATCCGATAATTGCCCTCTGAATGTCTGCTGCAGCAAGTATGGTTTCTGTGGAACAACCACAGACTTTTGTGGCGACACCACTGTTGTTGAGCCAGTATGCGATGGAACCTCGGCAACGAAGAAGACTATCGCGTACTATGAGGGTTGGAACTCTGAACGAGCCTGTGACACCATGCCACCTGAGAACATCCCAATTGGCGGCTACACACACATCAATTTCGCTTTTCTGTACATTGACCCTAATCTTTACACAATAACGCCTATGGAAACATCTCAACAAGAGCTCTACAGTCGCGTGACCGCACTTAAAAAGCGCAAGAAGGGCTTGGAAGTCTGGATATCTGTCGGTGGATGGGCCTTTAATGATCCTGGGCCAACTGCTACCACCTTTTCCGAGCTGGCGGCATCTAAGTCCAAGCAATCGACCTTTTTCGGGTCATTGCTGAGCTTTTTGGATAAATACGGATTCGATGGTGTGGATTTGGATTGGTATTGCTTAAACCCCCAGCACCTTCCCCTCCTCTCCCTCACCCCTCGACTCGCTGCCAAAAAGTTTCAACTAACGAGGAAAAAAACAAAGGGAATACCCAGTTGACTCTGATCGCGGTGGATCAGATGCTGACTATGAAAACTACCCAACTTTCTTGGCAAATCTTCGCTCTGCGCTTGATAGCGCAGGTAAAGGCTATGGTTTAACAATTACTCTACCCAGTAGCTACTGGTATCTTCAGAATTTTGATATCGTGAAGATAGCAAAGAGTGTTGATTGGGTGAGTTCTATAAGCTTTATAAATTAATCTTACTGCAGACCATTCTAACATGCATTTAGTTCAACATGATGACATACGATCTTCGTGAGTGAAAGACTATACGTTGTTATCAGCACACTATACTAGGCTAACTATTTTAGACGGTGGCTGGGATGCAGCTGATCCTTGGATTGGATCTGTTGTCAACGCACATACCAATCTTACTGAGATCGTCTCGGCCATGGATCTTCTGTGGCGAAGTGACATTCATCCCTCTCAAGTTGTGATGGGACTGGGGTTCTATGGCCGAAGTGAGTAACTCTTCACTCGAGGGACATATATAAATTCGGTGCTGATTTTTGGGCATTTCAGGCTTTATTCTTAAAGATACGTCATGCATCACAGCAGGATGTCCTTTCTCGACAGTTGGTATGTATTTTGTCCAAAAGACCACATTGACATCACAAGTGCCTGATAATCTACTTAACAGGTAATCCGGGCGAATGCACAAACAGTGCTGGCACGCTTTCATTCTCAGAAATTGAAGCAATTCTGAAAGATCCATCTCGCAATGCCACACAGACCTACGATAAAACTTCTTCAGTTCAAATCGTGACATTTGATGAGAATCAATGGGTGAGCTATGATAACTGGGCTTCGTTTCAGGCAAAGTTGGACTACGCGAATTCCCATTGTATTGGAGGGTAGGTTATAGTCTACTTTCGAGAATACTATAGTGCCGGTAATGAGCTAATTGTATACTGCAGAACAATGGTCTGGGCTGTCAGTTTGGACGTCGACGGAACAGCGACCAGTAAGTTGAGTATCCCTAAGACTTCTCAAAAGATCAAATACTTAATTCTTCCCATTTTGACAGATGGACTTAGCGGAGCTTCTGTTGTTTTTCCCGGTGACAACGGTTCCAATGGAGGAAGTGGAGATATTTATATCGGGCCTGATCTGTGGACAAATGCAACCAAGGAGATCTCTTGCGAGCCACCCTGCACTATCATCCTACCCCCCTTCCCACTAGCGTCACCTATAACGATTGACTGGCCACCATACCAGACTACCATTGCATCAAGCTCCAACGGGGTCACATTAACCAAAACCACTATAATTACCGTTGCTCCCTTCACTGTCAACGAGATACCATTCTGGCCTATTACTGTGGCGACAACTGGCGGAAATGCCTTCTTGAGCCCTATGCAGAGTGTTGCTCCACCAACCTTTGGTCTGACTTTGCCACAAAGTGAAGCTACTTTCCCCCTTTTCCATACTGATTACAGTACCACTCTTACTGCCACAACATCAACAGCAAATGCTACCGTGCCATCCGTCACAACCCCTACTGCTGTCCAAAGCGGGATTGTTTCCGATTGTACAAAGTTCTATCAAGCAATCGCCGACGATGGATGCTATTCCATTGCAACTGCGCACAACATTACACTTGCGCAATTTATTGTAAGCTATACGAGACTAAGAAATACAACTAATTCATGCTGAGCAACCATTTTTCTTTTTAAGCAATGGAACCCGGCGGTAAATTCAGATTGTTCGGGACTCTGGGTCGATGAATATTATTGTGAGTTCTGACTCGTTAGATGGTATAGCTTAATTCTAACCCATATCAGGCGTCGCTGTTGCTAAAGCTACAAGTACTACTTCGTACACACCCATCCTCGTCACCTTCTTTGACAATTCACATGTTATTAGCGTGGCGCCTCAGCCGACGGCGACATCAATACAACCCCCCGGAACAAGCATCCCCATACTCACGTACTCCGACGGCGAGGCACCCTCAAATGGAGGATGTAGTTCTGGTGGCGGCGCTACTGGTTGTGGAAAGATCGATTGTTCCCTCTTTGGTTGTGGGGGTAAATGTGGATTCTTTGGGTGTGATGGAGGTTGTGGCTTGGGATTTTGCGGAGGAGGCTGTGGTCTACTCGGTTGCGGACCTGGATGCGGAGCTGGTAAGTCAACTAACCTTGTTACCTATTCATTAACCAAGCAACTGTAATCATAGTTTGCCAATTGTGCACGACGTTGACATATATTCTATTGTGTTTCTAGGGAGCTGTCTGCAAGCAGGAGGTGGCGGTGGCTCCGAGGAAGAAGAGACATCAACATCTGAATCGTGCAGAGCAACTGCCACGCCCTCTGTCACGACTGTTTGTGACTATGCCTGTCCAGACGGGGCATCGACGTCCTGTGCCACTCTCTGCACCTCGTTGACGATGAATAGCTGTGAGCCTACCGGGTTTATTAATTTCTCCCCAGGGACTGTGGACGCAGATTCGATGCCACTCACGTTACTTGAGGGCTCCGATGATGCCTTGGCCTCTATCGCCGCATCTGTGGCATCTTGGTTGAACCCGCTATACACTAGCCTAGATCCTGTCATGACGAGTGGCACCACCATGACTGCATCGGCGACAGCGCCAGCTGTGACGACGTCTGCTTCAACAACTACCGCTACTGCTATCTCGGCCTCGTCTTGCGATATCAAAAGCACCAGCCTTTCCTCCTACTGCTCATGTGATGGAGGATACGGTGTCTCATTGTCAACAAAGGCCAACAAGTCCAAAACCACTTTTTTGGTCTGCGATGTCACCCCAGCCCTGACAATTTCCACAATCACGCCGACTACAACCAGCACCAAGTCCCACACTCCTTCCACGACCACTTCTGGCAGCGAGTCTACGTCGACGGCCGTTGCGCTATATCTGACCTACTTTTCTGCCTCTGAGTGCCCCACTGGGTTCACATGCGAGGATGACGGGAAATGGAATGCGGTTATGGTAGACAATGGTTTGAGTTATGGACCGGCTGTGCCTATCCAAGGCACGTGGAACCAGGATGGCATGGTTGATGGAAGCCAAGCAACATTCTGTGATCAAACTTCGACTTTCACAGTCGATGGCGATAACATCAAGGGGTCAAGCAATGTCAGTCAGTATGGCTCATATGTTTGCAAGAAGCAAGCTATTCCTCCACAGAATACCTGGTATGATCCAGAGAATACAGTATCCTATGATATTGAAGGGGCATGGACGTGTTTTACAGACATCTGTGGCTTAACATAGTAGAAAACTGGAAGTCTAGTAACGTTAACAGAAAGTAAATACAAGAGAAACATTCAACAAAGTTGCACCCCTAAGTGGCCGAAAAGCAAAGCTGACCGGTTTAAGAAACGCTAAGTCTGGCGACTTGCCGTGCAAGCAGATATCTAGTTTCTTAAACCTTTGAAAGTTACCCGGGAAAGATATTACAGATATAAGATAAAACGTGAAGGAGATACAAACAGAATAATATGCCATAGACCACATTTCATTGTGTAGAAAGATAGATGGATTGATTGCAGGATCAATAGGCTGTGGTATCAGCTAACTTAATAAAACTTCTCTAATGCTGCATCAGGTATGAAAATCCCACTGTCGTAATTGAAGCCATATCATCAGACAAAGGTGATCTTCTGTGTGGCTATAGGCGGTCTATAAGTACCCAGAAAAAAGTTATACTTCAATTCCCATCGACGTTTCTAGTTGCATCTGTTGATAATAGTATCCGACTACTTGAGTGATCCAACAGGCGTTATATTAGTGGGGAAAAGGACTACCACGATTACGTTTATGCCAACGCTGCATCTTGACCAATTACACAGATATATATTTCTATTGGAAGCCATAAATCATGGAATCATGGGTGTAGGCCACGTCTTTACAACCAACAGTCGTGGATACTAGTTAATTTGCCACACCCCGATAACCTTTGGACTAACATCGATAACAGGTTTGCTTGACACTATAGTGATTTTTTAGAATAGGCTTCAAGTGTCAAGGCTTTGCCAAAGCCGGATATGAGTGACTCGCAGGAGGTAGCTTATCTGTTTATTAATTAATATAATCAGCTATAGATACATTTCTAATAATCCTTTATTTACTAATCACCGTGAGGTATTATAGAGTGCTTTAGTCGCTGACATACCTAAACTTTTATTCATTATAGATAGAGTAAGCTGAGGAAATGCGCATGGTGGCATTAAAAGTGTTCATATACCCGCCCCCCTTCTATTTAGTTTATTCAATTACTGATCTCAAGGACGCGTTCAAATTTGGCTCTCTTATCATTAACCAGGTTATAAAACACTCTTGCAAGAAATTGGTTGAAGCATATGTCACACTTTACTTGACAAGCTGAGAAGAGAGCTCTTATTTTTTTAATCTACTACTGGTCCCCTACAATCTGCTTTTAACGGTACTTTCTGGTCACTGCCCCTTTCCGCAAAATGTTGTCCAATTCGTACGATTTTGTCATTATTGGCGGCGGGACCGCTGGGTTAGTACTTGCAAACCGTCTAACTGAAAATTCCAGCATCAATGTCCTGGTACTCGAGGCGGGAAAAGCTAGATTAGAGGTGAGAGATTGTGCTTTCATATGTTAGTATTCACTTCATAAGCATTTAACTAACCCCCAATAGGACCCGAAAATAAATATCCCTGAACTATTTGCCCAGTTGTATGAAGAGTATGCGTTCCATGTCACATTTTGTACTGATCATTCAGTCCATTAATGGCCTGTCTGCCACTGCTCCCCGATCCGTAACAGAAGGAACAAACTGACCACCAAAGTAGTCCACAGTATGACTGGTGTTTCAAGTCTACGCCCCAGCCTGGGCTCAACAATCGTATTATTGCGCAGCCTCGAGGAAAGATCCTTGGGGGTAGCTCCGCCATCAATTTCCTGATGGCCTCACATGCAGCTAGAAGCGAGCTTGACCACTGGGAAGAGCTAGGAAATCCGGGATGGAACTGGGAGTCGCTTCTTCCGTAATACCGCAAATCTGAGGCATTCATTCCACCTACGAATGAGCAGAAGTCGCTATATGGTACCGGAGGACTTGATTAAAGTTTATACGGTTCTGATGGGCCAATTAAGCTTACTATGCCTATCGGGACAGGGAGGTCTGATGCATCTTGGCAACCCACATTGAAAGCTCTTGGGATTCCCACGGATATAGATCCTAGAGTACGAAATAGCCTGGGAGCATGGCCACTTCTCAAGCTCACTGACTCTACAGGGAAGAGAAGCTATGCGGCGACGGCTTATTATGTCCCTGTTGCTGAGAGGGCCAACCTCACTGTTCTGACGAATGCATTCGTTACCAGGGTGCTCTTGAAACCGCCGAATCAGCCTGGAGGTTTGGCAAAGGCGACAGGGGTATCTTTTCTTATCGACGGCATAGAGCAGACAATTCCTGCTGCCAAAGAAGTTCTTCTCGCCGGCGGCACTTATATGAGTCCTAAGCTTTTACAATTGTCCGGCGTCGGATCACGAATTCTGCTACAAAAATTTGGCATAGATGTCATAGTAGACAATCCGGCGGTGGGAGAAAATCTACATGTAAGTTGAATCCCCCGAGCCATGAACGCGGGCTTGTTTGATACCTGGTAATGTTTGGCGTGGGATTGAGCATGCAATGCCTGGAGAGAGAAACGTTCGGGCCAAAGAAGGAGTAATGGGTGCTGAATCATTTCGGAATCCCAAAATCTTGGACTGGGCCATGAATGAGTGGATAAATGGTCGTGGTGGGCCTCTGTCTTCAGGAGTCAATGGCACAGCCTTTTTATCTTCTCCAATCATCGCGCCTCATGTCGGACAGCCCTCCAACTTCATATCAAATATTGGCCTGGATCGCGACGATGCACATTCTCCATTCTTGCGAAAGCTTCTTGCGAGTGACAACGAAGCCGATCTGCAATTCTGCTTTGCCCCTATTGGCTGGAATCCCAATGAAGGTGGCGAGGCGCTTTCGCGACTGTTCACACACTCCAGCCCTGGTAATTATTTAGCATTTACTGCCGTCCTGGCGCATCCCTTTTCTAGAGGTGCCGTTCATATTGTGTCGCCTGATCCTCAGAGCGCGCCAGCCATTGACCCCAAGTATCTTAATCATCCCGTGGACTTTGAATTGATGGTCCAGGGAGTTCTCTTCATGCAGAAAATTTACGAAACGAAGCCTCTTGCGGACTACTGCCAGGATCTAGACGATGGAAGCGGCAAGAAGATTCAGGATACCTATAACATCCCGGGGCGCATTGATCGAAAGGCCGCCGAAAAGCTTGTCAGAGAGGGAACGATTCCCTCGTGGCATCCTGTCGGCACATGTGCCATGCTACCGAGACAGAACGGCGGAGTGGTTGATCCGCGACTCAAAGTGTATGGAGTTGATAATTTAAGGGTGGTTGATGCTAGTATCATGCCTACTCTTATTCGGGGTAACATTACAAGTGCGGTGTACGCTATAGCGGAAAAGGCTGCGGATTTGATCAAAGCGGATTACAAGCTCTAGTTTATTCTTCAAGATGAATAAAGTGCCATCTATCGCGCGGGAAGATACTGCACCCTAGATTTTGGCAACTATGGTGAAGACAATGCTGGCAAAGGCATCGGTAAAAGTCCCGTCACCCTCTCTTCAATATCATGGTCGTCCACTGGGTTTCTAAAACCACTACAGTTGTCATCAAGAATGTGTATCTCAGAGATTGGTGAACGTAAGCGAGAGATCCTTGAGAAATCCTGGGCATGCTTTCTGTCATGGCCGGCGATCTATCATCTGGCGATGTACGCGTAAAATGTGGACGTAGCCACCATGACGCTGAATGCTGAGGAAGTTGTTGGAACTACATTGTCGGCCAATCTCCCGATTTATCGACTCGAACTTACATTCAAATCGGCTATGGTGTCCGTCCTGAAAGATCAAGATGCGGTTGTGTCTCTTGTTTCACGCTATGCCGTTCACCAGCAGCCACTGACAACTGATGTTGCTATTGAGGCAGGTGTATCCCGCTTTATACCATCGGCCTTTGGTATCGATAGCCGAACGGTAGAAGAAGGTAAGCTCAGCTGCCAAATAGAGCGCAGGATCAAAACACAAAATTACCTTTCCAAGAAGGCAGATCATTACTCGAACTTCTCATGGACGAGGTTGGGCATTGGACTTCTGTTTGACTACGTAAGTCTGTTGAACCTGGTCTCCCAACAGTCTTAGGCTAATGTTCACTGCTCTTCAAAGATATTAAGAATCTCATCGGGGCAGACATAGAGCCGCACTATGACTTTAATCGACAGCGGAAACGAGCCTTTCCAGGCCACAAACTTCGGATTGGCGGCCAAAGCCTCAGTGGCCATCCTACAGCGTCCGAACGAGACGTCCAACCAATACCTGTCAATCGCATCTTTTAATACGACTCAAAAAGAGACTCTGCGCATTCTGGAATCTCGGACCGGTGGCAGTAAGTGGACAGTGAAGCATATTAGCAGTGTCGACTTGGAACACGAGGGCGATTAGAAGCGCACTGCCGGAGACTGGCATGTCCTAGAGTACTTGAAGCTATTTGCCTTTGCTGATGGCGCCGAACACGCGTTGAAAGATGCATAGAGCGTAAATGCGCTATTGGGATTGAATTGGAGAGAGAAGATGTTACGGAGACGCTGAAAATGGTAATGCAGACAAGCTAAATTTGTCTGTATGAAAATGCGTCGTCTGGCAATCGCAACTACTTGTAATCCTTTGTGCCATTCCTACAAAAGACAGCATTTCGTAATACATTGGGGTCGTCACAGGTTTAATGGATGCAGTATGATCTTTGTAGAATTTTCAAATGGTGGTATGTACCTATAGCGAAGTAGAAACATTGAAGAGGAAGCTCCAAATCATGCCAGTGAGATGCATTTCGATTTAACTCTGTGTGCACTCTCCTGGGTAGAGTCAGTATTGTTTCGTTGTATAGACTTTAAAGGGGATCATATCGGGCCTTCCCTCTGTTCCATCATCTCCTTCATCCTATCCTCGGCAGTCTTTAATGAATGCCCACTAGCACCGCTTGTAACACGATCCCATAGTGTCGGTGACCCCTGTTGTTTAGCCTTTTCTTCTTCGCGGCGAAAATACTCCTCCGCAGATCGGATTTACTTAGGGTGAATCGCATCCAACAGTTTGTAGTCTCTCTTGATCAAGCCCTTATTGTATCCAGAATCTCGCCAAAGATGCCAGAAGCCGGTAAAGTTTTCTCTTACTGTCATTGAGTCTGGCTCACCCTTATTTACTTGAACGCCACTTGCGTTTTCGCCTCTGCTGCTCATCGGCCCATCCTTCCAGCGCTCCTCAGATGAAATATTGATGAATTGAGCCTTATGTCCCGTCACATGTTCGAATGCTGCGGCCAATTCTGCATAGTGAACGTGCTCGATGGTCATAGCAAGATCCATCCCATCGGCGCGTTCTTGGTTATCAAACAGCCAGCGAACATACTGCTCACAGTCATCAATTGAGACGTGAGCTATGGCACCATCATTGGTCAGCGGCAGTCGCCACAGGACTTGATGCTCGCCGGTCTTATCGTGCTCGATTTTGAGAGTTACCAGTGTGCCTAGGGCGGTGGCCATTTCAATATAGGGACCGGTGGTGAAGGTGGCCATGCGCATGTTGTAGAATGGCTTGCCCTTATTGCTGGCGTGCTGGCCTAGAATCTACTCAGCTATTCGGCCCTTGCCGTCGTAGTGCCCAGTGCGATACTTTGGGTCGCATCCACCGAGCCTGTACCCATATTCTAGACCACTAAAGACAAAGAACTTGATTCCACTCTCAATGGCCAGCTCGTAGATTCTGGTGGCCCAGAACATCTCGACCTTTCGTCCGTTGTGAAGCCGTCAATATCTACAAAGGTACCATAGCAGTCTTTCAAGCCGGCCCGCACAGTGGCCTCCGAAGTGAGGTTCCCCTGTAACAGATCAACATTTGGGCTCAGGTTCCTAAGTAGCTTTGCTCGACGCGATTGAGTGTCTCTAGTAAGAACGCGGACGATATAGCTACCATCAGAGACTAGACAGCGGACAACTGGGATCCCTTCCGCCGATTAAAAGACCTTTGGAATTGCCATGGCGACAATTTATCGCTTGGGTAGATTTTGAAGATTCAAACTAACATTATAGGCAAGCTATTTGGTGCAGCGAGCATTTTCCAAGAACTCAAAAGTGGTTCCAGCTCAATTTTATTACTTCGTTAAGCTGCATGTATGAGATATCAAGAAATGTACAGTTTCCGTGGCGCTGCTCATCAAACGCCTCAGTTCATCACAGAGTTTGGTAATGGCCGCTTCGACTTCAACTAGTAGTAGCTCTATTCATTACACTTAGCCAAGTCAATTTATCATCTAGGGTTAAGTAGCTTAAGATGAGTAAACAAAATCAAAATAGGAAATCTTAGCGTAAAATCTACAGCTCATGAATATTAATCCATTCGATAATTGCTCTCGTCGAACAGCACATGACTTAAGCGGCGTAGTAATACTTCGTCTCGCTCAATTGAAAATTCTACAGCTTCAGGAATGACATGAGTTGGGGGGAGGGGGGGAATGATTTACAATCATTGGCTTATGCCAATTCCAATAGTGCAAGTCCAGCCAATGATCCTCCCATGATTACAATACCTAATCTCACGGGCAATCGCGCCATAAGAGTTGACTCATTTGGCCCCAAAAACCGACAGGCTGCCTGAACGGAATGTTTGCGACCAGGCGCCTATCAAGTTACAGTTAAAATGCGCTCGGAGCGTCTTGCGCAATTTCTAACGCTAGCCTGGCCCCTTTGAGCTTCTTTGGATCGAATACTCGCAGTGTCATATCTGATTATATTGCGCCCTTCTCACATCTGCGCTGAGATGCCAACCTTTGTTGCGCCATGGAGCCTTTACTTGGATGTCCTCAACTTCAAGAGGCACTTTTCTCAAGGCCATTGGACACCACTGAGGATATGTACAGGGTTGTTAGCTAGACAGCCACTGACAACCGCGACCAATGGGCCATTACCCTGTCTTTACGCCTTTTGTATCCTTTGTCTATCGAGGACTTATTCCCTTATATCCGTCGACATGGCTTGTGACGCGATTACTGCATCCTAGTCATCGCAGGCATAGTCACAAAGACGAACTCACAGTTGGAGAAGTATTCTGCGACTCGTATATTGACGGTTGGGCCCTTACATGAATACGAATGACTGAGTCAGACCCTCTTCATTCATCCTCCCAGTCATCCAGGCAAGGTTCTAGTTCGTGATGCCAAATACAGCGCTGCCGAGCTTGCACTGGCTGCCTGGCACACGCGAGCTACGTTTCCGTTCGTCTCACTGGCGTATAGATGGCATGGGCATGCTTATGCTGGCGAATAGCTATTTGAACTCACTGGCCACGGTCATCCACCTCGGTCTTAGTGCAACCCCAGAAGACGTATCAAAGCGCGCTCCTGCTGCCCGAGGATCGCTCACCCCAAGCTTGGACGATGTCTTGGAATCGTGTGAAGACGACGACAGTACACTAAAGATGTGCGAATGGCTGCAGATGGATTAATTGTACGCTATCAAAAGGGCATTCAAAGTATCGGTCTGCCACTCTCCAACGCAAGCCCAAAGTCCACCCACCACAATAGTGTTAATTTTGACTCTACCAACACAAATCGAATTCTTGAGGCATGCAAGAAGCGTGATTCGTGTGTCAGCGCCGCTATCCAAAGTGCAGTTCTGAGGGTTGCCATTTGCCACGAACAGCATTCCATGGCTAGAAGCTACACGTCTTACTTTTCAACAAATCTTCGTCGCGAAATCTCGCTCCTTAAAATACCGAAGAGTTTGCCGTGGGAATTTCTGCTTTTGGCCCTTCCTTGGCTGTAGAAAACATAATGGAGGAACCTATGACTTTCGAACAGATCATGGCGGTGGTCAATGCTGAGTATTGGCAAGATAGACATGCCTCTTATAACGTGCCCAGATGTCAGCCATCTGGACAAAATCGAGAATGTGATGAAACGCAATCACACATACCATGTCTTGGGAAGTGCTATTCAAGTTGAATACATTGGGCTCATGGTAGAAGTCTACAAGCCTATTGCATTCTTTCACCAATGGACTTTTCGGAACTGCCTTACAACCCAAGTATCGGTGAATGGACCCCGGATGTCTGTAATCTGCATAACGTTTGTCAAAACATTGCCTGAAATGTCTTACCATAGCATACAGTGTAGATACTTGAGACGCTCTACACCTTGCCAAGACACTCGTGCAATGCTACATGAACAACTCCGTTTCTAGCCAAAAAGCTAAGCATCTCTATTGTCTATGATGAAGCTATTAGCATTATCTAAAATAATAAAATAATATTACCCATACAAACTGAAAGCCGCATATAGGAGTAGAATGCAGGTTGCTTGCCAACAGAGATAGAATCAGGTCCCTGTAGTTATAGTAAGTCACCAGCCTCCCAAGCGTTAATAACAAATTCATGCTGCTGAGATTATATGATTGAAATGGCGTTGTGCCCTGTTGTTTGAGTAATACAAAGATGTATTTTACCAAATTCTGCTTACGAACATACAAGGGAGGGCATTTGTAACGATATATGTATTACACATCCTGTACCCCAGTGCGCAGTTACTGCAAGCTGATTAATTGACGAGTGAGTATTCAAATGCGCTTTCTGACGAGCTGACTTACATTGTATCGGTGTACGTATTTTGAGATTTATAATAGCGCCAGGAATGGAGAGAAACGGAAAGTTATTGTAAGCAATGGAAAAATGCAACCTATATACATTGTGTGCATCGTCTATAAAGCATCGATATTGATTGACCTTAATTTTAATGTAACTGTTATATTGGTCAAACTCTAAGTCAACATAACCTCCCCTTTTTGCTTTAGGTCTCTTTCAAGCAAAAGATCCAAAGCCTGACCATGTCCTCTAAACCTGTCATTGCTGTCATTGGCGGCATCGGTGCTCAGGGCACCTCTGTTATTCAAGGTTTTTGCACAAAAAGAAAACCATCAACAGATGCTGACTGCTAACTACTATCTAGCTCTGGCAGAGGGCAACAAGTACACCGTTCTGGGCCTTACAAGATCCGCGTCCCAACCTAATGTTGCAGAGCTTGCCAAACTTCCGAACGTCAAGATTGTAGAAGGGAGCTGCTTTGATGAGCCAACGTTGTTCAAGGTCTTCGAAGAAGCCGAATATGCCTACGTGAACACCAATGGCCCTGTTATCGGCCAGCGAAATGAGACATACTGGGGAATCCGTATGTTCGAGATTGCCCGCTCGTGCGGCATAACCCATTACCAATGGGCATCTCTACCTTATTCTAGTCAGCATAATATCCATTGACCTCAGCTGGTTTTGGTCCTAAAAATTTGATTTAGGCAAGCTTGGAGACTACAATAAACAATTCAGGTGTGGCCATACAGATGGCAAAGGTCGCGTTGCAGATTTTATCAAGTCACAACCCACGACTCCCATGAAGTGGACCATCCACGCCACCGTGCCGTATATCGAGCTCTTATTCAATTTTTTCGGCCCACGCCGCTATCACGAAACCCCCGATGTCTTCAGTTTCACCTCACCCATGGGTGATGTACAAGTTCCTCTGATTTATCTAGATGACATTGGGAGGTACGCGCGCTGGGTTTTCGACCACCCCGAGCGTAGCTCTGGCATGGATCTGCAAGTTTCGAGCCTGAATACTACTTGGGATAACATTGCCAAGGTATTCACCGACGTAACGGGCCAGAAGGCAGAGCATAAGCGGCTCACAATTGAGGAGTTTATCGATCTTTATCCAGGCACCGACAAGCTTTTGGGCAAAGACTTTGACCCGCATGACCCAACTCTGCTACCAATGAAGCAAAACTATTCCGGCATGTTGACAATGCTAGCGTCAGGCAAGGTTCTTGACCTTATCAACTACGAGCTATTGGATGAGATCTTGCCGCATAGGCTAAGAAGCTTGGATGATTGGATGCGTAGAACTGTATATACAGGAGAGTACAAGCAAGTGATCAAGCAAGATTGGTCTCTTGGCGGCAAATAGCATCTTTTCCAAGACTGCGCTTTGAGTAACAGATAGTTTCGATAGTCCAAAATAAATCCCATTTGTGCGGGCAATTCACCGAGTTTCTTTTCAGTCATAGTCCGAACTATTACAACAAGGCAAAAGATTGAAGCGGCAATTCAGCCGCTGAAAAACTACAGTTAGTGGAAGGTAACTAGAATCTAGAGTGTATATATCACTAGAAGCTCGTCGAAATTAATTTCGCCTTACTATAATACATCTTCTACTAGGTCACCCCCAGTTACCAACCTCGGCCAAGCAAAGGGGCGCTCGTGGCCAAGATATAGTGGGGCAATCTCATCGCGTTGTCATCCCATATCATAATCTGTCCTTCGTATCAGCCCAGGTGATAGTAGGTGACTATGAGGTAAGTTCCAGGGAGCTAACATGGCTCTATTGCGTGCGCGCTACTATTCAACGGCTGACACGAGACTCGGTATCAGCCTTGGCTGCTTCGCATAGTCGCTTCTCGACTGGTCAATGAAGTGGCATTTAATTTGGAGGTAGGCTCATAATCGCATTTTACTAATGTAAGGGAGATGAGGTTTGGTAGTTTGAAGCAAAGTCGGTGTTAAGGCAGGCGGTGTTGGGGTTGAAGGCTTGATATTTATGCTTGGGATGAATTAACTACAGTCGATGGCGAGAATTTCTTTGTTTACATTCCAAAGTTAGCATGCCTGGTAAGTTGAGACATCGACCTGTACATTGTAGCAACTGAGAGGTTTTGCCTTCGGCAAGAGACACTTGAGTTGTAAACCTCCCGGACCTCCTTAGCTATGTCCAATGCAGAGGCAGACGCAGTTTTAGGATGCAACGAACGGCCATTTCTCGATACAAAACATGGAAATACAGTTAGTGTATGTAAGTAGATGGAAGTAAGCTATACGAACCGTGAGCTCGTTGCGCAAGTCGATTATGTGTACGCTTCCTGGCAGCCTTATCCGCAATAAAAATCCAGTCCTCTTCGGACGAGCGAGTATACTGTTGCCATTGCCGATGCATTATTACTGAAGTTGTTTCTTCAAGCTGTCTTGAATACGTCGTAAGGTGATGATTGGGTGATATTCTGATCTTTCCATTGTATTTCAACTTTCTGACCGTTCTGACCTTTCTAACCATTATGACAATTCTAACGATTCTGACTTTTCAACCTTTCTGACGTTTCTGACGTTTCTGACTTTATTACAGATGTTAGGGGCTCCTCGGACTCTTCGGACTCTTCGGACATTCCATTAATACAACCAAGTGCAAGCAAAGCGAACTTAGGGTTAGTGCCAGCATTGTCTTTGGCCGTCCAGCAAAGGCACTGTCGGTTCAAACCGCTTGGAGGGTTAAATTCCCAGGATACTAGTGGCAGTAGACCCTATAGATATATAAAGAAATAGCATTAAATTGCCGACTGAGTTTGAAGTAAAAGCTAAAGGCACTAAGAGTTATATACTATGAAGTATGTATTTAGTATAATTTTAATAAAAATATTTCTTTATATTTAAATTGAATGCATCTAGTATAAGTTTATATCTTTTTATAATGCTTCAATAAATTTTAGTTACTTTGTACTATTAAATATCGATTACTAAGCCCGCAAAAGAAATTTCAGATGGCTTTCAACAAGTACTTGCCTACTAATAAATCGCGTATACAAAGCTACACAGCCATCTCTCTCCAATGGAGCCAGTTGGTGCTGCTTCCAAAACGTCGACAAACGACGCGGTTAAAAGGCGCGCATGTGCTAACTGCACTGCTGCGAAAACCAAATGTGCACGACGTGCCGGTGACCGCCACTGCGAAAGATGCAGTCGCCTTGGAAAACATTGCATCTATTTCGATCTGCCTCAGACAAGGCGCAAGCAACGGATGACCAGGTAAGCTTCGCTTGCTCGTCCGTCGGTTGTCAGCCATGAGACAATGCTTCTACACATATTGATACAAGTCTGATTACTTATCTTACATCGCGCTCTACAGACGGCTCGAAGGACTTGAGTCCAGGTTTGATGGCCTTGTAGCACAGCTGTCTGCGCCTCCTAAGGAAGGCAGCAGCAGCAGTTTCACAGATGACGCGATTTCATCGCCGAGCTTCAGGCCAGTTGACCGACCGGTCCCAAGTTCTGCTCTTCCTCTACCTGCAGCGGATCGTTCGGGACCTTTGCAGTCAACTTCCTGGACATCGGCAATCCCTCCACCACATATAGGAATACCTATGTTCACAACTGGCGTTTCTAGCGGCTACGTCGACATTCTTAGTCGAGGCATCCTGACCGAAGAGCGTGCAGAGGTGTTACTGGCGGACTTTAGGCTTCACCACACACCTCTATTCCCATTTGTTGTCCTGAGCTCCGAGACGACGGCAAGTAAAATGCGCCAGGAATCGCCTCTACTTTTTCTTGTGGCCATATCAATTGCCCTCTGCACAGAACCACCGCTACAGAAGCTTCTCGGTGAGGAGTTTCAGGCTATAATTAGTTCGCAGCTCATGAAGCAGGTTGACCGTAGCTTGGACGCTCTGCAAGCTCTTCTAGCTTTCACAGCTTGGAATCATTATTTCACCGTGCCTCAAGGCCATTCGCAGCTCTTTCTTCAGACACAGCTATGCGTTACTTCAGTCTATCATCTGAATCTCGACATGGGGGGCGCGACAACCCCGACAGAGATCCGCGCACTCCTAGGAACATACTATTTGTCAGCCTGGTAGGTGTTGCAATATTACCACGGCATTCCCATCACACGATTCTTTGTTGTAAATCTCCGACTGGCTAGCTAATTAATAGCATTGCTACTGGAAGTGTTTCTAGAGCGCTTCGAAGGTCGCATGTAATGAAGTACAGCAAGCGTATAGAAGAGTACTGCGATCGCCTTGCGACGGCTCAAGAATACGAAACAGATCGATTGATCAGGCCACTTGTGCTTTCGGAGTCACTTTGTTGCCGAGTTAGCGACACCTTTCGCTATGACGACTTGGATGCTAACAATTCAATACGTGGCAATGCGGCCGTTCGCGCCATGGTTGACGGTTTCCTGAACGAGCTAGAGCTTATTAAGATGCTCTCTGCAACAGGTACGCCCCCGAGGGCTTGCAAACGCCCAAAAGACTCGTTCTACCAAATCAGAAACCGAATACTAACTAACAACTCAAAGATACGAGTCTCACTGAGATAGAGTTCAGCTACATTCAATCCTACATACAAGAGGGGGCATTCCACCACGAACTCTGGGATACTGAATCACTGCCGGCGGCCCAGGATAAAGCGCAGTCCAGAAGAGCCCATGGCGGTGAGCTACTTGTTTGCAGCCCCGTCAGAGCCACGATGTTGTGGCGGATGCTGGATTCCAATAAGACTTGCATACGCCACTTTTTGGCCACAGCCGAGACGACAATGCTTCGCATGCCACATACTGTGATTTTGAGGCTTTGTTATGTACTTGCCAACCTTATCAGGCTCACATTTACCAGTATAGATGGCTCTTCAATGCCATCAAAGTCGGAGGCAGCTTTTATTTCTTCCCAGCAATATCTATACAGGTCCAACATTGCCCATCCAATTGCGCAGCCTATATCTGAAAGTGCCAACACTTTACACCTCATCGAAGAGATGGCTGCAAAAGTTGAAACATGCTTAAAATCTCCTTTCGCCGCTCTCGATGGTAGCAATGCCATAGTAAATGGCTTTGCATTGAAGCTGAAGAGACTTTCCAGCGCATACCGCAGCAAACTTCAGAGCACCAATGCAGGCTTTTTCCCCTCGTCAGGTGGCACTGAACCTATGGTTGACTGCCTTGAAAATGGAAACTTAGGACTAGCCCGTCCTGTGCAGGTAGATCAGCTTCAGACAAACAACCCTTTGGATGGAAGACAGACTGAAACTACCTCGGAAAGGACAGCAGATGCACAATCGCACTTCTGGACGCTTCCCGAAGAGGCGCAAGCATTTGACTTTGATGAACGGGAGTGGGAGTCCATTTTGGCATCTTTCACTCTGCCAGTGTGAAGACCTCACGGCCTTTGGTAGTCTAACTTGTTAAAGGAGACGCATAGTAAAATAATGTCGATTTTGAGTTGAGGCCAGAGAAAATAGGTCAACACAAGCTACATACTTCAGTAATTCAGCGGTCATGACAACTCGTGTTTGAAGAAGGTCCTTAGTAGCATCAAGGAGATTTCGTGAAAATTGTAAAATTTTCAGTTCGTCTTGCATTTTGAAACAATAATTGTACAACCAGATCTTCTATGGGGCACGTTGACAAGTCAAAAGCAAATTTACTCTTCTATCAGACCTGTAGCATTCGCTGTTTGATCAGGAGGATGAGCTCTTTGAGAGGCTTTCTTTGGAAAGCCAAAGCTCCGTCAGCGTCAAATTCTAGTCCATCAATGAGGTCACCTGGCCCCGAGCCATCTCCAGCCAGCTTTGCCACTGTCAATGCATACGCCGCCCTTGCGTTGCCCGCCGCCAATGCGATTCTCCTTTCTCTGCTCATCTGATCACTGCTTTTATACTGCACATTCATCTCGATACCGAATACTTCGTCGATGGCTTTGACCAACTCGTTGCCTGTCGTCCTCACCTCAGCAATTGGAATCCGTTTATTCTTCGTAGCTTCTTCAGGCAGCTTCAGCACAGCAATCACTGATGCGGCGATAAAGTCGGTTGAGCAAGCAGTGAAAAAGGCATCGCCGTCGTCAACCAGAGTCGATTTTCGACCCCGTATGTCGTAGGCTCCAAACAGAGCGGTCTCCAGGAACACATCAAGAAACATGCTTGTTAGGATGCCCGTGTAGCTAGTAGGGTTACCAGCCTCTGCGAGCATTTTGTATCGTTGTGCAAGCACGAATGGGTAGGCATCGGGCCATTCATCTTGAAAAAGCGCCTGCGCCGCGGGGTGTAGCATGTCCAGAGTGTACTGGGAGGGAATAATGCGTCTTACAGAGGCTTCTTGAGCCGCTGATAAAAGTAAGGGATCAACTTGCATAGCAATACTCCCCGCTAGAGCAGCAATAAGTACATCGTGACCCTTGAGGCTTTGTACCAAAGCTGGATGGTCATTGTACTCGACTGAGACAACTGAAGGCTTGTTTGGTGACGACAGAGGAAGTCCGGCTGATGACAGAAAGCTCTCTGCTCCGTTTGTCTTCGACCGTGTGAGAACAGTTACCTGGAAGACGAGATCGGCGGATTCCAGAAGGTTTCGGAGAATCCGGGCGCCAAGATTGCCAGATGCACCAGCAAGAACGACTTTCTTGAATGTCATGTCGCCTTTGAAGAAATTGAACAACAATCGAAACACTGCAGAGGAGATCAGACTATAGCTCAGTGTCTACCAGTGTTTTGTATACCGAATCTAGCATTGACTTGACAAGCCTATGAAGTGTGCTAATACGGGAGCAGTCCCATATCTACCTTCTATTTATGCAGCAATGATCATTAGTAACTTCCATCGCATTATTGATAGCGAAGCCCCCTACAGTCAACAGTCGCTAGGCCTATAATCCTACTGCTACTCATTTTCCCAAAACATCTACAACCTTGCGGTGCTAGTGCAAGAGCTCAGACGGAACCCGGCGGCTCCAACGGAGCTTCCGAGCAGCCGACCCGATCTTTTAGTCTAATACTACCTACATAAGCAGTCAAACAACAACTTGGATCTGTGGAGTGGAACACTTTACAGGGTAAACACAAAAGGTTATCAGCACACAGAAGCACATAATACGCACATGTCAACCTAGCTCAAGTCCTAGTAACATTGCAATCATTATCCCCATGTAAGCACGAATTGATTCTACAGACTCTCTTATTTTCCAGCTCGCTTGACAAGGGAAACTAGATCCCGGCGACTTTTTCCGTCCTGCTTGTCGGACCGAGCTGGGCTTTTCGCTCCGTCGGCCGTCGGCCATCGGGCCCTCCGTGCTTTGTATCTAATAGTAGCATGTATCGCGGGACTTATCAGCAAGGACTACTAGTAAAACAAGAAATGGGACTCAGAGCTCTAGGTCGCGAAACTCCATAGATGGAGATATGTTTCATATTTACTAACTCTATTTGTAAATATTTATAAGCTACATCGGATATGTTATTGTTATTATGAGCGGTATTGTTTATAACAACAAAATATAGCTGGAACGACTGTTGGATGCCTATAAAAGAGTGATATCACCCTCTCAACGGATCACTTCAATCGACGCACGCTCACACAGTTCTAGAAAGCACATCGCTCTTTATCAAAGCATAAACAACAAAAATGGCTCCAAAGATCTACGCTATCCCGAAGGGCTCTCTGATTCTTGTCACTGGCGCTAACAGCTACATTGGCTCGCATATTATTGATCTCTTATTAGAGCTGGGTTACAATGTCCGCGGGACTGTGCGATCCCCAAAACCGTGGCTCAACGAACTTTTTGAGAAGAAATTCGGCAACAATCGTTTCGAAACTGCCATTATACCTGTGCTAGAAAAAGAGGGCGCCCTTGACGACACGATGAGTGGAGTGTCAGGAATAGTACACGTTGTAAGTACAGGTACAGGTGCATATGATATCAATAATGACAGAAACTAATTGCTTGAGACAGGCTACTGACACGTCCCTGAATCCTGACGCCAATGAGGTCATTCCAAACGTCATAAAAGGGGTTCAAAATATTCTTGGGGCTGCTTCGAAGCAGCTATCTGTCAAACGATTTGTCTTGACCTCTTCGTCAAGTGCTGCCTATTTCGCAAATCCCAGCCAGGAAGTTATCATCACCGAGGGTATGCATAGCGATCTAAAAGAACACTCTTCCTTGGCAAATTTGGATCTAATCGTGCTTCAGAGACTTGGAATGAAGTAGCGCTTCAAGCAGCTTACAGCTCATCCACGCCACCTGAACAAAAGCCTTTTATAGTCTACGCAGCGTCTAAGTTGGAGAGTGAACGTACAGCTTGGAGCTGGTTCAAGAATAGTCAACCCAAATTCGAGATGAACACGGTTGTACCGTGCATGAACGTAAGTAACCATCAATATCTCTCTTTCTTCTTACTAAATCTCAAGACTAGATTGGTCAAATTCTCTCCCCCAACATACAAGCGTCGACTATGGGTATAACTCGCAAGCTGCTTGAGAATGACGATACAGCTTTCAAGTTGCTGCCCTCACGTGAGTTCTGCATTGATTAAGTAAAACCGGGGTACTGACAATGATAGAATCGTATGTGGATGTGCGAGATACGGCACGTCTCCATGTCATCGCTCTTCTTGACCCAGCGGTTACATCCGAGCGAATTTTTGCTTGCGGAGTTCCCTACAAATGGACTGACGTAGTCGCCATCTTTCGCAAAGCCCGCCCACATAGACAGGTTCCTAACCCACCAAAGGATGATGCCCTTGACTTGAGTGTGGTAAAGCCTGGCAAGAGGGCAGAGGAGCTACTGGAAAGTTTTTATGGAAAGTCTGGATGGACTAAGCTTGAGGACAGCCTTTTGGCTGCGATAGTTGACATTGAGTAACGGAGTAAATATTACTCTATATTATCTAAAAGACAACGTACTGTATTTATGTTAATGAGTACCACGCGATAATAAATTGTCTCTGGACAATTGTTTATTTCATCCGATAGGCAGCCCTATACTAACTATCTAGTATACAATTTATTACAAGACTAGCTTTTGCTTCTAACCAGGCTATCTAATTAATAGAAAACATACAACTGGAAGAATAAAAGAGAAACCAGTAAGTAGTATATAAAAGAGCTGGCTTTATATTACCAACCGTTGCCCATTGATTTCATCTGCATATTATAGGTGGCTAGTTCAAGCTTTGGCAGGCCAATCAGCCTGAGGTGCATTATCTTAACTTAAGTCCTCTGCCTTGAGCCAACCTGGTGGGGCGCCTCAATAAGCTGTAGAGGGCCTGGTTACCGGAAGCCGTATAGTCAAGCAAGCGTAAATACAGAAGAAGCTATGGGAACCCTGCTATGTTGTAGGATGAGGAATCAAATAGTCCACGGCTCCTTTCAATTCCTTACTAGTCATGTAACTATGAGTAATTGTCAATCTGACCGTGCAGCGCCCCCGCAGCTCAACACACCATAGCGCCTCCGACTTAACTTCACTTCTGGGCTGTGGGGGTAGTAGAGCCCTGAATAAGCCTATTCCGGTATTTGAAAAGGTATATAAGAACCATAGATATCTAACACAGATTATTCGGCAAAGCTATAAGACTATAGTCCAGTGATTCCTTGAAACGCGACAGTTCAGCATGGAACAAGGCAAGATTGTACCCGATCCTCCCAAATATGACCGAAGGTATGTCTTGAAAGCTAGCAGAGCCAAAGAACTTAATACAACTCTTTTGCTCGCTGCCCCATCTGATGACACCCGGCTGATATATATTGGCAGTCGACCACTTCCGACCGTCGAGCTTGTATACCAGAATCAGCTACCAAACTGCCCTGGAAAATCTAGCGTCGGTCTCTTGGTTACCTACCCTCCCCGCGGCTCTACACCTCCTCACCGCCATGGAGGAGCTTCTGTATGTGCATTCGTCGTCGAGGGCACGGTACTCACCAAGATGAACGACGGGCCGACTCGTATGGTTGAGCAGGGTGGAAGCTGGTTTGAGGCCCCAGGTTGCCACCACAAGGTCAGCGAAAACGACAGTGCCACGGAATTCGCCAAGCTGCTAGCGACGATGATTGTGGATACAGATGTTGTGGAGAAGGGTGGAGTCGCCGCCTTAGTGGTTTACGACGACGAATATAAAGACGTTGGGCTCAAAGCGTAATCTTTCTGGACGACAGCAAGCCAACCTAGGCTAGGAGTGGGCCTATCGCTCACAAAGTAGAGAAATTAGTTTTAGCGCTGATTTCTCAGGCGGTTAAAGAGTTAGTAACACATTATAGTCCAACTGTGCCAACCTATTAATATTGAAGAATTATTGAATCGACCGATTTTTGCATTGCTTCCACCCTTGTGATAAGCTTGTATAGCCTGCAGAAATTATGTATTTCTTTTTTTTTTTTAATTCTCAGTCCTCTCTTGTCGAAGCCTTTCTGAAAATGTGTTACGTTGTTCCGACACCCCAGTTGTAAACATTAAATAGAAGGAATGCACACAACTAAAGTCAAACAAAGCAAGTCTTCGGCGAAAAACATAAACAAATAATGCAAATATAACATAGTAGTGAATTCGTAGGTAATATAATATCTATTGACTTTAATTTTGGTCTTAGCCAGTAGTAAATTCTTACAGACCAGGCCCCTTTACCACAATCTTCCCATGAGCGTGGCCCGTCTCGCCCTGCTTAAAGGCATTCACCACATCGGTAAAATCATAGACGGCGCCGATGACCGCTTTCAGCTTGCCCTCGTTAAGCAAATTACCAATCTCCGTCAACTGCTGTACATTCATGTCAACAATAAAGAAAACCACCGTCCGTCCGTCCTCCTTTCTAAAGAAAGGTTCCCGAAAGCTATCCCTCACAGATTCCTTGCTCAGATCCCCGACCGTTGTGTCCACGATGTTGATAATTATGCCGTCTTCGCTAACAACCTTCAGGGCCTGCTTCGTCACTTCATCGCCTACGGCGTTGAAGACAACATCGACATTCTCTGAAGCAAGAACAGACTCTAGCTTAGCCTCTTTGTAGTTTATAACTTGGTTTACGCCAAGCGACTTGAGGAGCTTGAAACTTTGTTCAGACGCGGCCGTGGCGATAACTCGAGCTCCGACCATTTTGCCCATCTGGATGGCCCAGATGGCAGTTGGACCCGTCCCTCCGGCAACTAGTAGGGTCTGGCCAGCTTTGAGTTTTGCGTGGTCGAACAAGCCCTGCCATGCGGTAAGAGCGGCAAGTGGCACCGATGCAGCCTCGACGTGGCTTAGATTCTGAGGCTTGGGGATCATTTTAGAGAAATGAGCCTTGGCATATTCAGCCATGCCGCCGTCCGTGCTGTGCTTGCTGGAGAAGGCCTTAGTTACAAAGACCATAACTTCAGTGCCAACCTTAAGGCCCTCCGGTACTTTTGACCCCACTTTTACTATAACCCCAGAGTAGTCCTCTCCAGGGATAGGGGTCTTATATGTACCGTCCTCCTTCTCGTAGAGCTGCCAGTAGAGCTCCATCCAGATAAGACCTGCAGCGTAGACTTTGACAAGGACCTCATCATCGTCGATCTCTGGTATGTCTGCTTTGACGATCTTGAGCTTCTCCGTGCCGCCAGGAGGGTGATGGTGCCAAGCCTGCATGATGTAGAGTAGAGTGTGTCGAGAAATTTAAGCTGAAACAAAGAAAGCTTTGGCTCTGATGGATTGAAGGATTTGCTACTATGTGGTGCGTGTTCTATATCTGCATCTATTATAGCAAGCGTGACTCTCCGTTCCCTCGGTATTTATATTTTTTGGGCTCTAAGATGTCCGATTCAGCGAATCTCATCAGCCTCCGTACGTCACGGAGTCTCCGCTTACACAAAGCCGGACGACGAGGCCCAGCAGTAGAGAACGTGCAAGTTCACGTCATCCGCCATTGTTGAGTACTATTTTGGGCAATTGATACTAGGCTGCTATCTGGCAGTAAGGCAATAATGACGCTGCTCGCCGTTGGTCCTAGCAATACGAACTGGAACTATTAATGTTGACTGCATTGGGTAGTTTAGTGGGAAAGGATAAAATATTCCTAATCGGACAAAATCGGAGTGCTGATAAATTATATACCTAGCTGGATTGTGCATGCAATTGCGAGGTCGCAAAGGCTCATACCCCTTGGAACAGATTTTGATGCGAGGAGCTCTGCAACTCGGAAAGCCAGCAACCCACAACCAGACGCGGCAGCAAGGAACGGAAACAGTTCAGCAAATGACACGCCGTTCGACATCCGACAACGCTAATCTCCACCCATGTCCATGCCCATGTCCATGTTTCGTCTCTTTCGGGAACTAAAATGGGATTCCTCAACATTTAGCGTGGACTTGCGAGTTTAGCATAAAGCGATGGCTTACACCCCCCAGCTTGACAATGCAACTAGTTAGAGTTGATATTTTTATTTAAGCTAAATTTACCGTTGACATCAGACTTTATACGTTACCACGAGAATATCGGCGGCTTTCGCACACTGTTTCTATATAGAGGTTCCGCAAGGCTGGTTAGCGCTAACTCTACCATTGCGAGGGCCTTCTTAGTAATGACTAAGAGAAGTAGAATTTTTCATTAGGTTGATCAGCTATCACCTCTATTACCTTCGATAGTGGGTATGTCTCGCGGGCTGAAGCTCTCTAACCGACCGGATTTCTTTTCCTCGCTTTCAGCAAACAACATATCGAACTCGTAGCGCTTTGCTTAGTCGACTACAGCCTAACTACTATGCTACGCAGCGAAAAGCCCACGTAGTTAGCATAGGTACGCTGTTTTGCTCTCTCTAGAGTGCGCGACACAGTGCCTAAGCTTGCTGAACTTTATGGATATAATTCGCCACTAGTGTGGCCACCCATCTGCAACGCCTTTGTTGTAGTTTGTTTCGGCGAGCCCTGGGATGCACTAAAGACTAAGTTTAGTTTGCAACTTGATTATATCAGCAGCGTGCCATTGATTCGTCACGAACTGAAATCAACCGCCACCCATGCATGGTGTATTTCCTGGATTCCGTAAACCTCATCCACTCCCATTGTCAACAATTGGTAGCTGTCAATCACGAGGGCTATGGAGAATAGAAGCGATCAGTCTCACTACAAGAGTAATGCAAAAGAGGAAACTAAATCGCGCAAGCGAGAGTCAATCCAGCAGCGGAGACACCGTATCTTGGGCACCGCATTCGCCCGGAGTACCAAAACCACAGATCAGGTCGCTACGGATCGGGGTGCGTAATGTACATCAATTGTCACTCATTAATTGCTAAAGGATCGGTGAAGGCGCCTTATACGAATCAGATTACAGTAGGCGCAGACACCAGGTGCGCCGAGCCCAGCGGTATCACCGTCAGCGGACATTGGACTACATTGATGACCTCGAGACGGAAATTATTCGTTTAAGAGGGTTACATGAAAATACGCGGAGCGGAGATAGTAATGAGCCGTGCTCACAAGATTTAGCCAAGAATGGCGCTCCAAGCCTTGGCAATATGAGTGTGAGTGTCCTTGTCGAGGCTTTTGACGGCCAGATTGCGCCTGGAGTACGCGTGGCCAGTCACTCAGCGAGTGTATCTCCCTACCAACCAACACGCATCTCTAAGCCAAGCGATCGTAAGTCACATCTCATGCAGGGCTCTGCATTTCAGCTCCAGTGCACTAAGGATATTCGGCCTTGAGGGCCCTGTGTAGCCACTTCGACCCCCTTGAACCTAGAGTTCGTCGATCCTTTGACCAGGATGCTCTTCTACAATTGTTGGTCTTGCTTAACACGCGCTCTCATCCTTATTTCTTGACTTCATTCTGACATGATTAAAGTCTCTCAAAATATCGCACCCACCCTTGTCGTCTTCGACGGGCCATCAAATGGATTCAGATGCCATATGCTTCCTCTTGCATGGGATTCAGAGATGGTTCGGTATGCCCTACTGGCTTTATCAGCAAATCATATGCGATTCAAGCGCCCCCAGCTTTTGCCGCTGGCCCTGGGCTTTCAATCAATGGCCATCGAGCAACTCTCTGAAATGTCCAAGACGAATGATCCTAATGGTGACACGAGAGTAGCCGTTTTGGCTACCATCATTCTCCTACTCATCACTGATATGATGAATGGCGGACCCCAATTTGATCTTTTATTCGGCATGGTAACGTCGTGGATAGATGCAACAAACTGTGGGTCTGTTCCTCTTACGCATCGAACGCATCACTCAGACATGGAAGTTTTCCTTCTTGGCCAACTTGACATGTAAGTTGTAAGATTCCCGAACCATGGTGTACAGGGCTGATGCTTTTGGATAGGGTACGCCGTTATGCAAAACCCCTGATGACCGAGCGATTTGCCATACGTGAGCAGCATGGCTGTACTCCCCTTACTGTTCCTACCGGCACGCTCAGAGATAAGTTGACTCGAATTTTCAAGTCGATAAGCGAGGCCATCAAGTACGCCTGCTATATCTATTTTTATCATGTAATGAACGATACACTGCCTCCTGATCTTGAGGACGTCCTTATTAAAATAAAGGATACTACTCGACACATACCCCCATATGCCCCTGGCGAAAATAGCTTAGCCTGGGTATACTTTATTGCTGCTGCTGAGAGTTCTGTCCCTACCAAGCGTATATACTTTACAAGACAACTCATGGGTCTCTTCGAGAGAGGAAGTTTTAGCAACCCAACGCCCGCCTTTGTCATGCTGCACCATATTTGGAATTGCCATGACTTTGGTAGAAGCTGGACCAAGTACCTTAGAGGCCAAGATTCTTTTCCTGTCACGCAGTCCCCTGGTTGAACCCCGTTGACGGTGTTAAATCGGGATTCAACGATTCGCTCCATCGCCGTATGGAAATGAGTCCAGTTGTTTAAGGATTCAACTTTGACAAACAAACTGATTGTGTGAGAGGCCTGGTCGTTATGATCTTGGTAGGAGAAGCCATCCAGGGCGATGGCGATGAAGCTGTTGAAATTTGGCTTTTGCTATGAATGTGGAGAAAGCGGCTAGGTCTGCTGGATGACAGATTACCGCAGGGCTATAGAATATAATGAGCCTACCATCCTAAAGAAGTGATGACTCCTACCGCGTGTGCAAAAACATGATCCATGAATCGGGTTGGGTATCAGATCTCATTCTCGACGGCAAATTAAGACAGAGGGATGTTGTATGGGTAGTTCTTGTCTCAGTGAGTTTATAAATTACACCTGAGTCAAATGCTGAATTTTCCATGGAATGCCCTAGAATGCATATGAATCAGTCCCAAGAAGCTGACTGATCAAAATTCATGTGTTTAGGTGCTCTCCGAAAGCGGTAATCTAGTAACTAGTCATTCAACACTTTCGTGACTAATTATTAGTGGACTTCTAGGAGCACAACAATCTATGACAAATTCATGGATACCAGCCCACAAACTAGGTCACTCTATGCCTGCATCAGGGCTTGTTGTTTGTTCGTCTTTCAATCAGCAGTGCTCGCACTGCTAAGTATTCCCAGCTGCTGGAGTGCAGTCAGCGCACCCTCCTCGGCCACTTCCTCGATGATTTTGCCGTCCCTCAAGGTATAAATTGTTGTGCCAGAGAATTGGATTACCCTGCCCGTATTCTGGCCTTGGAGCCGGCCGATTGGCAGGTCATCGAACGCAGGACCAGTATGTTTGCCGCCACCAATCCAGCGTACCACCACATAGTCATTTTCTGCTATCATGGGAATTGATCCATATGCATGGATTACGAAATCGGGAAAAGCCTGTCGTAATGTTAGTTATTTCGTGGTCGATATTGGTTATGACGACTCGCTGGGGTTGAAGGTAAAGGCTTGCCTCTCTAAAATCCAGTATCATCTTCTTCACTTGAGCTTTTCCTTGCCTTCGGCCGTGTAAGGGGCAGTCAGACACAAAGTCGTCAGCGCAAAGTTTATCCACAACATCTGTATTACCATTGCCCCAGAATTCGGTTGTGTATTCAGACACCACCTGCTTGTTCTTTTCTCGTGTGGATTGCTCTTCCTCGAGTGACATCGTGACTGAATTTTCTGTCAGTATTCCAACCCTGGTTTAATGATGTTCCAGTTGTTTGAGATATTACTGTAAGAGGAGAGGAGGAAATGACTTGGCCAAAGGTCAAACAGTTGCGTTTGACTCAGTTAAGGTAGTGGAGTCAGCGTCACGTGACCTAAGAGGTAACTATTGGTATGGCTGATCAACTGTAATAGATGTCTTTAGACTATGGCTAAATGTTGAAATAGTGCTAGTACACTAGAAGCTACTAAATATAAGATATATATATAGCTCTTCTATATAAATCTATTACTTTCTAATAGTGAATATCTAATATAAATATTTTATTATTATAGTTCCTTTTAGTTTTTTTCTTATATCCGAATACATTTAGTTACAAGAAGCTAGTGTTACTAATAACTTTAAGACCTTGGCCTTTTTTTTTCTTGCCTTCATACAAAAATGCAACAACTTACAAAAGCAGTCAAATTAAATAAAGATGGCTACTACACAAAAAGAACTTCTCGATCGAACTTATACCTTTTTCCTCTCAAAGGGGTCCCAGGGCCAATCACATATTTTGCAAGAGGTACCCTTTGGCCTTTTTGATAATTTGACAAGACAGCGGAGGAGCGGTCAAAAGTCTAGAGCAGGCTGCGAAAATTGCAAACAGCGTCGAGTCAAGGTTCTTCTATACTCAGTAAATCCTGCATCTCCATTAAGGCTAACGCCAGGCTAGTGCGACGAATCTGTGCCATGTTCCAGGTGCGTTAGAAGAGGCCAGCTTTGTCGAAGCAAGCGACGGTTGCAGTATGAGACAAGTTCGTTGGCTATAAAACCACTGGTTGAATCGGCCTTACCGGGAGTTGGGTCAACCAATGCTGGTGTAAACCTCGTACATCTGGAGTTGTTCCACCATTTCCTAACGCACACGGTGTCGACGCTTACTCTGACTCCAGATGTGTGGCGTTCCTGTATTCCTCTGTCGTTCCACTTTGACTTCCTGGCAAATATCATGCTCTCTTTAGCGGCAAGACATATTGCATTCCTTCGTTCGGAGAACAATGACTATAACATGGTTGCTGCTCGCCATCTTGGCTTGTGCCTTACAAGTTTTCATGCAGCACTGCAACGGGACCTCGGTACTGTTCAGATTGATGCCTTCATAGCCACTTCTCTGCTTCTACTGCACGTGGTGTGGACAGATTTTGAAATCTGTCGTACCAGGCCTGACGGAGTACAGGTGTACGACCCGGCGAGAGATGGCATTTTTACATTCGCCTCGAGTTTAAAGGGAATGTTTCTACATGTTCTACCTCGCTGGCCTGGCAATCTAGAGGAGTCAGTCTTCCTGCCCCATCTTCGAAAAGACCCTTGTATGAGCCTTGGAAGAGCCTTGAAGGCGAGTGGCTCAGACAATAGGATCTCACAACATCCTCATGACGAACGGCTTGCAAAAGCTGCTCACCTGATCAACATCCTCGATTCCTGCGTTTCCGTTCAGACAGCGCAACACGGAATGACTCTGGAGGCCGTCCTATTCTCAGACTTGACTAGGTCGATTCTCAGTTTTCCAATACTATGTCGAGGAGCCTTTGCGTCAAAGGTACAAAATGGCGATCCTCAGGCATTAACCATGCTTTGCCAATTTTACCGAGCCGTTGAAATACTGCTACCGCATGAGCAGGGTTGGTGGGCTCAGAAACGAGCTAGGGCTTCTATAGAGGGTTTGTTAGAGTATATCCCAAAGGACGCTTTTGGGTTAACGGTGAGATAGCAGTTGGTATTGCAATTAGACCGAAGATGTCACACATGTTCAATTCAAGGTAGCAAGAGGAGCAAGGCCTCGTAGTGACTGATTGTTGATCCCTATCTCAGATTCTGTCGGGTGTGATAGCATCTAACTGCGATCTCGGAATTTGGATTATCTCCATGCACTATCTCCAGGCACCAAAGGATCTATCTTGTATCCAGGTACGTTTCGTTGTCTAGGTCACTAGTGTATTGCCGCACTTCCTATTTAGGCTCGTATCGCTTGGAATGGTTTAGCCTCTTACCTCACGGTGTCCGCTCCTCTAACAGACATAAAAAGACTCGAGCCAAGCAGTATTGACATATCCATTTACGTCTCCTAAGTTTTCATTGATAACACTACAAATTCATGGCATATTAGCTTGAACTGTCTTTTGACATGACTGAATTATCCCTTATCAGAACCTTCAACAGCAAAGTTGCTTCGGTCTTTCCCTCTGGCCTCACTGCTGTCTTCATTGGAGGAACCAGCGGCGTGGGTGAGTACACGCTTAAAGCTTTGAGCAAATACGTACCAAGATCACGATTTTACATTATTGGTCGCTCGAAAGAGTCCGCGGACCGTATCATAAGGGAATGTACTGAGCATGGCCACGAATGCCGCTTTGAGTTTATAAAAGCCGACATCAGTCAGTTAAAGCATGTCGATAGTGTCAGTCGCCAGATAATGGCCAAAGAAGACTCAATCAATCTTCTATTTCAGACACAAGGAACCATGGCTTTCAAGACAAGTAAGTGCATTACGCTTGTGCTATAAGAGCCGCGATTAATAGCAATGCTAGCCACTGCAGATGGACTTCCTCTGACTGCCGCTCTCGGGATTCATACCCGAATCCGCTTCATCCAAAATCTCCTCCCATTAATACAACGCGCCAAAGGGCTCAAACGTGTTGTTTCGGTTGGAGCGGCTACGTGTGAGGGTGACATTGACCTTGATAATATTCTCGCTGTTGGTGTTCCTCTCCTTCAATTTCGCGATCAATTAGCCTCTGTGATGACACTTGCACTGGAGCACTTGTCCGAGGAGGCACCCGATGTCAGCTTTGTGCACACGTGCCCTGGTGTTGTGGATAGTGGCATCTCTCGAGATGCGCAAGGGTTCAGCTTGAAAGTCATGCTCTTGGTTTCCAGCTTATTCAAACCGCTGGTTGCCACACCTCCGGCCGAATCTGGAGAGAGACACGTCTTTGCTGCAACAAGCAGAGTTTATTCACCGAGAAAAAGGGGACCAACCACTTCCTCAGACAAATCGGAAGGTCTACCTTTGGCTCGGGGTAGTACGGGGGAGATAGGCTCTGGCGTCTACTCGGTGGGGCCAAAGAACGAGATCCTCCCTGATAAAGCGCTCTTAGTACTGAAAGGGTTTAGAGAGGACGGGACAACAGAGAAAGTTTGGAGATATATAATAGAGAGCTTTGAGAGCATTATTGGCATGTCGACGCCAGTGCATTAGTTTCTAGATGTGGGCAAAGGACAAACAGCTGCGGAGAGCATAGAACCACGCGTTATAGGTACACCAACTCTTGTGTTAGCCTATTATGAAGCACTATTAATACCTAAGAACTATAATCCCATATTCCATCTTATTTATACACACATGCAAGTCAAGTTTCTCTTTTGACTAACTCTTGCCTGTTCTTTAATCCTCTGGTTGTTTTATTATAATAGCCTGTAAGGAATGGTATTGGATCCGTGTGTTGAGGAGCTGGTTTACTGCAATGTTGTTAATTTATAGTAAATTAAATCACTGTTTTCTTGAGTTGTCTATCTAAGACAGCACACAGCACCACCCTTCCAAACAGCCATGGAAGAGGAAATAGAATGAGATGGAAATTGGTGTACACAAGCAAGAGACTAATAAACAATGCCGCAATAGCCTTACAATAAGTGTAATTAACAAATAAGCGTAGTGTGACGAACTGTATACTAGATACTTAGTAATAGTCACTTAAAGAGTAAGTTAGTAAATCTTGCCAAACCAAGGCCTAGTCCCACTATCTTGAGAGCAAGTCAGGCTTTTGCTCACTGTAGGTCCGTGGAAATAGGAGAGGAGAGGAGAGAGAAACGCTACCTATGGTGAGTCTTCATCCCGTAGTTTGCGCTCAAATTGGTGTATGAACCATTGATGCCACAGAAGGAAGGACGGGTCCTCGTAGGCTGAACAGAATCAATCAGCTACAAACTTTTCTATGCTCGGTATAATTGACTGCACTTACCAGCCTGCCCAGAATGTTGGTGCACAAAGACGATATCGTCGTACATCGACGAGCGGTCAGGGAATATGGATCTCTTTTCGAATAGACAAAGGACGGCTTCTAGGTAGTCCTCTTTCTCTTTATTATTGAGAGTTCGTCACTCTCTGCGAATCGCAGGCTATCGATATGTTTTTGAGCTATCGACATAGTGGCTTTTGAAGCCGCTAGTATCGCCTCTCATAAGCAAAACCGTCTCGAGTATCACTGTCACAAACAGTGGGACAAGAATAAAGCCGAACAAAGCGTTTTAGTAATATTTTTGCCACCATGATCTGCCTCAGCGTCAGCATATACTAGTCCATTAAGGTAGATGAGCCGGGGAATGGAGCTTTGGCGCTTCGTCGTCGTCGTCGTCCTGATCCTCACCAAGCATCCTGTCTGTCTCTTGGCTACATTGCGCTTCCAGCCTCATCATCCTGAAACAAATGTCCGCGAGAAAGGAATGAACATTCACAACGATTTCGACTCGGTCCAGACTGGTCAACTTGGACCTCTAATACTGGTTCTCCGGGATAATATCAGATTCACCCCAGAAGAACGGGTAAATGTTCTGGACCGGCCTCTAAAAATTCAGTCTGTCTCATCTCACCTATGAGGGCACTGCCGACCTATTGCACGTCAAATATTGATCCCAGCAGAATGCTACCTAAATATAGGTTGGTTTTGAATAGTATAGTACCCGCGTACACCGTAATATTGGTACCTCTGCTGAACCCCTCACTTACCCAGCCGACCTCTTTAACCACTAATTTGTATCTCGTATTTTAGATCTAATCAGGCATAAGCAGGTATATCTAACGCTGTAGATCTACCTGCAGGTCATTGAGAGGCTAGTATGTATACGTTGCCTGATGATGAAGGCGCTGATTACCGCCGCTTAGGACAGCGCTGATGGGAAAGAGAGCTCTGTAGCCATATATATCTCTATCATTGAATCGAAAACTCGTAAACTCTACGCAATGTGGGATTTTTGTGCCCTGCACTCCCTATGTAAGACGACTGACCCATTAATTAGTCCATGTGATAGACATGATTGACCACATTTTTCTTCTGTAAGAGTACAACGATCTAAAGTGATTCGAAGTATATTGGCCAATGAAATTGGCTGGTAGCGTGAGGAGATTGAAACGATCACACACCCAGGCATCCTACGTCCGAGAAACCTTTCTTCCACTATATTCACGTTTATTAGCACAGGTCCAAAACCTCGGCGTACGCGTCTACTTCAACATGATACGCCATTCTGAAAAGGAGATCTCACCAGGGCTAGGCAGTGGACATGAAAGATATTTGGTTCGAGATGAAGAGTACGTCGGAATAAAATCTGGTGGTGATTGTTTCAACGAGCATTTCGGCACATTAGGAAGCAGTAATTTGAAGGCACCGACCGTTATTAACGACTATTTTTGGTCTCGCGCAATAAAGAACTCTATAGTCTACTTATCACTGGAATCGTTTTCTGGGCTGCAGTGTTGATCTATGCGCTTATCGTTCAACATGGCGGACCGTCTGATTGACGTCCATTTTATGAGCTTCCAACTCCTCCGCTTTGGCCCGGCTAGCTTCAACGTCAATGGCATTTTGCTTCGAACCGAACACTTCTTCCATCTCTTCAAGAGATTTACCCGATGTCTGTCGGCAATCAATCAGTCGGCGATCTAAATGTATGCTGATTGTTAAACTTACCTCGCGAAGTATAAAGAAAGAATAGACTACCAGAGAGAAATTGAAGATTGAAAACATGAGGAATGCCTTCCAGCCGAGATTGTTAATAGCATGTGGCGTGATTTGCGAAAGCATGAAGTTGAACAGCCACTGTGCAGCAGCTCCGATTGCGATTCCAAATTCCCTAGTGCGAGTCGGGAATATCTCACCCAGATAGAGCCAAGACACGGGGCCCCAGGACAAGTTGTAAGATGCGGCCTCGCAGTATACCATAATGATCGCGGCGATAGACGAGCCGGTTATCTGACCGGTGGGTGGGGCCTTCGCAACAATGATGGCGATGATGAGCATTAGGATGCCCATCGCTGCCGCACCGCCCATGAAAGCTGTCTTTCGCCCAATCCTTCCGACAACAAAGATGCAGAAGACAGATACGGAGACAACTTTGACAACCCCGAAAAACCCCGTGACAAACAGAGAGGAGTTGCCCGCGCCGACAGCGGCGAAGATTTGCGGAGCATAGTACGCAAGGGATGTGTTCCCGGTAAGCTGGACACCGAGCTGCATGGTGATAATGACGAAGACACGGAACCGATTTACTGGCAGCAGAAGCTCCTTCCACGAGACGCCTTCGGTAAGGCGGGACTCCTCGTCAAGGCTAGAGCGGATCTCCGCAAATTCGGCCTGTACCTCAGGACTATCACCGCCGCGAATCCAAATAAGATTGGCCAAGGCCTCTTCGTTTCGTCCCTGCTTTGCTAGCCATCGGACAGATTCCTTCACGAGGAGCATGCCCAGGCCGATGAGACCACCCGGAACGAGTTGGAGTCCAATGGGAATCTGCCATTGCAGGGTGCTGGACGGAACACGGGTCTGGACTGCGTAATTGACCCTATAGATAGGTATAAGCGCCGTACACTCAGGCCTTTGAAACAGAGAGATTGAGGGGCCCTACCAGTAGCTGACACACACGCCAAGGGCAAAGAATAGCTGGAAGCAGGATCCAAGCTGACCGCGCATGTTCTTAGGTGCCATTTCGGCAGAATACATAGGCACTAGGACGGTAGCGGCGCCCACGCCAAGCCCAGAAATGACTCTACCGGTGTAGAAAGCACCGATGGAGTGTGTGTTGACGACCTGGAGGATTCCGCCGAGGCTGAAGATGAACGAGGCTAGGACGATGGACATGCGTCGTCCGTAACGGGCAGTGAATGGCCAGATCAGAAAACAACCAAAGAACGCGCCAGCCTGAAGGATAGAGACACAGTTTGAATTGATGCTTGTCGCTTCAGCCCTGGAATATCTGAAATCATTTTGAAAGGCCGACAGTGTCAAGACACCACCTAACAGAATCAACAAGCCGGATTTGCGATAATGTGTCAAGGCTAACTAACCAACAATTCCAGTGTCATAAGCGAACAAAAAAGACCTGTAGTGGATTTGTAAGAGCGTCGTTCTAGAGTTTGTGTGAGCTTGAGCCGGTGGATGAACACATACCCGATGCAGCAAAGCGACACAAGATAGATGGCACGGAAGTTGCCTAGTGAATAAGTAAAAGCCATAATGTTCGTTTGAGAACCAAATCTCCAGCTCAAGACGAACCCAGTTGATCGCATGAGAGATGGTGGGAGATATGTAACATCTTATTAGAATTTTGACTCTCGTCCCATGGGGCCCCCAGATTGTGTCAAATGGAGCCCAGATTGTGTCAAATGGAGCCCAGATTGTGTCAAATGGAGCCCAGATTGTGTCAAATGGAGCATAGAATCTGGGGAAGGTATATGATTTAGGTGAGCCCGACATCCGAGCATTGACTTTAGCTTCGGAGATCTCGCTAGCCACTCACGGCACTCTAGTCCACAAATGCCCCCCCTTGGGACTGACAAAGAAGTAAACAGCTTCATCGGATGTATAACATCTTATTAGAAGCATAACTTACGTCCCATGGGGGCCCCAGATTGTGTTAAATGGAGTCTAGAATCTGGGGAGGTGTATAATTCAGGTGAGCCCGATATCCGAGCATTGACTTTAGCTTCGGAGATCTCGCCAGCTACTCACGGCACTTTAGTCCACAAATGCCCCACTTGGGGCTGGTAAAGAACTAAACAGCTTCATCGGATATCGCGCGATATCCGACAGCATGTCGGTCTGGAAGCATTGGAAGAAAGCTCTTTCAATGGCCTGACCAGGTATTATGTGAAGATGAAAAGAAAAAAAAAGGATAGGGCACTCCGAAAGGGGTATGTTATAATCAATACATATAAAAGCGGGTGTTTTCCACAACTTTCCCCTCAACTTATCGTGTCATCGCATACGCGACCTCCTTCCTACCGTGCAACAGGACTCAGTGCAGAATACCATGGCATCAATCGCGACCGAAACCAAAAGGCCGAATTTTTTAATCATCCTCGCAGATGACCTGGGGTTCTCGGACCCCGCGTGTTTTGGCGGAGAAATCAGAACGCCCAACATTGACCGCCTAGCAAAGGAAGGCGTTCGGTTCACAAACTTTCATGCCGCAGCAGCATGTTCGCCTACGAGAGCCATGGTCATGACTGGCACCGACCACCACATCGCCGGTCTAGGGAACTTGGTCGAGTGGTCAAGAGCTTCAGCTCAAGCTGCTGGGAAGGGCAAGGTGGTATCTACCGCGCCCCAGCGTGGTTCGTAGCTCATTGTCGTTTCCATAAACAGAAATGTACTAATCTAGTGTTGTAGGGATGCCGGGCTACGAAGGTTATTTGAATGAGAAAGTGGTGGCTCTTCCTGAGATTCTGCAACAGGGTGGCTATGAAACCTTCATGTCTGGAAAATGGCATTTGGGCATGACTAAGGAGCGCTCACCCACCGCGCGCGGCTTCGAGCGTTCTGTCGGAATGCTTGCGGGATGCTGCAACCATTATGCCTACCAGCCGCCAGGGTCGTATGTCTGACTTTCTCTACTCCCGCTTCCCGCTTGGCTAATCCCCTCTAGGGAGAATGATATGCCTGGTTTCATGCAGACCTCACATATTGCTGTACACCTCGAGGACAATGAATACCTCAAGAGCCTGCCAGACAACTGGTATTCATCGGACTACTATGCCGAAAAGATGATAGGATATTTGAAAAATCGTGCAGAACGGAAGGATGAGAGGCCGTTCTTTGGATATCTTGCGTTCACAGCGCCCCACTGGCCGTTGCAGGCTCCTCAGGAGCTGATTCAGCATTACCGAGGCCAATACAAGGATGGACCCGAGGCCCTGCGACAGAGCAGGATGAAGCGAATGATCGAATTGGGACTCATGGACCCCAATGTCCAGCCACACCCGGTCGTTGCGGACGAGGTTACAGAATGGGAAAACATGACCGAGGAGGAGCAGGCCAAGAGCTCAAGAAGCATGGAGGCTTTTTCCGGCATGGTCGAGGTAACTACCTGTTTGAGTTCTTACTGAAACCGTCAGCTAACCTTGCCTAGTCCATGGATATCAACATCGGCAAGGTACTGGACGAGCTAGAGAAGCAAGGAGAGCTTGATAACACCTTTGTAATCTTTCTCAGCGACAACGGCGCAGAGGGCGCGGCATATGAGGCATATCCAATGATTCGCGGTCCACTTCTCGAGCATCTCGAGAAGTATTACGACAACAGCCTCGAGAACATTGGAAATGCCAACTCCTTTGTCTGTAAGTGACCTACTCGCGTTGCGTGTCCTCTTCTCTATTTAACCATTCCAAGGGTACGGTCCACGGTGGGCGATGGCCGCCACTGCACCATCTCGTCTATACAAAGCATACCCGACCGAGGGTGGAGTTCGCGTGCCTGCTGTCGTGCGTTATCCGAAATTCAAGAAAGAGGGAATCTCGGACATATTTGCCACTGTCATGGATTTGGGACCAACTATTCTTGAGATGGCTGGCCTGACCCACCCGGCACCGGAGTGGAAAGGTCGAAAAGTGGTCGACATGAGAGGCAAGTCCATGACCAAATGGTTCAACGGAAAAGACGAGACTGTTCATGAGAAAGATTTCGTCCAAGGGTGGGAGCTTCTCGGCCGTGGTGCTATCAGAAAGGGAGACTGGAAGGCAGTTTTCATCCCCAAACCAAAGGGTACCGAAAAGTGGCAACTATATAACCTAGACAAAGACCCGGGCGAGGTCAATGATCTTGCTAAGCAAGAACCAGAAATCCTAAAGACACTACTTGTGCTGTGGGATCAGTACGTATTAGAGAACGGCGTCATTCCGATGCAGCCCGAGTTAGGAGAGTATGTCGAGGCTCTAGAGGAACAAATGACGGAACAGGGTTGGATGGAGTACGAGTTCTGGCATCCGGGTGCGATTCAGAACCCAGAGAAGTTCATTAAGAAGCCACCGAGGTTCCCGAGTCAACGCCCGCAGAAGGCTGCTTGGATGGATTAGCTGTCAGGCTCGGGCACTAGGGCTGTCAAATGATGCCAAGATACAATGATTCTTCCATCAGCCAAACATAACTGTATACTTTAGCGGCAATAAATCAACCGGTGCTGGGTCAGTGGTCCAAAGTGTGCATCGAACAATGACTTTTCACGGCTTGTAGACAGTTATAGTTCCTTTTTAGAATGATACTTGTTTCAGCACCCTAGGTCGCGAGAAAGTCTCCTAGAGCAGCGTAAAATACTCTCGCAAAGATACCACGGTAGATAAAAAGCCTGTTAAATGTAAAGAGGGTACTTGTAGCTGCCAAAGGTGAAGCATAAAGCAGGTATCCGGCCCTTCACTTGAGACAAGGCCAGGCCTTAATCCTAGTGCAGTGTGTACGAGAGGCGTAACTGCGGAATCTGACCCACTAACCTTATCTGCAGGTTACTAATGCTGGTACTAAAAGTAGTATTTTTAGCTCTGGCCGTTACGTTTCGATGATGCTGCTATGGTTTTTGGGGATTTTTTTGTTGGCGGTTGTCCTTCTCTCCACCTCAGTAGCAGGATCGATCCGATCACTAATATCTTCTTTCGCTCCTACCTTAGAATGGCGGCCTTAGCTTATCCCTTGTTAAAAGATAGCCTTAACCATTGGAAAAGGAGCTAGATGTATATAAAATCAAACGGTAGAGGGCCAGACACGTGACTTCCAGACATCCTCCATGTCATCTGACTGTTACTAGTGCAATCCCTATCCTCACGCGACGCGCTATCGTTTCTGCAAGCCTCAGATGAAAACACCCGATACACGCCAGCTCAGCACTGAGATGGCGTGTGCGCTCGAGAAACTGCACACGCAATTTCCAATGATAGACTAGGAATCATGGCTGGTGAGAAAACACGTCTACTCGTTTCTTATGCATGGGAAACCGCGACTGACAAATTTGGAGGTTGCGTCACTTGCCGCCAGCGAAAAGTCAGTCTGACCACCAAAGGCATACCAGATATGGAGTCTGACGAGTTTATAGGTCAAATGTGATGGAAGACCGGGGTTGTGTCGCCGCTGTGAGAAACTGGGCATTCAGTGTCTATCGACAGGTTGGCCGTAGCCTTTTCACGGAGTGTGTTGAGAATAACTAACCATAGCAGGGTCGCCTCTTTCTCCACAAAGCACAGACTCGGTAGCACGGGCCTCGAATTTAACTCAGGCTGGCCACAAGCGTCTGCGGATTCCAGTTGCGTGCGAGACATGTCGAAAGAAGAAGCTCAAGTGCGACGCTCAGAAACCCGCATGCTCCTTTTGTATGCGGAAACAATCGCAATGCCTATATGTGACAGCTGGTCGGCGATGGGGCGAACTAGACAGCAAGATCTCGCCGGGCCTGGGACATGCACCTTCAGAGAGCTCAGAACAAGCCGCCGAGCTGCCGAGGAACTCAACTCTCAGCTATGATACGGCTGAGGCGGGGGAGACGACTTTCCTCTCTAGCCATGCTGCAGAAGAACAGTTCTCCAGGTCTCCAGGAAGAGTCAGTCAGTCTGATGTAACGGCATCGGAAAGAGGTTCTGAGAGGCGGGCGAATGAAATGAGTGTGAACTCTGCCCATAGCCCACGATCGGCTCCATCCGAGCCACAAATGCGCACGTTGGGAATTCCCTCGGGCCAACAACTGCTACCATACCTGGATTCTCTCCTGGAGAATGTCCACCCAATTAGTTGTAACAACTTTTTGCATCCAGGCTACTTGTGCGAAGGCCTTGGCCGAGCACCGGCCTTGCTACTGCTTGCTATTTGTGCATCGTCGTCCAAATTTCTTCCTGGTTCCAGCAGCCGTGGGAACGGACTGAAATGGGCAGCAGAAGCGAGAAGCTTGATCACGAGCAACTTCGACCACATTTCAACGTTGACCATCTCAGCGGTGCAATTTCTTGTTTTGCACGAGATGCACGAAGGAGAATATACCTCCGCATGGAACTTAGTTGGTATGGTGCCCAAGTGCCTCGAGTCATTGTTGATGTGGCACTGACATTTTAGGAATCGCTACTCGAATGTCGATGCAACTAAAGCTCTATGAGCCCAACTCACCGGGGACATTTCTGCAGCAGGAGTGCCGGCGTCGCCTCATGTGGGCGGTGCTGGTATCCGATCTCCTTTTCGAGAGCAACAGTCATATTGACCTAGAACTGCTGATGGATGTACCCTTACCGTGCAATCTATGGAGCTTCACCCAGGGACAGCCTTGCAAGACTCTGACTCTTCGTCAACTTCGCGGCGTGGTTGAAGATGAGGCAGTAAAGCAGTCCTCCAATCACTGCGCATACCTGATTAATATTCTGGTGATTCGGCGCAAAATCTTGACGTGTGTCCACTGATCATATGATCCTGCTCTTAGTCGTTTATTTCTAACCGTAATAGTTACATGCAAGAGGCCCGGGACTCAAAGATGGACTTGCCTTGGCTTCCAGGGTCTTACTTCTCTATGCTATGTGAAGAGTTAGAAATATGGAGGCGCAACTTACCAGCCAACTATGCTTTTGTTGAGCGTCACATGTACACTTTCAGAGTCAGCCCGCATCTCGACATCTTTCTCATGATCCATGCGTATTATCACCAATGCTGTATCATTCTATTTGGCGCCTTCGTTCCCGAAGATGTAGGCTCAAAACTCCAACGCTCTGTGGTGCAAATTCCTCCCGAGTTCATCCAGACTTGTTCAGATCGGTATGTCTCACATGCTAGAGATATTTCGTTCCTGATACAGAAGGTCTTAAAAGTCGAGCCCGATCATCTTTTCCGTGATCCGTGGCTCGGTCTTTGTATCTGGGATTCGACATCTGCTCTGCTCGCGTCAACTAGGTGGCAAGAAAATAGGAATTCTTACAGGGATGATGTCACGGAGCTGGTGAAGTTGAATCTGCGAGCTCTGGAAAACTCTATGCCAATTATAGTTCTGGCTAAGAAAGTCGTGGGTGATGCCAGACCACCGGATTAGTCCTTCATTGCTAACGCATTTCAGCATGGATTTTGTTGCGCTGACGCCAGAGCTTACGGCATCGAAATTCCCAAGGGGCTTTCTGTGGAGGATATGGAGCGGTATAGTCTACTCTGTTACACTTTCTTTTTCGAGGTTCTCATACCATTAATAGGGCACCATTCGAGCCAGGGCCATTCAATGCAGCTGATGGGATATCTCGGCGATATCCGTTCTTCTCCACTATGAAAACTCAGGATTCTCCCGAATGGGATCAATTATTTCATGCTACCAACGTCGGCAATCATGCAGCTCCTACACGGCCATCTGCATCGACCCCCTCTCGACCTCTACATTCAATTCCCAAACCAGGGTCATCAACATTCCAACCTAGCCAGACTCTATCAATCACTGAAGAGCTTTCCTACTTGCACACTCCCAGCATGCCGATGTTAGCCTCCTGGCCCATGGATGATTTCCAGTGGTGGCAAATCCAAGATCCGGACATGGATCCGGCAGCAGCAGCAGCAATTACCGGCCTTGTACCTTCTATCCCAGCGGATCAACAACTGCTCCATCACCAACATAACAACCAAGAGACAGCCATATCAACTGTAACAAACCGTACACTAGATAGTTAGTCATACAAGGGATTCCCAAGGGATTAACCTACCCGTCATTTCGCCCGCAGCCATACTACGGCTACGAGCGCGTCCTCGCTGCCAACTTGGTCAGCCCAGGAGACATACTCCATAGTGTGGCGGAGGCCTTTGACAGCCGTCAAGTCCTGACTCCCCAATTAGAACAGCCATAGATGACCCAAGCGGAACTTAAATACTAACCTTGATACTGACAAGTAGACCATGAAGCGGACCTACAATCCTCCCTGTACTTTGAAAATGAAGGTCTAGGCGCCTTGCATCTGCGATAGCCCCAACAAAGTCTATGTCTGCAAGACAATTCACAAGCTGATGTGCTACTGCAGCTCGTTTGCAGAAGGCAACAGTGACCTCTTCGGCCGTCCATTGACCTCTTTGGATTTGTTCCAATAGAGCCGTAGCGTCAATCACATTCGTTATCTCCCTTTCTCAATCCGAAAAAATGCACTAAAAAACATCAGTGGCAGAACATTTCTTGGGAGCACCGTCATGGCAGTTGTGGCAGTGTCAAGACGCCAGTCTGAGGAATTTTAGCGAGATTAGACATTCTGGTCAGCTGCCAAGAGAGTCAGCACCATCTCAATGCAAATAAGTGAACGTTAGCTTAAGGAAGCCGTACTGCAGCCTCACGAGTCCAGGACGTGTTGTAACCAAGTTCTATCTTAGCCGGTCTGATGGGAAGGCTGTTTATGTGCGAAGAGCAATAATGTCTAGGTCCAGGCAATGGCGAGGAACTCTCCTTCTTATAAGACATTTGCTGTTATAGAGCTCAGCCATGAAGTCACTGGCTTCCAAGCACTTGCTTCGGAACTCTTGAATCCCGCCATAATCTGTGAATAACAGCATGCATTTCATGCCTCCAAGGCTAATCCTTGGTTCGTTACCGCCAACGCAGAATTGTGCTCAAGACCAGTGACCGCAAAAGCTTGCTATTGGCTGGCTTTATTTTACAAGGGTTAGTCCTTTCTTCCAAATGTATGGCTGATTCTGCGCTAAAGTTGGTAGTAATTCACCCCACAACTGAGTCTTTCTTTACTGCTTGCAGAGAGGAATGTGTTTATATAGAGGATCCTTTGCCAGGCTCTGTAATTTGGGGCTTGGTTAAACTACAGCTAATGTAAAGATGAAGCGAGCCAATCGCTATTAATTACGATAGGCACTAGGCCGTTCGAGAATTGGACTGAATTATCAATCATTCCTCTGTAGCTGTTAACTTGCAGCTTTCTTTAGCCAAGGCAATTATAGCCAAAGAAAGTCAAACCTCAAACTGTTGCAACCTGGTCTATTGTAAACGGTTGATTCTCTTATAGGCAGCTCGTTCCGTTATAGTAACTGCTACAATAGTGGTTATTGGCCTAATCTTTTACCCTGTTTTGCTTAACGGTATAACGAATCGTTACAATATAGTTTATTATACTTTACTTTACAATAAATAGCCTAAGACTTAAGGAATAGATTGTTATAAATTATATATTAACAATTAGCTATCTGAGTTATCTAAATGAGTGTAAGAAATGAACTTATATAATAGTAATTACTTTGCACTACTGTATAATTTAAACTTGCGAGCTGTGCTTAATTCGCCAGATGACTCACATCATTCGCTAAAAATTCTCTCTCCTCAAGGTGAGGACCTCTGGAAATCTGTCTGGATCCTGGCCCTCGAGCAGCGACCCTCCTATCTCGCCTGTAAAGAGCCATTCATCCACTCAGCCGTATATTCCATCATGATATCCACTATCTCGGTTGATACAACTGTGCCAAACACATCCTCGAATGCCTTGATGTCTTGTCCGGCCGCCTGTATTAGTAAAGGAAAATCCATCATGCCCTCGTGCGTCAGCCCCGAGATTTTAACCCACAGCTTCGGGCCATTAAGATCTGGCCATACGGCTAGCATCCTGGGGTCATCTTCGCGATCCGAGGCCACATATAGTATTGGCTGAGATAGTCCTGACGGGGGCATAGCGCCCACGAAAGGGCCGTCCCAATTAATGACGCTGTGAATACGAGGGTCCTGGATAGCGGCGAGAACAGCAGCGGCACCGCCTAAAGAGTGGCCAACCATGGCTATGTGGTCCGTTGGGAACTGTTGACGCCCGTTTTGGGGAAGAAATTGGGCCATGGCGGTAGCGTTGCTCAGCTGATCAATGATAAAGGATGCGTCGGCGGCGCGAGTGTTTGCGTATGGAGTCAAATCATCTATGTTTATGGTGTTTGAAAGGTTGGTATAGACTGCATGGCCATCAGGATAGACTATGGCGTTGGTCTCTCCGGGGTGGTCGATAGTAATCACTGTGTAGCCCTTGCTGGCGATAGCGGAGGCAAGAACACTATAGAAGAGGCGAGTACCTCTGTAGCCAGGGGACAGTAGTAGGACAGGGGCGTCGTCTAGAGGTGAGCAGCTACTGAGATTACCCAGACACACCGGTAGGCTAGCCCCGAGTAAGAGAGGTGTAAGATCGACGGAGACGTTGAATGTCTCCTGGATCCATGGCCCCTCGTATTCGGCGGTTTTGTTGGGCATGTAGATGACGGGCACAGTAGATGCGCACATCATAGGTTGAAAGACGGACAGCATCAATGCCCGGGCGTCGCGGTTGTAGTCAGTGATAGATCCAGTCGTCAACGTGACATTGTAACTCCCTGGCGGATTTGGGAGGAGGTACCCTGCACCCACGGTGGCGAGCAAGAGGTGAAGAAACGAAAGCTTAGACTGCATTTTCTTAAGTGCTGTTCTGCCGTTTGGTGAATAATAGAATTGTGATATATTGTTATCGAAAGGTCTTAGTTGCCTAGACAAGAAGCCAGGAGGCAGGACCTCTTATATATGTAAAATCTATGTGATACACGCAGTCAGATCTGGCTTAGCGTTGCCTTGTTCAATAATATATACTACGCTTCTTATGTTTACAATAGACAGACCTACGCAACTCAGTCAAAACTGAGCCTCAGCGCGGAAGTACGAATCGTGCTACCCTTGTTGACGACCTACTATACTGCAGGGGGTAAGCATTACACATTACGCAGGACCGCCCCATGTGTGCGAACCATCCAATCAATTCCGCCGTCAAGAAGAAGTCATTCCGAGCTTCTGATATATGTACGAGATAGGAGCACTGACTACTGCTATTGGCCTTGGCCCTCCTAAGTTTCTACCCCTTAGTTTTCCGTTACGTGACCCACTTGTACGAAACAGCCAATCGTTATTATCGATTCAGAACGCGAGTCTTCAACGAGTTGGTCTTTCTATGCCTCCAGAGAACCTAAAAGGTAATGCCAGATTACCGTTGATCGTGGCGAAGCATCCAGCTTGGAGGGACCAACCCAAAACCTGTGCTTACTGTGAACGTAATACTCCCCATTAGACCTACCAAGGATCCACTAATTTGCTTTTTTGCTACCCTAGCTTTCGTCTTCAAAATTCAAGTACTTGTCATAGGAGAGGTGGATAAAACGAAAAGAAATCTTTCGCGGGCATACGAAGAGAGAGTAGACGTTTTGCAGCGCCGTTGATCGGTGAGTAACTCCTCCCGGAGAATCTTAGCATGACATATGTCTATTTGAGTCACTACCTGTCGTTCGTTATAGATAATACCGAGGCCGGATTGTATATTAGTCCCATGTCAAGCGTTGTCACAATAATCGATACAGCAAAAGCGATTCACAACGTTCCCAAGGATGCACAAAGCCAGGCTAGGGAATCAGGACCATCCCACTCGTCAGATTGTTTCGAAGCTCTTGATACATGATACGTTTGAAAAAATCAATGGCAAGTTCTCCGCCCCCGCGGATGAGTTCCTTGAAAATAGCCTTCTTGCCCAGCTCGCGAGCGTGAACCCTTCCCACCTCAACCATAGCTGATCGCATCGTACAGTCACTATCGGGAGTAGACGTAAATGTTTCTCTAACGTAGTCCGGGAAATAATCGCATATTCACAGTCGCAATCTCAGCCATCACAATTGCGATATCAAACAATGATTTATGCCAATTGAACCTTCCAATAGACTTGCCAGTCGAGTTGCTTATTCCCTACCTGTACGAACAAGCCAATCATTATCCAGTTATTCAACACCGCCCCATTACGTTGTGGCATGACGAATACAAACCCGTCTTTTTTTAGCGACCCACTTATACGAACTAACCAATCAGATATATATATTCATCGCGATACGCACTAATTAGTCTGTCCATGTTTAACCCACTCTCTTTCTCCCTGTCTCTTTCTCATTAGTGAATGGACGTGGGAGACGACTACTCCGCCGGTATACGAACAGACAAATAGACGGCCATCAAGATTCGATCAGTTACTGATACAATATTCTATTCATATCGAAGCCATTGCTTACAGGTTGTATTGGCCACGCGATTGTTTTTTGTATTAACGCCATGGACGAGATTGACAACAAAAACACCAAGACGACCAATCAAGCTTGGAGACGAAAGCCTCGCAATTTTGCGCCAAAATCCAAACTAGGCTGCAAGACTTGCAAGTAAGTCTAGACTCGCTCATCGGGTTCAAAGATTTAAAAACTGACACCCAACTCGATGCACATCCAGGATAAGACGAGTGAAGTGCGATCTATCCCGGCCTTCATGCTTGAAATGTCAGTCCACGGGTCGTACCTGTGACGGCTATTGTGAAGCGCCACTCGCTTTGGAGACCGATAACGGATCGAGGCATTATCACAACGACAAGGCCAACAAGATAGAGGGTTACGAGAGTAACTACCCTCCCACTACGATCAATGCATATCAGCCTGAACTTGGCTATACGACTCATGGTCTCAATCTACAAAATCTCGGAGCCTTTATGATCCTGCCAGTCACTGAGCCAGCACAGGCAGAGGCAATGTGTTTCTTCGAGTACATTTCGATCAAGCATCTGAATGAATATAACCCCTGCGAGTCATGGCGGGAGACTCTTATGTTCCTCTCCCAAACAATGCCGTCTGTGCGTCATGCCGCCATCGCTCTGGCCTTAATCCACCAAGACCAACTTGATCGCCATTCCAGCCACCTTGTGTTCCCACCGCACCACTTGCAAGACTGGCCACCGGACAAGGCTGCCCTATTTCACTACAATCGGGCTATCCAGCTTCTCCTGAACCAGGAAATTGGTGACAGCACCGAAAAAACAGCCATCACCATGCTGGTCTGCTATCTGTTCATCTGCTTTGAGAAGCTGATGGGCAACTACATACAAGCGAGTAAGCACCTACGCGGAGGCGTAGAGCTCTCACGCGATATTGATAAGGCTATGCTAAGCAACACCAATGTATATGAGGACGCCAAACTCACAGGGTTTCGCAAGCTCATCTGCCAAGTCACGAGAGAGATTCGCCGTCTCGATATGCAGGCCGTCATGTATGTGGTCGAATGGTCTCCCGACGATATGCAAGAGAAACTTATGTCCCAGCTTCCATCCTTCGATAGCGCCTTTCAATCCCTCGACCAAGCTGCCGACCACCTCCAGATCCTCACTGCTGGGATAATGACATTACGCAACATGGAGCAGCTGATGTTTTCGGCGTATGAAACGCCGCCATTATCTTGGTCGTTTATGGACACCGTTCTTGAGAAAATGGAAACGTGGTCCAGTCTCTTCGAAAACATGCTACAACAAGGCAGACCCTATGATATAGGTACTGAAACTGACTTACGTATACCACTGCTACGCCTACAACATACTATCGCGAGGATTCTGCTCTGTACTTATGGATCTGGTAGGGAAATGGACTTTGACAATTTCCTACCCCAATTCCAGCAGGCCGTAGCCTTAGCAGGTGATGTAGCTACGGCGCATGAGCGATATTCGGGGTCACTAAAGCCAACATTTACGCCGGAGATTGGATTTATCCCCGTACTTTACATAATTGGAGTTAAGTGCCGGGATCCCGTGCTCCGGCGGCAGGTTTTGCCCATCTTGCGGCGGCAACCAATACGGGAGGCGGTTTGGGATAGCATCTCTGCTGCCATGATTGTTGAGCGGGTAATTGAGATTGAAGAGAGTGGATCGATGGAGGGGAGGATGGCCCAAAGCAGGGAGCAAATTGCTGCTTGGCAGAGGGTCGAGAATGTATCTTGGAAGCATGTCCTTAGCGAAAAGTCTGCTTATAAGCTGGATGTTAGATATACATTCTGCGGGCGTAAGGGAACGTATATGGACACTATTATGATCTAATATATAAAAAAGCTAGCAATGACACTAATATAGCAGAAGACATAGTTGAGATTGACAATGGAGGACTTGAAGCTATGCGGCGGATCTAAGACGCGGACTTTTTGGCAATCTACTGTCTATTGCTTCCAATATACACACTTAGGATTCAATTGTGCAGGAATGTTTCTAATATCTATAAGCGATCAACCACTGTCTGTTCTCTCGAGCAGATATTTCTGGCCTCCAGCCTTTAGCCATTCTTGGCTTTGTCAATCTAACAAAATTGACCTTACTCTCTCCATCTTATCGCCCAATCCCCCTTGGCAAAGCTCGGCTCCACGACTTTTCCAGACATGACCGCCTCGCAAAAACGCTTCTCACCATCTTCACTAATAGCAAACCCAAATACAACGCCCCGTCGCGCCGCGCACTTTGTCATCTCGCGCTCCTTGGCGCGCCTCTGTCCCTGCTTACGCTTCTCGAGCATTGCGTCTGTCTCCTGAATCCTCTCTGCACGGCCCTTCTCGCCGCCGACGCTGCCGTTGACTTCGGAAACCGACTGCGGTGGTCGGATGCGTGTGCCGCTGCGGACAGACAGGCGAGCTAGTACGTCGCCGTCTATGTGGTTCTCGTCTTTGAGGTTTCCTGCGAGATCCATGTCTTCTTCAGATGATAGTGGCTCCATTGGGCCTTGTGTAGATTCTGATGTTTGAGGTGTTTCGTTGTCGCTGTGGTCCTCTTCATCTGTTACTTCCATCGATGTCCGGTTGGGTCCAAAGACGAGTTCCTCGGCGGCGCTGCATAATACCAAGATTCGATTATCGCCCTTGCTATTCTTCCCCTTCTTATGTTTGCCAGAGGCCCCTCCTTTTGTCGGCTTCTTTGCGTCTGTTGATGAGCTTTCTTCTGCACCTAGCAGCTTTACAAATGCCTTCTCGAGCTCACGGTCTAGCTTTCCAGGTTTTTGTGTCCGGCATCGGCTTGAGCAGTACTTGACAGGAGTGTTGTTTTTAGCTGTAGCGGTAGTGCGCCGAGTACTAATGACTCTACCGCATGAATGGCAATAAGGTGTGTCCTCGCCGCCTAGGAGTAGATAGAAAGGTGCTGGGGTCGCTTGAGATTTGGAAGGGCGGCTCCAACTGTCCATCCAACTCATCTTGGCTGGTTCAGATGATAACCTTCACTGAAATAGATTGTGCGTAGAGAACTCGTGATGCTGTAGGAGTGAGATGTAGAATGCTTGTAGACATAGTTTTCGGACACGATTGACGCGAATCATGTCGGTTCTAGCATTCTAAAGCTAGATTAAAGTGACACGATTTGGGGGAGAAATGCAGCTGTGATGATGTCATTTGTTGTCATCGAGTATTGCTATTGCTTTAGGAACCATATACAGTAGACTTTATATAAACAAAAAAAACTAGCCAGCTAGTATGCTCTCTTACCCTTCGGCTAAACTAAGGCCCTGATTTAACTTATTTAATTAGCTAGCTTGACTAAGTAGCTTGTTATATCAACTGGAAAAGTCTAGCAAGGGTCCCTGGGTTATATTTGCCGGCCTAGCTATAGAGCTGCTAATAGCTATTGGTAACTGTAGGGAAATTAAGTAGCTACAGGCAGTTGAATTTTAGCCTCAATGGGGTGGAAACTTGCGTCATGCTAAGCTGAAACAATATATTAAGAGCACCTGCATAATTAAAAATACATATAGGTGCTATAGCCCAGCAGAGTAAGGAAGAGATAAATGGCTTAGTGTAGGCGAAACCTATTCGAAAGGATCCTTAGTAGCTCGATCAATTATGCTATATCGAGAAGTTTAAAATAAAGGTCTAAAGATTCGAGTTAGCAAATTAAAACCGAACAATAAGTCGAGCCCATACCTCCAATAGCCCATTGACAGCTCAATAATTTCATTGCCACCCTGATATCTTCTATGCATTCCTCATACAATAAAGAGTTATTATCCTTCTGGAAGCCGTTGCAAGCAACTATGCAACGATACATCCAGTCCAAAACAAGAGGAGACGGGTAGCGTGGGGCAGATGGCCAGCAGTCCCGAATTCGATGGGCGACGGGAAGAACCACTTGAGAATTTGTTTCCATTGCCATATTGTAACTTTTTCTATTAGCCTCCACAGGACTCTCAGCCAACGTCTCAGCCCCTGAAGATTTGGAATGTAGGGTTAACAGCGCACTGTACATCTGGATTAGCACTAAGGCTCATGAAGCGGGGAAGAAGAAGAAGAAAGCTTAGCTAGGCATATCATCAGAGGAAGCATTACATACCTCCCCAATAACGCCATGGGAGAACAAAATGCCGTGTCCGTGTCCGCCATCTCCTCATCCACAGTTAGTAATAAGAGTGAGCGAAGGGCGCGATCTAGTGCCTCCCTTTCTTCTAACAAAAACGCTTCATCTGTCGTGGGATCGCGTATATGCCGAAGAACTCGACCGAGCAAGTGAGTTGCTTGAGCCAGTCTTGCGAATTTTCCCATCTTAACCTCAACAGGCGTCGAGAGCCTATGGGGAGGCCCGTTTATCCGTGTCTATTTTGCAGCGGTAAGCATTGATTGTTCTTTCCGCTAGTATTTGCAAAGTACAGCTCCAGAATCAGTACGCACCCCTTGATTCCAGTCATCGTCTGCCATGGGTAAGTATTGGAGCTGTATTGGGTCTGGGGTACATAACGCTCTCCTAGGACAGCCAATGTTGATGTATCTTATTAATTGCATTTATTAGCCGATGACCTATATATCAGATAATATCGGGAAAAGTTTATACCTATCAAGTATGAGCACAGCCCACCAAGCCCGATGCTTTTCCTCCATCACAACCCAATCGGATGCATCGTGGTTCCAGTTGAGTATCTCTCTATCCAGGTCTAGGGCCACTGCATATCTGGCACAATGGCCAATCGTGAGATATGCAGCAGGGTAAATGCCGTTGCCGATTTCATAGAGGGCGGTTAATAGTAGAGCCTGTAGTACCGTAATATTTAAGACACCAGCTTGCTCTAGCTGCACGAATGCCTGCCTAATCGAGATATATACTGTGTCCAAGGCTTGTAATCCATCAGATGATCGAGATCCTAGAAGCTGCATGCACATGGCAAGGAGAGAGATCTCAACGTCTGCTTCAACGGAACCATGTAAGAAGCTTCCGTAAAATTTGCTCCGGTTCATAATGGGAAACCATAGATGCACCGAAGCGAAATACTTATTTGCAATTTGCCGAATTTCGTCGGTGCTGGTCCAATCATTAAGTGCAACAGACGATGGTGGTAGATGCCCCCTTTCTATGCTCATATGGCAGTCGTTGAATACTCGGCGATCAAAAAAGTATGTCGCAGGAAATCGATTTATGGGAATGTCCAGCAGGATGCCCGATGACAACTGAGCCTCTTTGGGTGAAGCGGGCATCGACCCAGGAGGATATTCACAAGGTCGATGATTCCTGGTAAGAAAAATTGTCAGCTACAACTGAATCCAAATGTAACCGACGAATCTCAAACAAGATGGCGTAAGCAATCGTATTTCTCTCACCTAGTGCACAATGAGCATTCGGGCAGCTCTCTGTCACAGCGCCTCTTGAGGCGTTTGCACTGTTGGCACGGGTGCATCGCAGGTCGAGTGCGTCTTGCGGTATAGGAAACTAAGCTCTGCACCTCCATGTTCTTCTGATACACCGCTATTTGGAACCTGGTACTATTTCGTCGCGGAGAGATGCCGTTGTTGTGGAAGAAGCGGCTGAACACGGAAAGTGCGGCGCCTGCGGATGAGTGCGGTAGATATATTTCCCTATTTCCCCAGGTTCTACTTATTTATAAGACTTTGGAGAAAATGTGGAGTGGTGTGGGGTTTTGGGGTAACAAAAAATGACTGGTTTGCGGAGTATACGAGTTAGGTTCACTTGCTACCAGTTTTCTAAGCTACATCTGCCATAGTGTGGTGCTACAACTGACAAACATGGTGATTAGCGATCAGTCTATTGAGAAAGTCTATGGCCTGCAACAGTAGTGTGGATTTAGCAGCGGCTGCAGTTAGTACCGAGTTTCCCCAGAGTTTTGACAGCTAGTATAGCCCCAGTAAACATCAGGTCCAGTCACTGACATAACATGGTCGGCGGACCTCTTATATCTCGATTCGGCATCTTCTCCATCATGCTGCCTCGATTACATCCATCACCAATTATAACTTTTGTTAAACTATTACAATGACGGCCACAATTGCTACGTTTCTAGGATGCAAGGGACGAACACTCCGCTTCCTTCAAATCCTGCTTGTTGTTGCACCCGCGTTTATATGCTATGGCTTCGGACAAAATAGTGTTGGAAACCTCCTCACGATCGACAGTTGGACCGAAACGTTTCCGCGAATCGACACAGTTCATGTGACAGGTGCCCAAAAGTCCAACAACACAACGGTCCAGGGGGCCGTCGTCGCTCTGTTCACAGCAGGCGGCATGCTAGGCGCCCTCAGCTGCTCGTATATAGGGGATAAACTCGGGCGACGGAGTACCATCTTCCTTGGTGCTGTCCTGATTACCATAGGACAGATCCTCGAGGCTTCAGCTTTTGGGCTACCACAACTTATTGTTGGACGACTCTTGCTTGGCCTAGGCGCCGGTGTGCTCAGTGCCACGGTACCAGTGTGGCAGTCAGAATGTGCCCTGCCTCGAAGCCGCGGCCGACACGTTGTGCTTGTTGGCCTCTTTATCAGTTTTGGCTATGTTTTGGCATCATGGGTGAGCCTAGGGTTCTTCCAGATCAAGAATAGCTCTGTGGCATGGCGGGTGCCTCTTGCAATTCCGAATGTTTTATCTATCACCATTATGTCAACCATTTACTTCATGCCGGAGTCTCCTCGCTGGCTAATGAAGTATGGTCGTGTCGAGGAAGCCCGCCAAGCTCTGTCTGCTTTACGAGACAGTTCTGGTGATTCTGCCGAAGTCAACGCAGAAATCGGACTCATCGAAGGGGTGTTAGAGACCACTCAGGCTAGCATCACCTGGAAACTTTTACGAAACGGTGGGGACAAGATTGCATATCGACTCATGCTCTGTCTCCTCATTCAATTCTGGCAAGAACTGAGCGGCAGCGCACTTGTAGCCATCTACGGCACCATAATCTTCCAGCAAAATCTCCAACTTGACAGTCAGTTGTCACGGATTCTCTCCGGCGCTGCTGTCTCTTGGAAGTTTTTGTCCGGGTTTGTCGCGTTTGCCACAGTTGACCGCCTTGGCCGTCGTCGTCTCTTCATGATTAGTGGCACTGGCATTGGTCTCTGTATGATGGCACTGGCTATTAGCACATCATACCCGAAGGACAATCACGCCGCTTCAGTGGCTTCAGTCTTCTTTCTCTTCTTGTTCAACTTTTTCGTCCCGTTGGGCTTTCTCGGCGTCAACTATTTATACTGCTCCGAAGTATCGCCAATTAGGTTTCGCACCCCTATGGTCTCAATTTCGACGGCTAATCACTGGATGTGGTACGTGCCACTTCTGGCAACTCCTGTTAATTCTCGTTCATACATGCTTACACTTACTAGGGCATATGTTATTACAATGGTGACACCAGTGGCCCTCGATACTATTGGGTACAAATACTACATTATGTTTTGTCTCGTGTGCGCTACGATTCCTCCAACGGTATATTTCATCTTTCCAGAAACAATGGGACACAATTTGGAGGATATTGAACGCATATTCCAAGAGGCCGATAGTCCCCGCCAAACCGTTGCTCTTGCCCGACAATTGAAGCACACTACCCACGGCTTAGAGATCCTATCCAAAAGCAAAGGAGCTATGGCGGAAACCGTGGAGTATATAGAAGACCCTGAGAAGTAGAAGAGAATGAACCAGAATTTGAAAATGACAAAAAACATAGTATGCGATAGCAGTACGTGCAATTTCGATCATTGGTCTTAAACTGAGATTCCAACGGTCCCATTTTCGATCAAAGCTTCTATGGAATTCAATTATCGAAATGAATTTTGGTCATTATGTTTTGTTTGACTTTATGTATCATGTTTCCCAGTTCGATAGTAAGCCGCTAGTGTCAATATCAGCGCTGTATAGGACTACGCTTGAAGATCAAGAGCAAAGTAGATCAACATAAATAAGCAATAAATACACATTCGCATGCGGAGTATATTTCTATGATACGAGTCTTTACATGTACATTTATCTTTTCATCGCCGTACTGAAAAGTTAACCTATGATCATAATAATTTACTAGTCATAGCAAATTAACAAACACTCACAAATGTAAAGGAACAATTAATTAAACTAATATCAATAGTTCAATTAAACTATATATTTTTGCTTTATGTATTTTCCCATTTCTAAATGTAGCGGCATATTATTTAGAAAAGGTTTTCGTAAACTGCAAATAACTATTACACAACCAATTATTGTACTAAACTCATGAGGAGGGGATCTGATACCAGGGTAGGCTTAGTGCCAAAGCGCGGTAGACGCGGAAGGCACGTTGAAATGCGGAAAATGCGGAAATCGCGGTGATGCGGTAACTCGACCGCCATTAGCCTATTTTACAGGAATCGCACTAGAACTTCACCAAGGCCTTCTCTTCTTGCTCCGATCCTGATCCGAGGTGTGTTAAGCGGGTTGAGAACCCGGAAAAAAAGAGTGGGGGCCATTCGCCGGGCATGTTGGCGTGTTTATATAAGTCGTATAAGCGCATCACTGTAGTCGATTTCAGGCTGAGAGATTTGGATTTGTCCATTGCACGAAAAGCAGTTTCAGAAATTACATTACAAACATCCGTCCAGCACAATAGCAAGCAGAGAAGCTACCATGCCGCTGTACGACGTCGAATACGTTACCCCCTTAACTCCTCGACAGCAGGAGCTCCTCGCCAATGCCTTTACTACCGTACATTCGAATCGGTTCAACACTCCGCGGTATTTCATCAACGTTCGCTATACGGATGTCAGTGACCAAGTCGTCTTTCGGGGAGGCATCCGCAGAAAGTATAACCGCCTCATCCTCCGCACCCGAGCGGGCAGCAACCGCTCTAGTGAGGAGTACCTAGAGCACTGCAAAGACCTTGTAGGCGAATGGGAAAAGATTGTCGGCAGATATGGCGAAATGGGTCTTCGGACAGTGTGGGTCAATGGGACTTTGACCCAAGCTCTAGAAGCTGGAATTGGAAGACCAAAGGTATATACGATCTAAAGTGATATTGAAAAAGATACTGACAACTTGCTCTGATAGACTGGAGAGGAAGATAAATGGATAGAAGAGAACATGGCTCTATTCAAAGAGCTAGCTGCATCAGGAGATGAAGACTTTATAGAGTTAATGAAAGAGCTTGAATTACGAGGGAAGCTTTAGGAAATGCAGATGGCTGGAACTCAGTTCGTCACAAAAGAGCATCTAGAGTCTAATTTATCTGGTTATTACCAAAAATATTTAGAAGGTCTTTGTTAGTTTAATTTGAAGCCTTACCCGCGTTTCTGGCCGCGGATTGAAACCCGACATATTGCAAACCCCAGCACTTTCAAGAGTAAGCACATATTCGACACTATCCAATATTGACGGCTATTGGCTTTCCCCCACCTACCATAGAGGCGGAATTAATGGTTTGGTTTAAAAACACTAAAAATAGTAAATAAATCGGTTTGGTCAAAAGGGTCAATCCATCCTGTATGCCAGTCTTCTAAACTGTTGGTGCGGCTTTGGTGATAGGTCTTGCTGTGAGCTGCATTTGCCGCAGTAAAGCTAACGGCAGGTAACTCCATCTCGAGATTGGAATTAGTAAGGTGATGTTCAAGAATAGCGGCATAATATGCAGCCAGGTGCGCATCGCCGACTACTGAGATCTTGAGCGCTTGAACGCTCTGTTCGAGGATTGAGATAGGTCGATTGGGGCATTCACTTCACGCGATATAATTTGTCGAAGGCCCAATATTTTTGCTTTAAGTAAGAAGACACAAGCGTGATAAAATGATGGAATGTACGAGCCCGGTGAAACTTCAAAATGTTGTTCTGCGTTAGTTGGATTCCTCGTCTAAGGATTTGATATGCGTCGTGAATAACATCTTCAACGAACGGGTATTCAAGTTGCTCTTCTATGACCATTGTTTGCATTCGTGTATTTGTAGGAGAGTCCGATAAGCTGCCGCACTCCCGAGACGAAATCTGCATTGCCACAGCATGTATAGCCGTTGAAATGGTATACATTCTCACGTAATGGTATTCAACAAAAGAGCAAGTCCCGCAGTGAGCTTTCTGCTGTCTCAGCACCAGGCTCATCGGAAATCTGGCCGAGGTACTTGTGTCGCCATTGACTCAAAATAGGTTTGAATGGTTCTATCAGCTCGATATGGTTTCCCGCCAACAGCAATTCTCGCATATTTGATGCAGACGACATCATTGAACCATGTATGGTTTTGATAACCCTGAGTAGTTCGATCCAGGCTTCTATCGTTTGAGTGGAGGGTCCCGTTGCTCGGCCGAGGACGGACTGCCTGAATGCTAGCGGCATTATCGAATGGAATCCAAGTCTCGCTGCGAACAGAGTTATATAGATGAATAACAAGTCGCAAACCTTTGTGCGTCGCGCTTCTCCCACTGCATCCGTTTCAACCCCCACCCTCTCTTCTTGCTGGCTCCTGAAAACACCCAATTCGTGAGCCAGCATATGATCCGAACCCAAGATCATCCAAGACATGCGATCAAATTGCCTACAAGGCTCGATAAAGCCTTCAAGCCAATTGGGTGATTGTGTATGCAGTGAATTATCTGTTATTGAAGGTTCACCATCCCACTCATCATGCGAGTCCATAAACTGCATTGCTTGCGGATACCATTCTGTCAAGAGTAGCAACGCTTCGATCGTGCCAATAGATCGGAGTCGACGGTTAGAGGCTCTTCCTTGTCCCAGTGAGATCTGCTGCAAGAGTTGTTGAGTATGATGCCAAAGTCTGTCATGGATATAGTGTCCTTTAGAGATAGAAGCCGTTCCCGAGAGAGTGTGATATCTAGATGAGATCAAGATTGTCAAACAGAGAAAAGGCTCTTGTAAAACAAGTTGACTGTGGTTTGCGTGATCGGCAAAGTAATTTGTTAAAATAGGAGATTTTGGAGATAGATTTTCGAAGAATCGGTTCTAAACTCAGTATCTGGATATTGATAATGAAATGGAAAGGGAAACTTACGCGTCGACGCAATATACTGCCTGTTCTGCAGAGAGCAAGCCCATCCTAAAAAATTTGTACGAGGTCCATGGGGATGGGGAATCTATATTAGCGTTGAAGATCCTCCCAAGGCTTGCAGATGAAAGATATTTGGGACTTTCAAGAGATATATGTGCCCCTTCTGCGGCGGCCTCGAACAGTAAGTTCAGGGGATCGTTCCCCTTGCAGATGAGAGTGTTTATGACGATATTAGTCAAGCGATGGTCTGCTTGCCGCAAACCGGCCGTGGTTGGCAAAGTCTGGCTTTGGTGGCTAGTCGAATCAAGCGGCGGATGCACCAGACCATCCTCGATATTAGAACATCTCATGACTTTGACAGTTGAGGCTTCTTGCATGAGACCGGATGAGGGTGATATCAGTTGGCTATATCGTGACATTTGTGAGACTGGAGAACGGGTACTGTTCGTGTGGTGACCTTGTTCCATGGGTTCTCTCGATTGTGTTTGCTCGACATTATCTTATAGTTATTGGCTTGTAATAATAAGTAAGGTCGTGAAAAATAATTTATACAAACTGTGGCTTCGCTGCGCCTCCACTGCCTGCTTCACAGCCTTATTGCAATCTATATAGCACAGCTTGCCAAGCCAGTAGTAAAAACTTTAAAACTCGAATCTCCTCCTATCGCAATAATTTTGACGGCATTGTGAGGTGCATGATGACGTTATCTGTATTATAGCTATTGTCAGTAGCTTATTATATGACTACAATATTCATAAAACGCCCCCCAAACCCAATCATTCTATTATCATGATAACTATTTCTTATGGATTTTATACGACGTGAAGACTTTGAGATGAACATTAAACAAATCTCTAGATAATCTTCACCTTTATCAACAACCGCTTTTCAGTATACCTGTGGAAGAGATATAATCTCCATACATATGAAACCAGTCGGAACAATCAGATCTCTTCATATATAAAAAGTCTAGCTTAACTTAAATAATCCCCCAACACTAACAATTCTCATTGCAACCCGACCATAAGATGCCAAGCGTACTTCAAGCGACAAGAAGTAGCCTGCAAAGCTCGTCGAAACCCATTGTTTACGACATGGGATCCAAGAACGAATGCATACACGATAAATTCAGTTCTTTAGGGCAGCCCAGAATATCTGCTCTTAAACCTAATCCAGGAGAAGAACATCTTTTCAATATTGAAAACAATCCGTTTGCTTTCTCCCCAGGTCAATTAGGGAAGCTTATAAATCCAAAAAGCACTGCCGCTTTCCTCGCTCTAGGAGGACTTCCTGGGCTAGAGAAAGGCCTACGGAGCAATTGCTTTGCTGGCCTGGGTATTGATGAGCAGTATATTCCCCAACCAATCACGTTCAAGCAGGCGACAACGGTTCTCCCATCGCCTGGCCTACTCAGAGATAACGAACAAGACGGGAATCTTCCTTCCGTTCGTTCCAACGGGAGGCTAAGAAGCAATTTCGCTGATAGGAAACGAGTGTTCGGCGAAAACCGGTTACCAGAACGAAAATCGAAATCACTTCTCCAGCTAGCTTGGATTGCTTTGCATGACCGTGTACTCATACTACTCAGCGTTGCAGCTATTGTCTCGCTTGCCCTTGGTTTATATCAGACATTTGGACAAACGGAACATGAAGGTGCTAACGTTGAGTGGGTTGAAGGCGTGGCCATCATTGTTGCAATCGCTATCGTTGTCATTGTCGGCGCGCTGAATGACTGGCAGAAAGAACGCCAATTCCGGAAACTTAGCTTGAAAAAAGCGGATCGCTTTGTCAAAGTAATCCGCTCAGGCAGTCCTATGACCGTGTCCGTTTATGACGTGGTTGTGGGTGATCTCATGCTTCTCGAACCAGGCGATATTATTCCGGTTGATGGTGTCTTCGTTAAAGGCCATAGTCTAAGTTGTGATGAGTCTTCAGTCACGGGCGAGTCTGACTTGGTCAGAAAAGTCCCAGCGGACGATGTTCTGCAGGCGCTTGTTAATGAAGAGACGTCAGAGTTAAAAAGATTGGATCCGTTCATCATCTCTGGGGCCAGAGTCTTAGACGGGGTTGGGTCTTTTCTCGTTACTTCAGTTGGGCAGAACTCAAATCACGGCCGGACCATGATGTCACTGTGGGAAAATCCTGGGCCTACTCCCTTGCAATCTAAGCTCAATGTTTTGGCTGGTAAGCACCGCTTTATTAGATCCGATTGATTACAGCTTCAAATATTCGGGCATTATGAGGCTAATGAATATATCCATCTCTAGGTTACATCGCAAAACTTGGAGGCGGGGCGGGGTGCTTGCTGTTCACAGTGCTGTTTATCGAGTTTCTTGTTAGGCTACCCGGAAATAATAAGTCTCCGGAAGAGAAAGGACAAGACTTTCTACATATTCTTATTATGTCTATCACTATTATTGTTGTTGCCGTCCCTGAAGGCCTGCCACTGGCGGTAACGTTGTCATTGGCATTCGCTACTAAGCGTATGACAAGAGAAAACAATTTTGTTCGCCACCTTCAATCTTGCGAAACAATGGGGAATGCCACAGTCATCTGCTCGGATAAAACAGGTACCCTGACAGAAAATGCCATGACCGTGGTCACCGGGGCACTGGGCGGCGAACTATTGTTATTTGGTGACAAGGATCTACAACTTGAACTTGATAGCAGTGCGCCGAGGTTACAGGATCCTCAAACGAAGGCTAAAAGGCCAACCAGCACCTCATCGGTACATTTTGAGATGCAGGAATATGGCCGAATTTCTGCGGACCAATTGACTTCAAAGCTTTGCACAGAGTTTCAAAATCTACTGAAAACAGCTCTTGCAGTAAACACGACTGCCTTTGAGAGCGAAGAGAACGGCAGAATGGTATTTGTTGGAACAAAAACGGAGACAGCCCTCCTTGATTGGGTTCGTCGATATTTTGGACTTGGACCAACCTCTTTGGAGCGTGCCAACAGCTCACTAGAGCAGCTATTCCCATTTAAATCACAGCACAAATGCATGGGAGCTGTAATAAGGCTGTCTAAATCAGATAGCTGCAAAGGCGAAGCAAAATATCGACTATTTGTGAAAGGTGCACCTGAAGTTGTGCTTGAACAATGTAGCGCCTCGCTGCTAGAAGTATCGAAATGTGTATCTCGGGTACCGATGACAAAAAACCAGAAAGATGCTATCAAACATATAATATTTGGCTTTACGACTCAATCATTGCGAACTTTGGCTCTCTCATATGTCGACTTCCAGCAATGGCCCCCGCATCGGCTCCGGACGGACAATATCGCAGCGGCTTCTGATGATATTGTACTTCCCGATGTTCTTCGAGATATGACCTGGATTGGAGTTGTGGGGATTAGAGATCCTGTAAGACAGGGAGTACCTGCTGCGGTGGAAGCTTGCCGAAGAGCATCGGTATCAGTAAAAATGGTAACCGGTGACAATATTGAGACGGCAAGAGCAGTTGGGAGAGAATGTGGCATCTTGAAGACTTTATCAGGAGAGGAAGGCTTGGTAATGGAAGGGCAAGACTTTCGCCAACTATCTGATAACGGGAAAGCAGATATTGCCAAAGATATCTGTATTATGGCCAGGGCCAGCCCTGAAGATAAACGCATCCTCGTCAAAGCTCTACAGAGCCTCGGTGAAATTGTTGCAGTGACAGGGGATGGCACGAATGATGCGCCAGCTCTGAAAGCTGCTGATGTTGGCTTTTCTATGGGTTTATCTGGTACGGAAGTCGCCAAAGAGGCATCCGATATTATATTGATGGATGATAACTTTGCGTCCATTGTTAAGGCACTTGGTTGGGGACGGGCTGTTAATGACTCCGTGAAGAAATTCTTGCAATTCCAACTTACCGTCAACATTACGGCAGTTATCATAACATTCGTTACGGCTGTCTCCGATAGTAATGAAACTGCAGTACTCAACGCAGTACAACTACTGTGGGTTAATCTCATTATGGACACATTTGCGGCTCTTGCGCTTGCGACAGATCCGCCAACAGGAAGCATATTTCAACGCAAACCAGAAATGCGAACAGCTTCTTTAATTAGCTTCATCATGTGGAAGATGATCATTGGCCAGTCCATCTACCAGCTGATTGTTTGCTTTATATTATGGTTTGCAGGGTCTAATCTCGGTTACGCAGAGTCCCAGTTACGGACTCTTATTTTCAATGTGTTTGTTTTTATGCAAATCTTCAAGCTTATTAACAGTCGTCGTATTGATAACAAGCTTAATATCTTTGAAGGTTTGCATCGCAATTGGCTGTTTATGTTAATGACGCTGATTATGGTTGGTGGGCAGCTGATTATTATTTATGTTGGTGGTAAGGCTTTTGTTATTGTACAGCTTACTAGCGAGCAATGGGCAATATCTATTGGCCTAGGTATTGGCTCTATTCCAGTAGGCATTTTTATTCGTTTAATTCCTGACGCATTCTTGCGTAATTGTGGTAAGAAGATTAAGAAAACACTTAGCTATAAGTAATTATATTTAATAGTGTAATAACCCAGTCACTAATATACTAAAATAGTTAATAGCTTAGTGTGACGATCCGGTCCCTAGATCCTAAGTTATTGTTATAGGGTAGGGGATTCCCAAGGGATAAATGCGTGTGTCTATATTAGCAGAGAGGATAGGATATTTATTATTAAGCACGTTATATAGTTACTTAATTAGTAAATAGAGTATAACCTATATCTAGTACTATTATATTATTAATAACTAACTATTTAAGCTATTTAATAAGTATATTCTATTTAACTTATATAATAAGTTATTTTATAAGGACTAATATAACCCATTAGTCTATTACCCTAAGGACCGCTTATATATATTAATCTAGTATATAGGACCGCTAGCTTATTATTAATCCTCCTTTAATTAATCCTATATTCTAAGGTTATCCTAGGGTATATACTATATTATATTCCTTAAGAGGTTAGGTTATAATATAATACTCCCTTCCTAAAGGTCTTATCCTTAAGGCCTATTATATAATATTTATTATTATACCTTATAATAATATATTTCTATTAGTAAGTAATTTTCCTCCTTATATTTTTATTTTATTATTTCCTATAGCTTTTATTAGGAAGCGCTATAAGGCCTTTTCCTTAGCTAAGTGTATTCTAAGTATAAGTATAGTAGCTAATATACTATATACTTATTACTATTATTTAAAATTAACTTATATTATATTTAATATATTTAATTATTATACTAATTATATATAGCTAAAGAAGTTATATAATAGGATTATAATAGTAGAATTTTATAAGTTTTTTCCTTAAAATATTTAAGTAATAATTAATTATTTTTAATAGAAAAAGTATTTATATAAGAGAGTATATTAAAGCATAAGGAAGAAAAAACTAATAAATATATTAAGTCTTTAAATACTTAAATATTAAAATTATAGTTTAAACTTATAAAGGAATTAAATTATTTATTATATATTTATAAAATATAAAAAAAAGTAAAGGAGTATTATAACCTAACTCTTATAGTCGCACTAACAGGCCTATAGGGTAAACAGGGCCAGATTAACTTAGAACCGGCTAACTAATTAAAAGAGAATTAAGGAAACTTCTCTTAATCTATTATTAGATTAATAAAATAAATATTAATTTATTTATAAATTAACTTATAATTTATTAATTTAGTCTAAGTAACTAAATATATAAGTTTACTTTACTATACTTATTTAAATAACTTAAATAGCTAATTATTAATATAAAATTAAAATTATAATATACTCTGCACTGCTTACTATTTAGTAATATTGTCACAACCCAACACTTATGGTCGTCACAACGGGCCTACAGGGTAGGACGGAATGGATTAACTATAATCCGTTAACCAATTAAAAGCCTACGCTTACTAAATAAGGAAAGCTAAGAAAGCTAGCTTTCCTTAACACTAAGGAAAGCTAAGAAAAATAGCTTTCCACTATAATTTAAAAACCTTAACTAAATATATAAGTTTACTTTACTATACTTATTTAAATAACTTAAATAGCTAATTATTAATATAAAATTAAAATTATAATACACTCTGCACTACTTATTATCTAGTAACTTTTATTATTACTATTTATATTACTTAAAGATTTCCTAATTACTCCGCTAATATAAACCTAGAATTAAACTCTAGGTTTATCCCTTAGGAAGCCCTTATATTACTAACTATTTAATATATAATTTATTATATATTAATAACTCTTATCTAAATAATTACTAAACCTATAGGTAATATTAAAATAAATACTAAAAACTTTTAAAACTTAGTTAAGTAAATAAAATATAAAATAAAAGATTTAAACTAAGAAAAACTTTAACTGCTAGCTAATAGTATAAAAGCTACTATATAACTTATAGCTATAGAAGAATTAATATAATAACTCTAGCGCACTCTTACTGCCTAAAATAAAAAGCTAAGTAACCTATAGTAATAATAGGGAGTACACTAAGCTACTATTACTTAATAAAATTAAACTATTAATAATCTATAGCAGTAACTGCATTACTTATTAATAGTTACACCCACTATAGCTTTAGCTATAGCACCTGCTATAGCCCCTGCTATAGCGCTAATAGTACCTACACTAGCAGATAACACTAAACTAAAACTAAGAAAAACCCTAAAACTTAAATAATTAATTAAGTTTAATAAAAACACTACTAAACTTTATAAATTTTAATATAACCTATAAACTTACTTTAAGTATTATTTTTTAAATACCTTTTTAATAAATAAGTATAAAACTTATATTTATTTTATAAGAACTTAAATAAAAGGTACTGCCGCTAACTAATTTAACTTAATCCTTAAAGATAGATAAAAACCTTTTAATTAGTAAATATAACTCACTAAGGATATATTTAAAAGCTATAAAGAATTTAAAAATTAATTAAAAAAATCCTTTAAAATTATTAATAAAGCTTAAGAAGCTAAAAAAAAGCTTAAGGACTTTAGATAAAAGGGCCTATGCTATAAATATACTTTAATATTTATTTAATTACTTACTAAAGTTAATTAAATTAAAGAATTAAAGAAGGAAATATACTACTATAGTTTAAAGCCTAAAGTTAAGGATAAAATCTATAAGATTAATTAATAGGCTATTAGTTTTACTAACCTTACTTAAGAAATAATTAAAATTAATAACTAATAGTAAAAAAGAAAATAAAAAAAAAAGGTAAAAAAGACTAGAAATTTAGTTAAATATTACCCTTAAGTTAATTAAAGAAAGAAATAAAATAACTATATTATAAAAGACAATAATACTTAACTTAAAAGAATAAATATTAATAATATTAATAAAAGGAAGTTTACTAGAACCTATAATACCTATAGTAAAAAGGGCTATAAGGAAGTAAACTACTATTTTAAGATAACTTATAAATTCTATAGTAAAAAGGGCTATAATAAAGCCTACTGCTATACTAAGAAAAATATAAAGAAATTTAAGACTACTAAGGATAAGGCTTAGATAAATACTATTATAAAAGTACCTTATAATTACCTTAGCTAAATAGCTTACTATAATAATTTATATTTTATATATAAAAGCAGTAAGGAAGGATCTGGATATTATTTAAAGAAGCTATAAATTAGGAAGTCTTATAAGACTATATAAATTAATACCCTTAATTTTTATAAAAAGAAATATAAAAACTATAGCTTTATAGAACCTTATTTTATTTATATACTTTATAAATGCTTAGCTTATGGCTTATGGAATATTAATTATATATATAAAAATAATAAATTAAAGGAATAGGAACCCTTAGATAAAAAAGTTAGTAAAAATAAAATTATTTATAATAAGAGCGGGAGAATTTATAAAAGTAGTTTTTATATAATTAATAAAAAATACTAATAGTAGATTAATACCTTTTTAAATATATATCTTTTTATAAAATATAAGAAAGCCCTAGACTTAGAATTAGTTATTTTTAAAGATATATATAATAATAATAATTCTAATAATAATAAATATTATTAATGCAGCGCCTTAGAACCCTAATATAATATAATATACTTAAAGTATATAAGAGAATATAAATACCTGCTATATATATTAAAAAAAGAAAAATATAAATATATAGGATATATATATTATAAAAGTATAAAAATTTTATATTTATATAATAAAGAAATATATAAATGGAGGAAATATTAATATAAAGTTTATAAATTAATAAACCTTAATTATAAATGCGATAAATGCTATACTTATAGATTTTATAACTTTAAATATAACTATATATATATTTTAAGGGAATAAGTAAAAGAATAAAAAAAATAAGAGGAAAAATAATAATACCTTAATAAAAACCTACCTTATAGGATAACCCTAGAAGAGGCTTAAGAGTAAATTAAACTTACTAAAATTAATATTAAAGGAGTATATAATTAAGTTCCTATCTAAGACCTCCTTAATACACTTAATAAAGACTGTAAAATATATAATTAAAAAAAATATAATAATATTTACTACTAGATATATATCTTTAATAAATTAAAAGATTAATATAAATATTAACTTAAATAAGTTAAGTATAAAAAATACATAGTAAATTACTTCCTAGACTATATAATAGTATACTATAGTATATATAGAAAGGAGAAAAGCTAATTTTATTAAATTACCTAAAAACTAATATAAAAAAGCTATAACTTTAAGAATTACTTAAATTAAAGCTAAGGAAATAAAACCCTTATTAAAAAGTATTACTATTTAATTAAAAATTAAAATAAAAAATTAAAATACTAATAATATATAAAATACTAAAGTATTAAATAAAACTAAACCTATTTAAATAGCATTTAAATTAACTTAATTAAAAGTAATAGTAAGAAACTATAAGTTAAAGGATATATTAATTAATCCTTAGTTATAATATATATAAATAGTAGTGCGGATTATAATTTTATTACTCCTTAAATAGTAAACTTACTTAAATTACTATACACTAAGAAAAAATAACCTATATATATATCTAGTGTTATTATACCTAATACTAAGATAATAATTAATTATAAAACTAATTATCTCTTAATTATAATTACTAGTTATACTAAGATTATTAAGTTTAATATTATACCTCTTAAAAACTATAATATTTTACTTAAATACCCTTAGTTAAAATAAAGTAACCCACTAATTAACTAAAAAATTAAATAAATACTCTAGGATATAAATATTACCTAGGAGCTATAACTAAGCTATAAAGAGGGCAAGGAAGGCAAAGATACACCTATAGACTTAAAAATAAAATCTTATATATAATAAAATAAAGAAAAAATAAAAAAAATAAGAATAAAACCTAGAAGAAAGATTAAATTTAATACAGAAAAATCACTAGTACTACCCTAATATAACTATAAATAAGTTAAAGGAGAATAAGTATATATTAATTAAATTATTAAATAAATAAAAAAAGAATTATAAGCTTTAAATAAAGCCTTACTAAAAGTAA